CAGAACTTTTCTTATATTTCTTGAATTTAACTTTCACAAGTTTTTCTCATTTATATCTTTTTATACATTTACATGGGATATTATATCAGGTCATCCCATAAGTTCTGTTCGAATTTTACCTTTTTTTAAAATGAATGAAATTTAAAGAGTTTTTTATAATGTCATTATTTTTATGTTTAGATGCATTTAAACTGATCAAATTTTATTTCAGAGAACAATAAAATTAAATTTTGTTTGATTAAAACCCTGCTAACATGGAAGTACCCAAGAATCATTTGAGGCACATAATGCTTTATGAATTCAAGAAAGGAAACTCAGCAGCCGAAGCAGCTAGAAACATGAAAAATGTGTGAATGAAAGAACTTGCAGAAGATGGTTTGCAAAATTCAGAGGTGGAGATTTCACCTTTGAAGATGAAGATCGAATCGGACGTCCTTGAATGAAAAGCTTTAATGAAAAGCTTATTGGAGCAGCACTTGAAGAAAATCTTGCTTTATCAGTTGAGGAATTAGCAGTGGTTCTCAGTTCAAACCATACAACTGTTCATCATCATCTTCAACAACTTGGAAAAGTTCCTAAACTTGGAAAATGGGTGCCTCATGAATTGTCTGAAAACAACCTCAAATCCCAAGTTGACATCTGCTCTTCTCTCCATTCTCGTCAACTTGTTTCACCTTTTTTGGATAGACTTGTGACTGGCAACGAAAAATGGATCTTTTATCAAAATGTTAAGCCTCGTAAACAGTGGCTTGGTAAAGGGGAAGGACCCCAGTCACAGCCGAGAAGGGAACTTCATGGGCAAAAGGTTCTTCTTGCAATCTGGTGGGATCACCAAGGAATAATCCACTTTGAATTTTTACCACCTAATGCAACAATTAATGCTCAAATATACTGTCAGCAATTAGAGTGTTTGAACCAAGCTTTGAGGAAAAAAGACCTGCTCTAGTGAATCGAAAAGAGGTGATGTTTCATCAGGACAATGCACGACCCCACACAGCAAGAATCACATCACAAAAGATCGAAGAACTTGGTTGGGAGAAAATTCATCATCCACCTTATTCTCCCGATCTTGCTCCTTCAGAATACCATTTGTTTTGCAGCTTACAGAATTATTTGGAAGAAACAGCTTTTGTAACACAAGAAGAGGTTAAAACTGACATTTGTGAGTTCTTCAAATCAAAGCCAAAAGAATTTTACAGTAATGGAATTAGTAAGCTTGTTAATAGATGGAAGGAAGTCATAGATAATCAGGGAAAATACATTGTTGATTGAATCTGTAATTAAATGTAACATTTGGTCACTTGTTTTCTTTATTCAAAATTTGGACAGAACTTATGGGATGATCTGATATATGCAACAAACTTTGTCATCTATTCCTCTTTAAGTTTTGTGGAGTGATTGCATTATTTAAAATCACTCTTATGTTAAATTGTCTACAAGCCTTTCATTCAGCCATTTTCTTACTGATATGTCCTGGAAAGGGATATATTTAATTGATGGTAGCTAAGTGGTTTTGGCTACTATAACCAAGTAGAATATGGTAGCAGTAATCGACTGGTACACATCGTAGTCACAGGTAAGAAGTGTAGATCAATGGCGTAGTCCAATGGGCATCGTTATAGACTTAGCTCTCAGACTAAGGCTCTGACTTTCTCATACCTACTCGTTGGTCAGTATTTATGACGGACACCAGCCAATCATATTCCAGTGAGGGGGAACACAGGTGTACGCATATTCCATTATATCACTTACATATGGTAAATTTACTGTAGCTACATAGATCCTCACTCTCATTGAAATTGTACATATAAAGAAGTTCATAAAATGAATTTGCTAGAATGTTGTAGTAATGAAAAAATGAAACAAAAAGAATGATTGCTCTAATGATATGGACAATTGGCATGATATCTTCACTTTTCAAAATTACAAAAACTAATATTAATCCTTTTCAAGGTTTTAATTTTCAATGATACTTGTATTTAAAATGCATTCCAAGAAAACTCATGCCTTTTAACAATTAAATTATGAAGGCTAATGATGTGAAGGGGATTAAGTCTATAAGAATTAACTCTTTGACTGGTAAGGAGGAATGCAACTGTTAATAAAAACAATGGCATAAAGAGAGGAAATGATCTCTTGCCTGATAATGGAAGACATGAGTGACAAATGTCACCCAGCGACTGTTCACATCAAACAAAAATAATTCACTGGACATGTTAGAACACTAAATCCATGTGGTAAGTTAGAAAATATAAAGCAGGAAATGAAGATGTTAAATGTTAATATTTTAGGCATATGCAAAATGAGGTGGGCAAACAGTGGAGAATTCATCAGTGACAAACATGGGATCATATATGCAGGCAGAGAGAAAAATAAGAAAGCAGTAGGACTGGTATTAAACAAAGACATGAAGAAATGTGTTCTGGGACAATATTAACTATCTGAAAGAATTCTTGTCATTATTCTGAAAGGTAAGCCATTGAATATACCCATCATAGTTGTATATGCACTGACAGCACAAAATACAGAAGAAATTGAAAAGTTTTACTGTACACTAAACAAAGCCAAAGCTCAATGCAAATTACAAGAAATTACAATAGTCTCTCATGACTATTGTAAGCAGGCAAGGAGAGAGATGATGAAATATTTGGCAAATTTGGACTAGGAACTTGTGATGAACATGGAGAAAAATAGGTGTACAGCAAATGATCAAACAGTAAACAACACATAGTTTCAAGGATATTTAAGACATATATAGACACGGAGATCCCCAAGAGGAGACATGAAAAACTAAATCAACTATATAACTATCAATAAGAGATTCGGGAATGCAGCTTTACACTGCAAAAGATACTCAAGTGCCAACTGCATGAGCAATCACCTTCTGGTGATATGTAAATTGAATGACCTGAATGTGAAGGAGAAATATATGGACATTGTTAAAAACAGATACAATAGACTAAATGAGAATGGAAACTCAAAAGTGGGACACATTAAGAGAAATTTTAATAACATCAGCAATTGAGATCATCCCAAAGAAAACTAGACAAAGAAAAAAAGGAATGGACAAGAGATAAAATTCTTGACATAATGAAAAGGAGACAAAAAACTGTGCCAAGATACAGCACAGAATATAGGACCCTACACAAAGAAATTAGGAACAAATGCAGGTGGGATAAAGAGGAATGACTCAACAAAAAATGTGCAGAAATAGAAAGAATATCACAGATAAAGTAGATATGCATAAAAAATAAGAAAATGAACAGGAAAAAAACATGCTAATCAGCAGGATGTATAAAATCCAAGGTCAGGACATTGATATTAGAGAAACAAAACTTACTTCAGAGATGGAATGAATACACTAGAGAACTCCTTCATGACAAAAGAGGACAATCAGCAATACATAGAAATATCAAGTGAACAGAAATATTAAAATTTGAAGTGAAATCTGTACTGGCCAAATTAAACAGAAGCAAAGCAGCAGGACCAGATGGAGTTGTAATAGAGAATGTTGGCATCCTTAGATAATTTGGGCAGTGACAAGATTACAGACATAATAAATGAAATATACAACAGTAGTGATATATTTGGAAGGCCTCAGTAGATTCATTTTCATGGCACTGCCTAAAAAGCCAGGTGCAAATGAATGTGAACTCCATACTGAGCCAAAACTGATAATCTGAATTCTGATGGATAGAATGTGCAACAGAATTAAATCAGAAATAAGACAAGAACAATGTGTGTTTGTTAAAGGCACTGGAATAAGGAATATGATATTTATACTCAGAATAATATCAGAAAGTACAAAAATATATACCTATGTTTTATTAAGCAAAAGCCTTTGTTAAAGTACCCCACAAAGAACTGTTGGAACTGCTAGGTAATATTGACATATTTGGGGAGAATATTAGAATAATCTAGAACCTATACTGGCAGCAAACCTGCATATGCATAGAAAATTAATTCAGTAAACATACAAAAATAGAAAGGGGTGTAAGACAAGAATGTGTATTTTTCACTGAACTTATTCAATCTATACAGTGAGATGATTCTGAGAAAATTAGCAGTCTTACTAGGATTCATTATTGGCAGCCACAATTTTAACAAACATAAAATCTACAGATGACACTGTGCTGATAGCAGACATAAAACAGAAACAACAAGAACTCCTACGGAAGGTCATAAAGGAGGAAAATGAGAAAGAAAGGACTAAAAATCAATTGCAAGAAGACAGAATGTATGGTATGGTTGTTGGTAAAAGGAGCAGCCCAACATACAAATTACAAATTGGAGATACCAAAATCAAACAAATACAACAATTTAAATATTTGGGAAGTTTTTTAACAGAGGACAGAAAGTGCATTGGGATAATAAAAGCTGCTTTCCAAAAAGAAACAGAAAAATTTCATTAGAAACAAAGAAAAGCATACTGAACTCTTCCATAATATCAGTCTTGCTATATAGCAGTGCATGCTAGAAAATCTCCTCAAATATAAATAAGAGACTTAAAGTAACAGAAATATGGTTCTACAGAAGGATGTTGAGAATACTATGAACTGAATATGTGAGCAACAATGAAGGTTTATGGAAAATGGAAACAAAAAGAAAACTTATACTTAATGTTAGAAAAAGATAGTTCAAACTTGTAGGGCACATAATGAGGAAAGAGGGTTTGGAAAATTTGATACTCACAGGACAGATTGAAAGCAAGAGGGATAGAGGAAAATAGCAAATAACCTACTTAACAAACTTGAGTAAATGGATGGCAGAACAGGATTTAGGAAAGATAACAAAAAGATAAAATTTATTAAGAGCTACAAAGGACAGGAAATTGTGGTGAGCCATGATTGCTAACATCCTGAAGGGACATGACACATAGAAGAAGAAGAAGAAGAAGAAGAAGATTATGAAAGAGAGCAAGTGAGAGAGAAGGAGAAATAGACAGAAACTTTTATATATCTAAATTTTCCTAAATTAATTATTTTTAGGAAAATACATACCAGGAGGCTTGTTACATTGATTTTCATCACTACCATCTGTACAGTCTTTAATACCATCACACTTTTTGTCTTTCAAAACACATTTTCCATTTGCACACTGGAAATGGTCACTGCTGCAAGATACTAAGTCACAAAAAAGAGAGAAAACATTTTAGGAAAAGATTCAAAACATTACAAAATAAGAAGAGTGAGAAAAAATGTCAAATTATGAAAAAATATTAATGATGGAAAATCAATGTTGTTTATTAAATCTATGATAAGACATTAAAAGGTTAAAAATTCTTGTTAAATATATTTCAGGAGATAATTTGTAAATAAATTTGTGATTAAATATTTTACCTGGTGGAGTTGTTTTCAAACAATTCAACTCATCACTGCCATCAGAACAATGCAGGATTCTATCACAAACATGTCTTGCATTGATGCATTGACCAGTATTACACTGGAATTCAGTGGAATTGCAAACTATAAAAAAACACTATAACCTTATATCATCATATCACACCAGTAATTATAGAATAACAAATGAAAGAAAAATAAATGTGACAATTGAAAAAAGTTGAAGTTTATTTTATAACAGAGAAAGATGACAATTGGCAAGATAATTCCAAAATCAAAACTTAACACCCGCAAATTAAATTAATTTTAAATTATTTGAAAACATGAAAATAATCATTTGCTTTAGAAACATTTTAGAAATCTAGGCTTAACAACTGGAGAGAAGATTTAAAACTGTTTACTAAATAAAATATCTAACCAAAAATATTAAATATTGGAAAAGTGAAATAATTACCATTAAAGACACTGATTCTGATAGTAAATGATAACATGAGAAATGAACAACATTTCAAAGTCAGTATCTTAAAATATAACAATAAGCAAAGTGACATGAATACCTGTACAATTCTGATCCAACACATTGATACTGTCAATGGCAATAAAAGAATATTCATTAGGATTTTCATAGTAGGCCTCAAACATAATACTTGTTGTCATGTTAGGCAGGGATACAGTCATTAGTTTCCAGATAATCATCTCATGAATATCATTTTTGCTAGTATTCCAAACCATTTTGTCAAATGTAGAGTTTTGTTGACGAACTTTCAAAATTAGAACTGCTGTAGCAGTGTTGCTTGCATTAGCTATGTATGTGAATGAGATACAAGGTATTTCAGTTGACTTTGGAGAAATAATTCTTGCTGGAGAGAGCTTTGTGGCATTTACTGATGCTAACATGTATTTTTCTGCAAAAAATAAGATGACATTGAATACATAATTTTAATACATTAAGGATACTTATGGATGGAACATATGAACAATCAAGACATTTTAAGGAAAATGGGAATAAAAGAACACTTATCCTTAGAATCAGAAAAAAATGTTGAAACTTTGGGACATATAACGAGGAAAAAAGACTTGGAGAATTTAACACCCACAGGACATATTGAAGTTGGAGCAAGCAGTTTGTGTAAATGGATGGCAGAACAGGAATTGGGGAGAATAGTAATGAGACAAATCTTATTTGGAGCTATAAAGGATATGAAGTTGTGGAGAGCCATAACACCCACACCCTGAAGGAACACAGCACATAAGCATTCATTTTTTTTTTTGATAAAACAAGAAATATTTAGCTTTGCTAAATTTGTGCATTAGACACTATCATGGAAGTATCAATTCTCTTCAACATCAATGTTGCCAGTGATTGTAGATTTGTATCCAACAATAAAAATATTTTTTAATTATTCATATCTTGTTTTCAGATTGCTGTAAACTTGCTCAAAAAATAAAATGAAATCTTAAAAATCAATTACCATCTTGCATTTTACTCTACAATTTAAATTAAATAGATTTTGCAATTCTCCAAATGTTATTTTTATAGCAGAAGAATAACAACTTGTATAAATCCCAAAGAATTACCCTTCTGTTTGCATTTTACTTTCAGTCAAAATAATATAAAATGTTACCACTAACCTGTCTCTGTATCTCTTCCAGTCATTGGTTTTGCTTTCATGTAAGGAATTGACCAATGTGGACTTGACCAGTACCAGGTATTAAACGAATCATTTCTATAACCACATTTATAAGGTTTGTCAAAATCACAGGTAACTGTTGGATCTGAAATAATGAAAGAAATTAATTAAAATCTTGCATATCTTCTGCTCCACAAAATTAAATTTACTCTTGGAGCAAGAATGAAGTAGCTGTCAAAGTAGAAATAAATTTGTAACACTTATAGCTGTTATAATATCCAGCTTACAATATGGATAACCAGGTTTATCTGAGTTCTTAAACAAAACTTTCTAGAGAAAAATGCATTAGGAAGATCAGCAAATGTTTCCTTACAAGAATTTACTTTAACTGAAATAATTTGTAAAAGGTTTGTTCTAGTATATTTTAATTAGGCTGTTTATAAGAGAAAAAGTAAATTAAAATACAAATCCTGTACTTATATTATGAGGAGGTGTTGAAGAGTTATGCATCAGACGCACCCCTTCAGGCCAAACATCAGAATTTGTTTTAGAAAGGTTTCATAGTTGAGCTGAGAACTTTTCAGCTCCCAATTATATTTTAAAATGGATCTTTTTTAAAATAATGTACTAAGTAATTATATATAAGAATCAAGCTCAGTGGCTCCGATTTATAGACATTTATATTAACAAGTAGAAATTATATATACAAAGATACTGCAAAACTGATAAAGAACAATATAATATTCATACAATGGTATGGATTTTATACTTATAATCATGTGTTAAAATTTGACATTACCTGAAACAAAAATCAAATATATATATATAGGCAGATCAAATATATATATATACACACACACAAATGAGAGAAAGAATAGATGGAGTAAAATTCTACTGTTCGTAGCATTTACTTTTAAAAAGTGCTCATTACAAAGTAGAGCAATATATTATTATTTTTATTACATGTTGAAATCACTATACAAAAGCTTTCATGTTTCAATACATTTATTGTACTTCTTCAGGCAATGGTAAGTAACTGGTGATTAAATGATTTTTATGAAAATTTTAAAACAAAGTGTTACTTTTTTTCCAAAAATTAAAGGAGGAGGTCATAAGGTCAGAATTAAAAATAGTCTTGTGGGTATGTCTTGATTAACCAATTACTTGTCATATCTATGCTAAATAGAAAAGTAAGCTCAGACGGTGGAGGTGGGTGAGTTATTTTTCATGTCATGATAAACTGGAATAGAGACAGGCCATCATTGACGATTGTGGAAAATATATAAACATCAAATGTATCATGATTGTAGACAAATATGACATGTTCAGTTTTTTGAAAGGGTGTTGAAGGGAGGGGTAAGTTAATCAAATGTAAAGTTAATAGAAAAGAAAATTTTTTTAGATTCAGAAAGCTTCTTAAATGGGATAATATTAAAAATGTGGTTCATCTATATAAGATATTAATAATACCAACTGGACAGCAATACATAGCAATATTAAAGCTGAATAAACAAAATGTAATTACCTATAATTGGTGGACCATTATATACTAATAAATTATGGCTATAAGAAATGGTAAAACGTAATTTTTTAAAATTTAACTATATTTAAAGCTGAAGACAAACTGTGTCAGCAATTTACAGTTAATTCACTCCTTTAGTTTAGGGATTTTTTTTGTCCACAAATTTGATGATTTCTAATTTTTCATGTATACATAAGAATCAAGGTTCATTTTAAAATTTACACATTCTATTTTTTTTAGTATTTTCCATTTTACTGTAGTTTATTTTTAAGTTCCAAACATATTTAGAAAGGGATGTCCTATTTCTGTATGCATTATTGGAGAAAGATAATACATGTTGGTACCAACTAGTTTTAAATGAATTCTTGGTACTCCTGATATAAAATTTTTTAACTGTTGGATTTTCTGTAGTAGAAATAGTGCTTAGGTAAACAAGAGAGTCTGTTTGACATCAGTTTTGCAATGAACATTCATTCTACATTTACACTTGTTGGTATTATCTGTGTTTGTTGCTTTGGTATGGCAATTATTACTCAGGTTTTCATATTGATTTTAAATTTTATTATTATGTTTTCAACAATATCGGTAGAGCTATATAGTAAATGTGGATGTCAGTGTGTCAGTATGTTACACCTTTTCAATTAAAGGGATACAACTGTCTACCTCTTAAATATCTCATCATTTTATATAATAAATGTGAATGTCAGTGTGTCATACTTTTTCAACTTTACTTCTAGAGGCCACAGCACAATATATCATACCATTTGGGAATCAGGCCAACTCCATAAGCAAATTCAAAACATTTCAGGCTGAATCCGGACCTGCAATCCTGAAATTTTGGATTCACAAGTTTTCATTACTGTGATTGTTTTCAGTGATTTTTTACATGACTTTTTGCAATTAATTTTTTATACAATAACAATTTGTATAACTTAAAAATAAATTGGGGAATAATCAAAGTTATTTGTGAAATCCAGTGAAAGTCACCCATGAAAAACAATAATTGTTTGTACAGAAATAAGGACCTATGTACATCAAATTGTCTTTAAATTAAGTTTATCATTGAACTCTTAAAAGGTAAGCTTAAATATATTAATGCAATACTTAAATGCAGTGATTATTTTTTGGTTCTGTAGTTTATTGTTGCCTATCGTATCTACTCCTCCCTACCTATTATGATGAAGGTCAAATGAAGAGCCCTTTTTGATATATATATATATATATATATATATATATATATATATATATATATTTTATGATATCTCTGAGGGAAAAGAGACAGTATTGATATATGTAAATAGGTAATTGTTATATAATCAGAAGTTTTTTGTGAAATACAATCTTTGTAATTGTTATACATATACACACACATATACATACATACACATGTATATATTTACACATATGCATAGTTATATATGTATATATATATATATATATAACAACTTGATTCTTTATCTTTTGTTTATTTTCATTTATAGCATATAAACATTAATTGTTTATTCTTTATTTTACAGCTTTGCTAATGAATGTTGAAAATTTTGCAATTAGAGCCATTTTATGCTAGCCATGGAAAAAAGGGCTGAGTGAAAGGACAGCAGCAAAAGCAATTAATGATGTGGAAGGCCCAAGAACTGTCAATGAATGTATGGTACAAAACTGATACAGATATTTCAAGAACGTTGACACCAGTATTGAAAAAAATAAACAAGGTCAGGGGACCTTCTGTTATGGAAGATGAGGACTTGCTTGAAATGGTTGAACAGTCATGCACAAGCACTCATACATTATTGGCAGAAGTTGATCCTTCACAAAGCACTATCAACTGACATCTTCATAAGCTCGGCCTTGTGAACAGACACTATAAGTGAACAGTTCCTCATGAATTGATCAGTGTCCAGTCTCAACAATGTGTGAATATTCACAAACAATTGCTGATAAATCCTCAAGATGCCTGTTTTGGGTGTAACTGGGGATGAAAAAGAGATCTATATTTGTAATAAGGGAAATCAGTGGCTTTATTATAGCCAGCTTTCAGAAACTGTTGTCAAACGTGGGTGGTTTGAACAGAAAGACATGTTGTGCATTTGGTGGAATTTTGAGTGGGTGTTGCACTTTGAGATTGTCTCAGATGGTTTTGCCATGAATGCTGACCTTTATGCTCAACAACTGCATTGAATTGAAAATGGAAATAAGGAGTTTTTTGCCAAATGGTGTAAGTGAGGAATTATGGTTCTGGCACAAGGATGGCAACAGACTATGATGAGATATATTTTGATGAATAAATGCTTTCCATGTGTAATTTTTTTTAAAACTATGAATTAAAGCTTGAAACAGAAAGAACCTTTTGGCTCAACCTAGTATTATACACTGTTTAAAATTTTAAAAAAATGGAGCCTCTAATGTCCTTCTAGATATAGATGAATAAAAATCAATAATAACAAATTTAATGAAGGTGGCTTTTTTATTACTTATATTACTGAACCATTTAATGGTATCAGAAGAGTCCTTCCAAAGATTGGCCCCTGTATTGATCACAAGTTTATCCATAATTTTTCTAATAATATTTTTAGAGATTAAGCCTAGCTCTGATTTGGTAGGATTTATTAGTCTAGTTTGAGTGTTATTAGAGAAGTTAGGTTTATGATGTTTGAACAAGATACAGGCATATTATAGTATGTATCTGCAATATTCATATTACTGGCTAAATCGGTCATCACCTCATTAATTTCAAAGATCCTATTGTCATGTTTATCTTTTTTGTAATTATCTATTATTTTGTTAGTAAAAATTTTGTGGTATTTAGATGGGGTCACATTTATAAATATACTTAGACTTGTCCTGTCTCGTTTCCTTCTTTTTCTCTTCCTTTCCCCTCTGACCACCACTCATATCAAGACTTACACGACTTCCTGTTTCCTTTGCCACCTTGCCTTCCTTTCTATTCTTCATCTCCTTTTTTCCCCTGTTTTTAGTCCTTTCTTTCCTCCCCCTTGTCTGGATATTTTTTATTTTGAAAATTTATCATACATTGACTGTTTGAAAAATCCTGTAAATTTAATTTTACAAGGTGAAAATGATCATTTACATAATGGTATCTTAATTCTGATTGTAGGAAATATATTGCTAGGTTTATTAAAAAACATTGAGTGAATCAGTTTTAATATTTAATATTTCATATTGTGTTAATAGGATTCACTTGGATTATATACCAATATATATGTATGTATACATACATATTCACACACACATATATATATATATATATATATATATATATATATATATATATATATATATATGAATTGAAAATATGGATTAAATCCAATAAAATTATTAAATAAGGAATAAATAGAAAATTTTATAAATTTGAAATGTTTTGCTATTTATTCAGGTTCATCAGAAATTTTTGGGAATGAAGCAATGCAGAAAAAAACAAAATATGTCCACTTTACACTATTCCAATAAAGTTCTGATCAACCTGAATAAATAACAAAACATATCAAATTTATAAAGGTTTTTCTACTCCTATTTATTCCTTATTTAATCACACACACACACACACATATATATATATATATATATATATATATATAAACCTATTACAATTTGTTTAAGATTAAACTGTTATGATTTAATAGATGGCTTTTTAAATCTAACTTACTACACTTGGGGTGTGACTCATCACTTCTGTCAGTGCAGTGGTCGATCCCATCGCATGTTTCAGCTTTATAAAGACACTTGCCATTTGGACACCACATTCTACATCCTGTGCAAACACACAAAAAAAGAACATCACCAAAATCAGAAGCAGATGTAAATTTATGATTGTTATTTACAGATTTTAGGATTCTAGACAAAAGAATTTACTTATATCTCATATCTCAGGAACTTATCTTAGACAATAGAACCAGTTAGGATATCAAAGAATCCAAGATAGTTAGCTATGGTTATCATGGTCTTTCATCACCAATTTTTACTTCTGGCTTTATTCCATGTTACATTGATAATTACCTAGTATTAGTTGGAGTAATACTCTGAAATTCTTTTGAGATTCTTAAAAGAATAATACATAATATTCAACTTTAAATTTTGCTGGTTACAAATTCAGAAAAATTCAGTAAAAGGTGAAGAAAAATTTCAAATGATTATTTAGAATTTGAGAAAGATTTTCAATATTTTTTAATTGATTAATTAAAATTAAAGACATATCTTACTGGTCTGATCAACAATCCATCCACGGAAATTCAAGACATTTGTGAAAGCAGCAGGTGTTCCATTGGTAGCTGCACAAAGGGGTAAACCAAAACTGACCACACCAACCAACTCAAAGCGTCCCCTGTCATTCCTACAAACAAGTGGACCACCGCTATCACCCTGAAAAAGTTCAGCAAAAAAATTAATTTTATTATAAGATGAGATTTTTGCAACAGCAAAATGAGGTTAACAGGTTAAGTCATTCATCAAAAATACTTTATATGAATTCTTTTCATTATTTTCTTACAAAGTTTATTGTTTTTGCCTATCACTACAGTCTTTATTGATACATTTTCAACTTTTAAAGTAAACAATATGATATTTAAAATAAAGAAGTAACTTTCAACAAGTCTTGAACTCACATGCAATGCCTCAGGAGCCCAACAATGATATAAAAATGTTCAAAAACTATGGTAGTGAGTAATCATTTTATTATTTGAGATATTTACAAGTATAAAATAGAAGTACTTGATTTTGTAATTAGGTTAATAGCAAAATAATGGAAAAACATTTTTACACATCAAATATTTATTTTTCAACATAATTACCTTTCTTGTCAATGCACCTCAACTCATAAAATCAACATTATACAGTGAAAATTTCAGATCAAAATTCAGCTAATAACTACATGTCAAATTATAAACTTACACTCATATAATTTGCATTCACATGTTGCTGGAAATAAACAGCTAAGCACCACCAACTTGATCAACAAAGTTAATCTCAGCATCATAACTTTCCACTGTTTGGAATTTTTTACCCTCAAAAAATATATTTATATTTATTTATTTTGGAGATTAGTTTGCAGTCTTTTGTATAAATAATTGTTACATATTATTTGGACAAATGTGTTATGGTTATAAAGAGTAATAAATTTCCATGAGATTAAATCAGGTTGGCAAAATGCCTTTGGAGCTGTGGTGAGAAAAAGTGACTTGTAATAAGCAATAATAACTGTATGAACTGAAATTGATTTTTTACTAAGAAAGAAGCTTACACATAGCCAAAGATTATGGCAAAAAATAAAGACAGTATCAATAATGATATTAAAGATTAAAAAATAAAGAATCAACAAATTTATTATTTACATAGCAACTTGGCATGTTTGGTTTATTATGGCGGAAACAGATGAAGGAATTATCTGTAACATTATCATAGTATTTCTTGCATACTTCATTACTGATGGCATAGACTTTAGTCTCCTTCAGATGAGACTGACCAACCACTGAAAAATAAGAAGAATAAAATATAATTGGGACAAAATTAGTAAGATTGATTTTATTTGTAAAATTATTTTCTTATAGTTAATTTCCTAAAAGAAATAACAACATAATAAATACAAATAATTTTATCTTCACTTTATATCAAATCAAATGCCCACTGCTCATGTTCTAATTTTTATATTATATCTGCTGATTATATTGTTTTTATGCATTAACAACCAAACAATTACATTTTGTTATATTTACATATGCTCTTTACACAAGTTAAGTTTCTTTTAAAAATGCTGTATTGCACAACATTGTGATGTTTTTATTCAAGCCAAGAATATATTCTAAATACTCATTATTTTCTCATATCACTAAAAGGTGGTAATAGTTAAATTAGTTATATTTAGGGTTTTTTCTTAGTTTATTGACTCAGTAAATATGTTAGGTTGACCAGAAAGTCCTGATTCACTTAGGAAGTGGAAAGAAAACGACAAAATTTTATGATGCAATACCAACATTTATTCTTCAAATTAAAGTCCATTGTTCTCAATGATTTTCTGCCAGTAGGTCAGCCAGCATCCAAATCTGTCCCAGATACCAGTCCACTGTCTTTGAATCAAAAATCTGTAAACAAGCTTTCTTCACTTCATCAAAAGTGCTGAATTGTTGGTTGTGGAGGAAGTGTGCCATTGATCAGAATAGGCCATAGTCACTTGGAACAGCATCAGGGCTGAATGGTGGATGTGGAAGAATCTCAATAATGTCCATCAGTTTGAAATTTTCATTAGTCAACCTGATAATGTGTGGCCTTGCATTGTCATTCTGAAACAAAAACCTACCTCGATTGACCAAAGAGGATATTCCTTCTTTAGTTTGTTATACATGCAGTCTAGCTGCTGGCAATACAGTTTGGCATTGATAGAGTAACCATGTGGAGCAAGATCGAAATGCAGTACTCTTTGGAATTCCACCAGACTGAGATCAAGATTTGTTGTTTTCCTAAGTGAGTGAGGACTTTCTGGCCAACCTAGTATTTTGCTAAAAAGACATTTTTATACTTCAACAAGTCAATTAACTGAATGTACAAAAATAAAACTGAAAATTAATTGATCTAGTTCCCAATAATCCCATGCATTTAGGATTATTGTATTTATCATGGCTCATTACTGTAATGTTTTCTGAAAATAATTTTACTTTAATTCATCTTTAATAATGAAGTTGTATCTTCTGCAATTTTCAAAATCAATTTTTGACTAAAATCTGTTATCTTTCTTTGAGCATAATTAATGTAATGTGGCTTCAATGTGTTTGTAATGACATATGCAAAATGGACTTGACCTAAGCGACTACTATTAAGTCAGTCATCACTTGGTATGGAGGTAGAACTTGTACATCACAGACTAGAAGACATTACAACAGTGTTAATCCAAACTTTTATGATTATATGGTTTTGAGCTTATATGGCAAGTTTCATTTAAAAAACATTAAAAAATAATAATATTTCATTACAAGTAAAAGCACAGAAACTTACAGTTTTCATCTCTACCCCATCCAGATAGATAGCAATAATTTTGTGCTGTGTACACCTTCGATGGTAAACACACTGGTTGAATATAGTCATTAAAAACAAGGTCCTTCTCCAATAAAATAAGAGCAATATCATTGACTGGAATGCCTTTATGGCTGGCATAATTCATACTGTGAATGATATCTATCACTTTGATTTTGGGAAATTTGTCAAGGTCCTGTATTAGAAGCAGGCCTGCCACCACTTCATACTTCACATATTTTTCTCTGCAATGCAAAAAGATACAAGAATTAAAAATATTTTACATCCAATTGAAGTAATTTTTCTACAGAAGCTGGTATCTGATCTCTGTTTTCTCTATAATTAATTCTACATTCTGGGGTGTTTTTGGATTCTTGGCTTAACTGGATTATATTTAAACACAAAAAAGAGACTAATATGGGAACTACACTTAATACAAGGAAATAAATCTGATTTTCTTTTTAAATAAAAAAACAAGATGCTTTTTCAGAGTAGTATTACATACCAATGTCAATGAATAAGGCAGGTGATATAAAATATTTAATAAGCATGAAAAGCAGAATCAGAACAATCTACCCTTGTGGATTGAATAAAGAGTTCAGTTCAAAATTTCAAGGTTATCAAGTACAAAAGCAAACACCTGAAGTAGGCCAGAATGTGCATCGGCTAAAATGTTGTGAGTACAGCAACCAAGATGAGCAAGATGTTCATCTGAATGGTAAAGCATATAATAATGTTCTCACCTAAAAAAAATTCCAGCAAAAATTAAGAAATTTCAAGTTTTAAACACATTTTTGTTGACATGTTTCTTGCTTTGTGATTTTAAAAATACAGTAAATATGGATGAATGACAATTTTACAAAACTTAGCAACTGGATATAAATTTCAAATAATTATTTCATTTCTATATATATATATTACTTTCTGAAAATTATTTATGGTGATCACAATGCCAAATAACTAACCAAGCAGCCATAATCACTAACCTGTGATGATGTTTGTTAACTTACATGCCCTCACAAAAGCGTAGTTCATAGTTTGTATTGATGCAATAAAATGGCACAAATAATTTTATGATAAAAATGTGGGCATTTGAATTTTTTTTATAATGTAAATTCGTTGATTACATGTATAGCAAAAAAAAGTTTTAAAGATGGACAATGAATGAATTTTAAATATAAACTTCATCACTTTCAAATAAATCTAATAAACATATGTTGTGTCCACTAAAATATCAAATACAATATTTATAAACCAATAATACTTAATAAAGTGCTTACATCTTAAAACACACGAATAAAACCATAGAATACAAATCAGAAAGGTTGTTTTATTTGTCATCATGATTTAGTGTAGCGGGCGGTCCAGTGGCCCCGTTTCACGGAAAGGGGTGAACGAGGTCACAAGAAGCCCGCTAACATTTTTGAAGACGTTAAATCTGACCGTAAAACAATATGGACGACAGAACGAGGATATATATGATATATAGAGGTTTATTCTAAAAGGAAAAGGAAATGAAGATGGTCGGAAACGGTGGAGGTGCTGGATGCTGCAGGAGTGAGCCGGATGCTGCAGGAGTGCTGGATACTGCAGGAGTGAGCCGGATGCTGCAGGAGTGAGCCGGATGCTGCAGGAGTGCCGGATACTGCAGGAGTGAGCCGGATGCTGCAGGAGTGCTGGATACTGCAGAAGTTTTAGTGCAGGCATTGATGGTCGAGGTTGGCAGTTGCTAGGATCATCGTTGTTGGGGGTTGAAGCTGATGTGGGTTGTTGCCAGGATGATCGCTTGGTGGTTGTTGGTGTTGAGTGATGCCAGGATGATCTTTGTTGGTTGTTGAAGCTGAGTCGTTGCCGGGGTGCCAACTTGACGTGTAGTTCGTGTTGCCAACTCGTTGTTTGTCATTGCCGGGGTGCCAACTTGTTGCAGCAGTTCGTGTTGCCAACGTTGTTTGTCATTGCCGGGATGCCAACTTGACGTGTTGGGAAAAAGAGAGAGAGAGAGAAAGTTCCCAACTATCGTCAAGTTGGCAGACAAAAAGAAATGGGAGCGTAACTTAATACACAGCCCGTTGATCGGCGTCCTTGGCCAATGAATGCCAAGGGGCCTGCGTAGACGACCTTTGCGGCCGCCGACAGCCTCCCCAAAGCTTGGGAGAAATCACTGTCTTGTGTGGAGGGGGACCAGCAAGAGAAATTGGCTAAGCTAACCGAAAAGTCTCTATAAAAAAATACTACAAGGTTAGCTAAAGATAACTATGGTCTAAAAATGACTAGAAGTATATTACAACTAGGTTTGTAATGTAGCCTAACTAAAAAGGGGATTTGCTAGTCCCTCTGACGTGTTAACAGTGTGTAAGGAGCATGAATGAGAGGTCAAGGTCGAAATGACCCGTTCCTCTGCCAGTTCAAGGATAGGAGGAGGAGGTAACTCCGACATTAGGTAGATACCACCAAAATATCTTGCGGATGTAGTAGAAGACATACTACGTGGATTTTTAGGGCCAATTAGAAAGAAATAAGTAATTAATTCTGCAGCCGATGTTCTTACAAATAAGTGTATAAAACTCACGAAATCCAGCCCCAAAGGGGATACGTACAGATGTCACTAAGGTCCACGTCACGCTAGCTGATGACTCTCACGACCTCATTCACGTATTCACACAAAAAGCAATGGCGCTGACGAACTACAAAGAGACCGCTTCAGACTACGGCGCCACAACTCACAGTAACAACCAAATTCTAACTATCTCTGGAATCCCTTTTTACTACTAACCACGCACACACGTGTTGACTCTTTCACACAAACACACATATAAGAACATTTCATTGTTTCTCACATACGTGCGCAAATACAATTTATAAACTTTATTAACCAAAACAAAAAGACATTACTTTCTAATCTATAATCAACTTCTTGTATTATTGTTGTTATTAAATTAATGTTTATTTGTTGAAACTACGTTGTCATTTTCTACTGGATTTTATTCTTTGAAGAAAATCGTGGGATTATTCTAAAAGGCCGAATTACGGGCAGTTCCACAACAATATTTTATGTTATTGTATCGAATCCCGACACACTGAATTTTGACATTCAAGGAAAAACCGAGTAGAAGGATTCTTACACATTTTACCAAAGCTAACAAAGTAAAACATGAAAGTAAGCTGGAGTGATATGCACACTTTATATTCAGTTAATTATGCAGTAAATGTGTAACTTGATATTAAAAAGTGAAATCATTATTTTGATTTAATTAAAAATAGGTATTTTCTAGAGAAAATGGTACATAATGATCTTCACAGAAATATATGTTCCACATTGCATACAAATGTTAATTTTAATAAAAGTTAAAATATTAGAAAGATTCAAGATACAGGACCAATGATGTTAGTGTTGTTATCATATCAGAACAATGGCAATAATTTTTATGCAGAATATGCCTATATTTTGAAAATCAATCAAAATTAATATTATCACCAAATTTTAATAAAGCTTTCTTTTTCATTAATCAATTTTTGAATCTGTTTTACGAAACACTTATTCTGCTCCTCGATTATAGGAAAATAGATTTTGCTAACGTAAATCGACCAACATTAATTAATGTTATGGTTACACTGGTCAAGTAGCTTTATATGTGAACAATTTAAAAAAACTTTTTAAAACTATTCCTAAGAGAAAAGATCTGTTTACTTTGGTTATGACAACAGCTTAATGCTATTGCTTTACATTGAATTTTAAAAACAAATATATAATTTTAGAAAACTCTACAAGTATCAATTAGATATTAATTTTCATAAAATATTTTTAATTGAATAATCTGGCATATATAAGCCTATAATATATATATATATATATATATATATATATATATATTGATATAATCGAATATGCATCCACTTGAGTTCCCCCTCACTGGAATATGATTGGCTGGTGTCCGTCATAAATACAGACGGACATGTAGGTACGACAGAGTGTAAGTCTATGACGACGCCCATTGGACTGCGCCATTGGCTATCCTATTGGTCTACACCTATTACCTGCGACTACGACCAGTACCGGTCGATTACTACTACCGTGTACTACTTGGTTACAGTAGCCAAAACCACTTAGTTACTTCGATCAAATATATCCCTTTCCGGGATATATATATATATATATATATATATATATATATATATGTGTGTGTGTTTTATTAAAGACGACAGACAAGGTACTACGATTAAGCTATTTATTTTTAATTTTTCTTGTGTTCGAACAAGTGCCTTCTTTTTTTGGAAACAGTGTGTAGAAACTGTCCAAATGTTCTATAATTTCGAGCGCATTCGGCTATACTTTTAACCATTATCAAGGATAATTTTATTTTTTTCAATTTAATTGGTTGTGTGAGCTGTGTGTATGTTTTTAGTGTTGTAGGGATGGTTTATTTTCCGAACACAGTTAGCACATTGTGGCCGTGTTCGTAGTTAATATTATTAAGTGTTGGCTTTTATATTATTATTAAGGCTTCCATTATTTTTAATCTTTTTTACATGTGGTTGCTGTTATTATGTTTGTATTTTCTACTAGTATGTTTCGGATGGAGTCTGGTAAGTTTGTGTATGTGTGTTTAAATGGATTCTAATAGAGCTGTGGTCATATATACATAACGTAAGGCGTCTGGATAGTAGTCGAGTGACCGATGTAATTATTTATGAGTCCGGTTTGATCAGGAACACAGTTCCTTAAGGGGCATTTGAACTCATACATAATGTTCGTTCGTCGTATTTTTGATTTTGCTGGTGTGTTGTTATTTTTTGAGGATAAGTTTAGCTGTTTTAAATTTTTTGTAGTAGATAATTAATTTGATTTTTTTGTTCGAATCAATTCGAATTCAGTTCGGGCAAATTAATTATCTGCTACAAATGCCCCTTTATTTAGGATTTTTCTTAATTACAGTGTTTGGAAATTTGAATTTATAAAAAGGCTGGGAATGATGCTTGTTAACACAAGTATAAACATTTGCATAAACAGCCTAATTTTATAAATTAACATATCTTAAACTATTGTTTCTAGTAACAAAAATAGGCAGTGTTTGGAGGGCGTTTAATTGGTGCTTCATTCTAACATTATACTTCTGTGCTGTTCTTATTCTATATTCTTATTAAATCAACATTTTCATTTACTTACACCACGCAATGTTCAGCTGTTATAAGCCAACGACTATTGAAGATAGATGCTCCACAGTGGAAGTTTCCATTTCTCAGCAACATTGCTTGCCATGGATATTCCGTTGGAACAGCCTGGTTGCCATATTGCACAAAAGGTTCAAACTTTTTTTGTGATCGTCTACCACATTCTGTAAGCGAATACAAAATCAGAACAACAACTATTAATATCATTTTAGACGACAATGAAAATTTTTATTTTTGTTTTAGTTGATAATAACCAAGTTATAAAATATTGTTGTGGGCGTTTGCTGATCGTGTTTTATATCAGTAAACAAGTGTCTCCCACAACAAAAATGGCGGACTCAGAATGTGAGTCCGAATAATAAATGAACAAAGTAACAACAAAACATGAATGAAGAAAACATTTAAACTAGTGAATTGTTTCTGTATGTGTGTGTAAGTTTCGTGTAAGAGTAAGGGAAAGGTGTGTACGTGCGTGCGTTTTCCTTGTTCGACCTACATCTTACCGTCCCTGGGTAAAAAAAGGAAAAAGAGAATGAAAGAGAATGCCACTATTTATACGCTTAGGGAGCGTCCTCTAGCAGCATTTTTTTTCTTTAGGAAAGTAAGTGGTTAATTTTGTATATTGTGGAATCTTCCATAACAAACCAGTTAACTCCTGCTAGGAAGTGCACTGTTCCTGTTGTAATTTTCACCATCACAATCTTACAAAATATATAACAAGCAGTCATTGGTTAATCACCTTCAATCTAGCTTGCTGATTGGTCAGTTCCGACCAATGAGATATCCTGCACGCGACAAATCTTTTTTTCCCGCGTTCTCCATTTGAGCCTGTCACGTGGTACAACAAAATTATAAAAACAAAACAATATAGTTACTTATAAGAAATACCCATTAAATTTTTACTTTTAGTGTTTTCTAAGGGTTTGATAAAATGATTAAAAACTAAATAAGACAAAGAAAGACAAACAAAGAAAGAAAGACATATAGAATGACATTTATTTAGTTCTTGGGGGATGAAGGGCTTTGGAACAGTGTGTAGGCGTCCTTCAAAAAGAAATCCAGTTTCTAGTTTCATCATTTCTCGTGTTAATTGCCGAACCTTTTCATTGGTAAACTCCATAGATTCCTTTGCAACCATAGGCTTGGGTAGTGGCACTGAAATTCCTGCCACTGCAACGGTTAGTAAGTAACCTTGGTATGTTGGTAGCTTTCGTAAACGAAGTAATACTATTGGCAATGCATCTAATCAGTTTTGTTTTCTTACCATTACGACAGTTTTAATTGCACTGTGCTGCCTCTTAATTACTCCATTGGATTGTGGATGGTATGCTGTGGTTCTTAGTTTTCATCTTGTTTGGAAAATCGACCTGATATAAATGATGACAGACACTTCTAGTGAAACTCAGTGAAGTACTTAGAAATGGTATAATCCTTATTTCAACATCTGTTGTTTCCTCTACTTTATAGTATTTCTTCTACTTTATAATTAGCTACTATCGCAGTCCGGCACCCTCTTTTAATTTTCTACTCGCGCTCAAAGCCAATAGAGTCAATCAAAATCAAAAAAATATTTTCTTGAGTTCAAATTAGTTATATTTGAAAATTATGAACTTCTGAACTATTTATCATTGTTTTAATATAGTAATACTAATGCTGGTTTTCTTCGGTCTAATTTCTTCATCTTTCTTGTTTTTTTTTTAATGTTTTGGCTATTTAGCCTCCAGCCTTCTTCAGATGACTGTTGCATTCTAGAATTTTGACGAATTCTACTTCAGGGATACATGCCCCGTCTAACAAAATTCGGACAATAATATCAATAAATTTATTAATTTGGATGATTGGTTCTGGAAAATGGAATCTATAGGCCGAGTTCGAATTCCATCTGACGCTGTTCGCACTAATAGCATTGAGAAAGACATGACTTTATCCCTAAATTCCCAAGCTTTTGGTAAATTCCAAAGTAGAGTGGGTTTTGAAGTTTTGGTAGGGCAACTAGAGTAAAAGATGGAAAACTGAATTAACCCTCCCACCCTTATTAACACTTCATGAGCCAACGTATTTAGCAGAGTTTGGAGAAAATCTGGGTTCTAGGGTGAACCAAGAACATGGTTGATAAGAAAGAAAACATCTAACTCACCTTGTTCGTAGCATTCAAGTTTCAATTTTGGACAAGGTCTAAAATAAAATAAAAATAATGTAATCTAATAGATCCTTACTGAAAAGTTTATATTGTGACACAAGGCCGAAAAAATGGGGGAGATGGGTCAAGTCTAGTCGACACTATCTTATACCTAGCTAATCAGATTTACAACCCATTCATTCGTTACAATTTACTCATTCTCCATAAGAATCTATCCGTCACCATTCGCTCCTACATACACCAAAATACCTCACACACACAGGACCCCCACTGAAAAACACCCCATGAATTAAAATTTCAATATTTACAATTGTATAAAAATTCTATCAATGTTACGAAATGATAGGCAGAGGTGGTGACACCGAAAACAAGCTGAAAAAAAGAAAGATTTTAGTAAGACCCGTCCACCCCTCAAAAATAAAAGTTGCTGCTGTATTCTGTCTTCCGACAAAATCAAGACGCTGTTTCTCCCTAAGGGAGGGGGAAGGATAAAAAAAATTATGGGCATTAGAAAATTAAAAAAACTGACCCACTCGAGATGAAATGCGCAACTAATTCCCGATAAATGACTCTCCTATGCTGAGAAAGGTCACTGGACCGAGTAATGACTCTCAAGCCCGATCGACACTCGAGGAAATCCGACTGATCCCGGGGCCTACGATGACACTCAGCTCTAGAAACAAGAGGTAAGGCGAGAGAATGCGGCCCTCACACTCAAGATTCAAGATCGAATCCTCTGTCAACACGCGGCGTAAGAAAGCCAACCTCGAAGCGTGTCGGTGACTCGCCAAGTGTGGCATTACCAGCCCCCATGACACGGACGTTTGGCACAGACATCTCTGTCAACGTTATGCTTACGACTATCCCACAAGAGGGAGGAGAGCAAGCGCTCGATCACCTTCTTACGTTCCTTACAGAGAGGAAGTACAGCGAACCGGTAAAGGATGAGAGAAAAGACGTAAGTGGCACACGACTCTGTCCCACCCTTCACGGACAACAGCCTTCGGCCTCAAATCTCGGCCGACCTTTGCGCGTATTTCTGACTGATTTTTCTCCAGCTAGAGTCCGGACCCAAACCACCCAATTATTACACATGAGGTGAATTTGCACGGATATGAAAGATTATTGGAAGCATGCTAATAATTTCCTTCGGCATTATGTTAAGCGTGGCTATCAAGAATTGCGACTGAAACAAATTGCGAATGAAATAGCAAAACATGAAGATTGCTATAATTCTATACCAAGACAAAACCCAGAAAAGAACAAAATTTCTGACAGAATCCCATTAGTCATTAATTGGCACCGAAATTTTGCTGGAATTTCGAAATTATTATATGACAGCTATGAGCACATTGCGCAAAGATATCCCTGGTTTAAGGATTTCTTCTCAACTCGCCTATAGTTTCTTTCAAAAGAAATAAAAGCATCAGACAAATTTTAACAAATGTAAGCGTCCCTGCTCAAAACAACATTGGAGTTTCGGATTGAAAACACTCGTAGAAGAGGAAAACCCTGCACGTTGTGCAACAACATGAGTTAAGTTAATTTTATTACAAATTCAAAGAGAAACATCACGATTTCTACAGAGGGTGGTAATTGTACTGATTCGCATTTAATATACGTCGCCCAATGTACCAAACATGATTTGACTTATGTGGATTGCACAACGGAAAAATTAAATAAAAGATTCAATGTACGCAAGGATGATGTCAGGCGCAATAATGTGACATCAATATAGCTTGCAGGACATTTTATTACTAACGACTGTAATTTCGACAAACATCTTAAGGTGTATATTCTGAAAAAATATTCAGAATCTACAGACCTGTCGACCCGGCCCGGGGTTGGGGGATGAATAGTATAACAGGAGAGTTCCATAAGATTTATACTTAGCTGCTTAATTAATTCGTCTTACAATCAACTAACGGAAAAAGTCAAGATGAACAAGATCACCATCCTATTAAGCACGTTTTAGTTGCATGCCTTCATGCGGGCGACGTTTTATTCGTTTTGACGCGTTCATTACCAGTACAGCCTTTTCCCATTACATGACAAGCAACTCGGATGAAAATTAGAACTGATAGAAAGCGGTTGATATCAACAGATTTCAACGAAAGGTGTGTATTTGTGGCGAGCCTAGTTTGCCTGAATGGGACTAGCCTTGATTTTCTTTTTAAGTTCACCTAATTCACAACGGGGGCGGTTTCCTAATGAGCCCTCACTCCCCTGGTTAATATCGACTCTTCCAAGCGTGCCTAGTCAATGTGAGTAAGTGTAGTTCTCGGTCTATTCCCGACTTTTTCTGCTTTTGTTATGATCCAAGTCGAGATTCCCAACCACTCCAGTTTGTTTTGGGCCGCCCTTTTCGTGTCAATTGGGTCAGTTTTTTAATTTTCTAATACCCATAATTTTTTTATCCTTTCCCTCTCCCTTAGTGATAGGGCCTCTTGATTTTGTTGGATGACAGAATACAACGGTCACTCTATTTTTATGGGGTGGACGAAGCCCTATTAAGATCATTCCTTCTTTTCGGAAGCATCATCCTCCCCCACCATAAAATTTTTATATATATATTTTATACACAAGTACATATTGGGATTTTTAACTCGTGTCGTGTTTTTTCCCATTAGTTACCAAGTGTGTGAGGTATTTTGGTGTATAAAGGAGCGAATGATGACTGATAGATTTTTATAGTGAATGAATATATTGTAAAGAATGAATAGGTCGTGAATTCGATTAGTGATTTTTTCGTTCTTGTGTATCAGTAATAAATCTTAGACAAGCAACGTTTATACAAAGACTTATAATAATTTTTTGTAGATTTATATATTTTTATATATAAAAAAATTGCTTAAATATAACTTGAAGAAAACTGACATTCTGTTGAAATATTGTTTAATATTGTCAAACACTGTGTTTTTTGTTTTCTTTATCTTTTCTTAAATCGCGCTCTTAATGCTTAATAATTATTTATTATTATTATTATTATTATTATTATTATTATTGATAATTAATAATAAAGAAATAATTATGAAGTTAAAAATCAAAAATGGTGACATTATCATTATGAAAATAGAAATAATCGATCTAAATGAATTTATGAATAAATATCTTAATATGCAAGAGTTAATGTAACAATTACTTACTTGGAAGAGAGTGACAAATTATACTTTCCTATAGCAGTTACTTTGGAAGGATTTGGAATTGGTATCAATCCAACAGAATTAGAACTGCTAACTGTTTTTCGTTTGGCAACTCTAACGAATGAAAAAAATAATTTTAAGACAGAAAACATTATTGTCTCTTTTTCTGTTTTATTCATTTGCTATATAAAACAAAAACAAATGAAAGAAGAAAAACGTCTTGTACAGATAAAAAAAAGCCACCTATCTCCTTTTGGTGGTGATGAAGTCACGTAACGGCCGCTTAGTGAGGTCACTGCATAATGACGAAAGTGACAGTCCTTCAGTCAGCTTCCAGGAGTCAAACCGAACAGTTGCTTCACGGCCCGGGCCGAGGCTAAATTTTCCTTCTCTAACCACATGGTGCAACTTACAAGCCTATAGTGCTATTTTCCTATGGAAATATATCTTCACCAGATATAGAAAATATATCTGGCTCGTAATCCTCATTTTTAATTTTTCCCGTTTGTGGAATATGTCTTCACTAGGGACATAACAGATGAATCCGGTCCACTCGAATCTTGAATATTCCAGAAACACAGAAGAATCTGCGGTAGCTCCATTTTGCCTTGAGAATTATTACTCTTATACTATAAGACTCTCTTTTTTTGTCATCTTTTCACTATGCTTGTTTGTTTAGATACGTGTCATATTTTCTCTGCATGAGACAAGTATAAATATGTATATATAATTTTTTTTATATATAAATATGTATATATAATTTTAGCGGTATAAAACTCTCTCTGAGAACCAAGCATGTTTGTCATTCCTTTTCTTTTCAGCCATTCCGTTCCGTCCATGGAATAATGTGTTATTATATCTGTTATGGGACCTTACCCATAATAACATAATGGACTATTCCATACGTAATAAATACTGCGTCTCAAGAGGAAGCAGGAAGTTCAGTCCGAAGTCGGACGTCCGGCTGATCGGTTGAACTCACTGCCTTCGGGCGGGGAGGAACCCGAACGAGGCTACGGCGATGGTCGGAGTCTCTTTCAGAAAGTTAAACCGACCCTGAACCCGTTTATACGGGTTCAAAGGGCATGTTTTTGGCCGAGCCCACGGTCTCGGAGATCCCACGTTAAACCGGTCTTGTGCCACATGATGCCCTCGTCGGGGGGGGGGAATAAATACTGTTCAGCCTGAAATCTGGAGTGAGGTCCGCCAGAAGTCTGTCAGTCGAGTCAGAGGCAGTCCGAAACAGAGTTGCGTTCAGACAATTACTACCAAACCTGATTGTTCGTAGTAACTACTTCTCTGTATATATTCCTGTTTGTAATATATCTGTGTTATTCCATATACGTGTTCGAGTTCTTCTTTATTGGTTCTACCTTGGACTATCACCGTGTTTCAAGGAACCGGACCATAACAATATCATTGATATAATAACGCCCATAATGGGGAAAATACAAATGGAAGAGTAAAATTTTCTTCCATAGCGCACCCATTAGTCTGAAATTTCCAAGTATTTATTTATGGTCTTATGCGTTACCATCACCGCCATCAACGAAATATGGAAAATAAGAATAAAGGGTTTTCCTGCACATATTTGCTTAACATATATATGAGCCCGTACAAGTATGCATTAATGATAGAAAGAATGCCTAATTTTTGTCTTTATTACTTAGCTTAACGTGACAAGATCATTTTGTCCTTCCAATGTAACAGACAGGTTTTGCCTATTAACTGTATCAAGTTTATCTCAGGGGGATACATAAAAAAAATATTTCTCAACTCACCCTTGCCCCATAATCAAACACAAGGTAGAATAAAGGGCTTCATTGAATCCATTACCACAGAGGGACGTCCAGTTGCCATTATAATAAAGTTCTATGTTGCTTTCTTCATCTCTCCGTACTGACAAACGAGAAATAATTCATTAGAAAATAAAACCATCAAGGAAAATTAAATTCTAAAGTAAACAAGCTACAGTACTTGAAGTTGTGAAAGCTATTGAAGCTGGATAAGAATGAGTAAGTCTTGCGAATGAGTTAAGTAGTAAAATGCAAATGGTAAATATTTATGTAGGTGCCTCCACAAGTTAATGACCATACCATGATAAAAATCCCCCAATTTCTATACTAAAGATTAGTATTGAAAATTTTAGCGTCTTTTTTCCGGTAAAAAACACATTGATTTGGAAATTTTTGCAAAAATCAAATAATCGTCGGATTTCAATGACACTTTCAGGACAAATAAATGAAATTATTTTAAAAATGTTTCTTTTTCGAAAATCTTGGTAAAAAGATTTTTTTACACCTGTTAACACACACATACACTTAATTAATTTTATTAAATTTCGAGAAAATAATTTTTGTCTCGCTTAATATTTATATTAGTTATCCGTAGAGCGATTTGAGGAATTTAAATAATCATTTTTTTTTTTGTAAAACAGGACCCAGAGTTACCGAAAATCTGCTCTGATAAGTAAAATAAAAAATGCAATAAAACTAAGACATTATTTAATTAGAAAAGCTTTTAATTGCTTTTATGAATAAGATATATAATGGACACTATTGTCCAAAAAAATATTCGATGAATAATAAATTTTTAGAAGAATAGTTTTCATTTTTTTAAATTTTCATTAGAATAATTTATGAACATTTAAATCTTTTAAAATTCTGTTTTTTAATTAGAATAAGTTATAAAGTTTTAAATCTTTTAAATTTCTATACTAATTTTTACTGGTTAGGTGATCTTGTTATTAATTAAAAACTCTATTGAAATGAAAGAGATTACTAAAATTCAGCGACTCCCAATATATTAAAAAGAATTTTGAATTAGTATGTGCGTATGTCCAAACGAGCCAACTTCTGTAAATACGGACGTCCATGCATGACATGAGAAAATAAGAGCGATAACTATAGTAAATGTAAAGGCAAAGTACCTAAAATTCAATAAAACATTACATTACAAAAAATATTTTCCTAAATTTTTAAGATTACTGGGTAGTTGAAAATTATATAAAAATGACGCTCCCGATATATTCCTCACGTAATTTTTGCAGATATATCCACCGTAGAAAAAATAACCTTCCATCTGTCAGCCAAGCTATCACCATGTCAACATCTTAAAAAATGCATTTCTGCGATATTTTAAACTTAAAGTAAATAATATTTATTTCAAATTAGATTAATTATACTTTAAATAATATTCATCAAATAAAGTTTCAGCAAAGTATATTTTATTTTTGGAAGATTTTTTTAATAATGAGAATTACATTGCGATGAAAGACGACTAAAAAGGGCGCTAAAATCAGCGATTTTTAGCGGCTTCAAAACAAAATCTCCTTCCAGTCAATTTAAATTAGTTTTGAAATACAGCAAAATATTTTGCTTAATGGTATCGCGTTTCGGTGGAGGTACCTATATTTATGCGTTACTAAAAGTTGTACAGTAAGCCGTTCTTATAATGTTGATATTGCTGAAATAATAAAAAAAAATATAATAATGGTTGACAATCTACTCACATTAACCACAATTATAGTTTATATTTTGATTTAATGTCCCTAAAATAATTCTATTTTATTCTACTCTTTCAAGTGTTGAAAAATATCAAGAAATGTGAAACTTACCGCAGTTCATTTCATCAGAGGCGTCCAAACAATCTGGCTTGCCATCACATCTTTTCGTCTTTGAGATACACATATGATTTTTACATGTGAATTCATTGGCTTGACAATTAGCTAAAAAAAAAAATAATAAGCGAATTACTTATCGATCATCCATTTAAGTTGGTAATAGGCGAAAGTCAGATAGGCAATGTAGATTTCATTTCAAACTGTCCATTAAGTAAATGTTACTTACCAAATAATATAAAACATAAGGTGTCTTTTATTAATAAATATTTTGCCTTAAGATGAAAAAATTGTAGTAGCCAGTATTGATATACGTACCGACGATATGGATTTCGGGAATTCACAAGGTAATGAAAATGTTATCATGGCATAAGTTGCAGTAAAAATGACAACTGGATAAATGTAAAATTAGAAAGCACCAAAACAAGAAGTCGACAAAGAGAATAAAGTAAACTATCCGGACATTTCAAGAGACAAACAAAATGAAATTCTGATGTGATGATATGGACACGGTTGCGGAAAGTACATTCGAGTAGAGAAAATAAATTCTTATTAATGGCGACCGAAAACAATTCTAAATGCACCAAATTAGGAAGGAGACTGCAAAATATTAACTGTAAACTTAATGCAGAGATAAAAAAAAAAACAGTAATCATATATAATAAGCGAATGCAGCAAGGAATTCAAAAAATTGGCATAACTGAATGGAGAATGTAGTGCGCCTGAAACTTACATGAAAACAATGAAAATAATAGTATACGAGTAAATCAGAATCTTTTCTGAGGAAAACAAACATAAAATTTAGACGGATCACTCAGTCCCGAAAACCAGATTTAATCACTGTAAAGTATAAAATCTGAGGAATAATGCAAAACATCCAGATGACAGTAAAGAAAATGCTGGAAAATTGAAAATACTTGCACCCATTTTATCTCCGTTGAAAGTCAACTAGATAATGATGCAAGGGTACATTATAATATTACCAATATTTACAAAAATCATGAAAATGGCAAATGACGTCCGTGTGAAGACTAAGAAAAAACTATCAATCATAAATAAATGCAACAATTTAGCTGAGGAGTATAAAAATTAACGTAGCTGTGTAAGAACAATAATCTGTTGGAAAACTACTGACATTTGACGATGCTTATGAAAAATATAAACACAAATCATGAACATTTTAGGGAATAGAAAAAATAAAATTGTTTGGAACTTTAACATTCAAATGGATCGTCTTATCTATGTCAAAGGAGTAGATTTGGCTGTTGCAAACAAAGACAAGAATTTCTGTCATTCCAACAGGCTACAGAGGGAAAATGAAAAATTATCTGAACTTCTCCTTTTTCAAAGAACTGTAACAATCATGAATTGTTAAAGTGATTACTGTGTTCCTCATTATTGGTGTGCTTACAACAATCCAGAAGAACATGGCAAAGAGGTTTGAAGAGATGTATACCCGAGAAAGAAATTAATTCACTATGATGATTGTCAGTATACTCACTGAACTAAATTCAATATTTTAGTGAATTGGTCCGTTTCTAGGGTTTAAGGTTAGTGATTGGATTTAACTTCCCAAAGTTGATGTTGAAAAGGAAAAAGAAGAAAATTAAGAATTTACGGACATTTTTCTTCAGTCCGTACTTACAGCAATTTTTCTCGTCTTCTTTACCCGGACAATCGATGTCACCATCACAGAACTGACTAGAATCCAAACAGTATACAACTGAACTGTTGGCTATCTTCGGACAGGCTTTCTTTCCTGGCTCACAAGCTGAAAGAGAAAATTGAAATGATATCAATTTAACTTAAATTTTGTTAATAAAAGAATACGTATTCTATCATAGTAAGCTTAAAGCAGTGAAGACAACTGGAATTTGAGAAATAAAATGATCAGTACGATGTACCATTGGGATTTGAACCCAGAATTAATCAGGGGCTGACAAAGAGAATTCATTATCCCAAGTAGAAAGACCTTCTCAGAAATTGTCGAGACGATAATACCGAGAAAATCTTTATGATGAAATAGAGAAATCAAGATAAATGCTGAGATTAATGGCGGAAACGTTTCATGCACCAATTTCTTATTTTGTTAGTACATTCCAACAACTTTTTCTAATATTCAAGTCAGGAAACTGACTTAGTCAATTTTCATTTAAACAATTTATTGTCGATTTCGAAGTATTGTTTACACCTACAGTGATTCTTGCGATTTTTAAATAAATAAAATATATACAATAATCTTCAAATCCAATATTTTGCAACATTTGAGATATAATGCAACCTACCTGAATTATAACATGCCAATCCGACGTCATACAGGTGAGAAATTGTGTTAACAACGTTCACCTTGTCACAATCCTGTAGACTAGTTTCATTACCAATACAAGTGATTTGCCAGACATCGCCCAGCCCAAAGAAAAACTTTCCAAAACGTACAGACTTAGAGAAACCACTGCAAAAATTTTAAATTCAACAAAAATAAATGGTTCATCATTATAAATTTTAAAAATTTAAAGGGATAAAAAACACGATATACTAGCTAGTTATTGACTAATAGACTTTCAACTTAAATATCAATAGCTTTTTACTCACTTTTCTATGACTAGGCACTTAGTTCGAGATTTTTTGTCATTTTCCTTAGAATCTCACAATATATTAAACAAAAATGACTTGTCATTGATATTTTTCGATTAAAAAGTGAATATGTCACGAATTGAATGCGGCACTTAAATGCACCTTTGCCATTGCAAGTTTTGAGTGTAAGTCATTTTTATTATTTTAAATTATTTTAGCAAATTTACAGCCTAATCATTGTTCTTGGACATCAAAGTAAATATTCCATTCTAGACAATGTAATAAATATGTGTTAAAAAAAGTTTGAATTTAGAATTCAAAACGAATTTTATAAAATTTAAATATGCTTACAATTTTAAGGCAGAATGTTTCCATATCACTTATAACAAGTTTATTAAAGGATGAAAGGAACGTTTTTACGAGCCGATAAATTTATTTAACGTAGATACGTACGTGTAACCAAGTTGTCTACATGCCACTTTTGCATTACTTTCAAACCATCGAAGACTGTAGGCTGTTCCCCAGCTGCCGTTTACATAGATTTCTACACGACCTTTATCACCGGAAGTGATGCCATCAACCAATCGGATATTCGACCTATTGGCAGCTATAGATACAAAAAAGACAGGGATTCTGTTTTCATTTGTGACAGATCAACAGCGTTGGAGATCGTAGATTTGTTAAGGTACCTCTCTCTAAAGCTGTTAGTAGTGAATTCATTCACTACTGGGCTTCTCTATAATTAGCCTTGGGTAACAAATATCTTGTCTAAAACGTGGCGGATGAAACAAGTTGAAAGTTTTTATTAGTTTTTCTTTGCATTTATCAACTTTACAGAATTTCCCTGGCGTGGGAGAGTGAGAAATGTCATGAAAATAGCGATAGAGTAGCGAGAATTTAAAAATAATTCATCTGTGAGAAAAGGATTGGAAAACAGTTCATCACCCACAATGCCGCGCAAATGCTGTTAAACTTTGTCAAGGGTGGAAAGTAAGGATTAGGCAGCTCCAGTTCAGATGTGGCAGTATTTTGGGTCTGATCTGGCTCTTGCAAAGATAGAGTATAGCGAGTATAGCGAGTATATTCTGGAGCGAATCGACCTTTTCCCAAAATATTTAACGAGGGATCGTATATACAAGTTCCACTCGAACTCCAGAGAGCTCGAGTCCCAATAGACTTTCTAGGCAAGGAGCCTCATTTTGAAAGTACAACCGTCCATTATTACTGGGGAAAACTCAGTGTCTTCGTACTGATGAAATGTTGCTAGATATTTCTAATATGAGTTTAAACACTCATACAAAATATTAGCTGTGCTTATTTCAGACAACATATTTTAAAAAGTGAAAAACAATTGACTATCAGACCCGACTTTCTGAAAAAATAAGGTACAACAGTGCAGTATCCAAATGGTAAGATAATACACGTATGCTTAAATCTTTCTTGATAATACGAAATCATGAATTTATATCATATCTCATATGAATTAAAAGACACGACGTATTTTGAAAGTACAAACCAAGATTCCTACATCATTAATGGATTAATATTTTTGATTAACAATTTTCACATTTGTTTAATTTCTTTCTTTTCAAACTGTATTCTATTTGTATTAAAATTGAGAGATAATCGTGATTAAAATGAGCTTATGCAATTGTAATTTTAATGCAGAACAAGAACCAAGTAGCGTAGGAATTAGTTCAATTTAAGTTAATCACAATTTTGATAATGAAATTATTTAAAGTCGTCTTACAGCAATTCAGTTCATCAACTCCATCGGAACAATCTTGTATCCAATCACATTTCCTGTAGTTGGGTATGCAGATGTCGTCTTGCTTGCATTTAAACATTTGATCACTGCATACTAAAAAAAAATACAATAAATCATAATAGATAATCTGATGATAAACTTTCAAATCAATTTATGGCAAACTCATCATGTTTTAATATACATAATAAAATTTTCTTAATTTTTTTTTAATGCTGTTGAATAACTGTTCTTGTTTGAAGATAGAGAACTGTTTATTATGTTTAAGTATACATAATTTGTTCACATGCTTCAATTTTATCATCATGGACAATGTTTGTTATGTTATATTTTACATTTATATGAAATTATTATACTGACAATTTACGTCAGTTCAGTGGTAGATTTTTATGAAAATATTTTTATAATTTCCTTACTTTATGATGGGTAACGAAGTATCTATTGAAAATGTCAGTGTCACATGCAAGTTTCGAAATAGTGAGAAATGAAACATAGAACAGAAATAAACGATAAAAGTAAAGAAAAGATCATTTTAAATCAAATGTAATTCTTTTTTATTTGGATGCGTACAAAAATTTTCCAGAATTTCTTATTAAAGAAACCTTTTTTTTACAGTCTTCAGTCTCTGATTTTGCACGCATCTAATATAGAAAGTTGCCTGCATCTGATCCAGCCATTAATATTAACGAGAAAGTTTGCTTTCGTTGATCAATCGAACCTTAGTTCCATTCAAAGTATTTTCCCCTTAATACCTTTACACATTTATCCTAGTTTCCTTTCTGATTTTCAAAATAAAAATATCATCCATTTTAGGGATGATCATCATCTAACTCGTTGAATTTTCTTTAATCTCATCCACAGTTTGAAATTTATCAGCTTTGGTAAAAAGTCGAAATGACATAGAACCAAAACTGGACAGCAAGAAGTAGTGTAGATAGGATAAGACGTAAAGAATTGAGATTAGATATGACTAGATCCTTTTCAGACAGTCTCTAAATCTTCTCGCATTGACAATCACCGATTTCTTTTGAATGAAACCCGCACACGTTCAACATTTTCGGTTATTTTGCTTGTTGAGGGCCTTCCAAAGTGTGAATTTTTTTTCTTGATTCATACGCCAAGTTTGTAACGGTTATATGAAAATTTGATCTGGACTTCGCTGACTGAATAATCCTCGACATTTTTCTTAAGCATTCAAATAGTTTCTTCGAACGAACCTGATGCAGATTCTGCTATTTACTGACGCGTTCATTGTTGATGCCCCGTATCATCCACGGAAAACTTCTGGTAACTGTTTACTTCCAGTATAGTCAGTGTTTGTATCACTGTCTTTTGTATCACTTTTGTCAATTACAAAGACGAGCGTATTCCCTCTTCAATCAAGACAAATCAATCAATGTGATTCTTCCTTAATGAGATTAGTGTAACTATGAGCGTTCAGCAAATTTTCAATAATGTTCTAAGAATGACGAAATAGCAAAATCAATCACACCTTGTATATGAATTAAGTACTGAATATTTACAATTATATTTGTCTGTACGTATATTTATATACGTACAGACAAGGATAGATAGATCTAGTCTCTAATCGCTATCCCACAGACGTGCCGTAGCCTCCCTCTGTCTCTTCTACAAATATTTTCACGGCAACTGTTCTGACGAGCTACTTTCGCTGGTTCCCGGACTACATGAATTTAAGCGAGCTACTAGACTGGCATCTCGGTCCCACCCTTTTACTGTCAAAACGGTTAAATGTAACCGTCTCTTCTACTCAAACAGCTTCTTCTCTCACACTTCCAGTCTATGGAACTCCCTTCTTCCCCTTACTTGCTTCCCCGATGACTATAATCTTCAAATATTCAAGTGTAATGTCAATCGATATCTGACACCCTGAACTTGTTCCCCGTCCTTCTCTGTATCCTTCCCTCAAACACGCCATCTTTACTCTTTGTTCTCAATCCTCTCTAACCCTTTGCGTGCTAGTGGCACGCCTGTCTTGCTTGGGGTGAATTGCCTTAAAAAATTGCCTTAAAAAAATGCCTTATTGGAAGTTGCTGAATTTTAGTAAGCTCTTTCATTTATGATTAGTAGTTTTTATTTAATAACAATATCATCTAACCGGTACAAATTAATACAGAAATTTAAAAAATTTAAATCTTTATGAATTATTTTAATTAAATTTTTTAAAAATGTAAACATTTCTTGTAAAAATTCATTATTCATCGAAAAAATGCCTTAAGACAAGAGTCTTCATAATATATCTTTTGCTCATAAAAGTAATTAAAAGCTTTTCCAATTAAATAATGTGTTATTTTTAATTTTACGGTTTGGGACAAATTTTCGGTTTCTGTGGATCCTATTTTACAAAAAAAAAAAAAAAAAAAAATGGTGATTTAAATTCTCCAAGGAGTATATAATTAATATAAACATTAAACGGTACAAAATTGAATTTCTCGAAATTTCATGAAATTAAGTGATGGGTAACAGCAGTAAAAAAAAAAAATGTTACCAAGATTTTCTAAAAAAGGAACATTTCTAAAATAATTCCATTTATTTGTTCGTAAGTCCAGAAAGTTTCATAAAATCCGACAATTATTTGATTTTTGCAAGAAATTTCCACATCAGTGTGTTTTTCACAGTAAAAAAAGTCGCTAAAATTTCCTATACTAAATGTTTGGCCACCGCTCTGACGCAAGAAAAAAGGATTTTTAAGTAACATTTTGAACGTTCTAAAAAAGATCAAAAATATAATTTAATAATAAAAAAAATCCTTTGGTCTTTTCTCTTACTATTAACATACAGATTTTTACGCTAAACTTTTGTTTTTATTAAGTTTGGGTCATTTTCTTCATCATGGTATGCTCATTTTAAGCCAATCTGCAAAGGTACCCCCACACACATATATATATGTGTGTGTGTGTGTGTGTGTGTGTGTGTGTGTGTGAATTTGTATAGAGATAGTATTATCTTTACCTGTTTCGGGACACATTCCATAACTGATGCTTACATCGTCAATTGCGAAGATAGTGCTGCTGATTTCCTGATTGTAATGTCCCACTGAGAATATTACCGATATATTTCCAGATGTCAGATTCATCTGTCCGTGTCGCCAGCGAGCCAGCGAGAAGCCGTTTGTTCCAAATGTTTTTACTTTGTTTTTTTTACTGTCTTTATAGTCAGCAGTTACCGAAATAGCCTGGCCTTTACCCAATTGGATGTAGTAATAGAATTGTAAGCACATAGTTTGTCCATATGCGATCCGAGGGGACATAATTTTTGATGGATGTGACGTGGCCAGAAAATGACCTGAAAAACGAAGTACTATGTTATCTAAGTTTCAATTAAAAGAAAAAAAACTATAAGTGGTTGATCAACGTTTTATTAAAATAGATTGATAACATTCTAATCAAAATCACGAACTAGAAGAGAATGTTTAGGAATTATTGTAAAATATAGAATGATGATATAAAATTAACTTTTGTATTCATGATAAAAAAAATTCTGAAAGAGATGATAGTAAATTACATTGATTTGCTAGAGTATATATTGCCATTTTCTATAGAACAGGTGCTTGCGGAGTTCAACAACATAGGAAACCCTTAAAATATTAATTTTTACATTAGATTAAATTAAAGATGAGTTAAAACTTTGCAAAGATTATTTGTCTTTTGACTTAGGAATTTTTATATGCATATTTCATGAAGCAAACAAAAACCTTCAGTATAAGGTCATTTAAGAAAAAACTGCTATATCATTTTCATTATTGTAAAATTAAATATTGAAAAACATCTATAACCGCAAAAGTTCATGATTTAAATAAAGCAATGATTCGAATGCATTTCAAATATCCCATTAGCATAAATCATGGGCTTTTCTTTTTGTTTTGTAATTGCCTTAATATGAACATTTTTCTAAATGTAGGATCAGATAGAATCAATTTGCTCCAAGGGAGATAGCTAAATATGATATAAATTACCATTTTTTTTTAAGAATTTGAACACATGAAAACATGAGTACTTTTTATCAAATGCTTCATGCATATAAATTAAGATTATATTCGAATCGGCTTCATGCCTCATGAATAGTATAATATTTCCGATAGTTGCTATATAATTCTTCTGAAAATCCATAAAATAATAATGAGATCAAAATATAAAAGGTAGGAACTTTGGACATTGATTTGTGACTAATATTTACCTGAATATATTTAATGCTGTCAGAGTTGTGAATACATTTTTTCTCATGAAAATATTAATTTCATTAGCATCTCCAGGGAAAGTTTGTAGCATTTTCGGATATTCATGAAACAAATTATTACTGTATCCAGACTATTAAATTTATACTTCATATTATATATTTTAAGTATAGCAATTGAAGATTGGGCACAAATTTATCAAAAAATAAATCAACTACATCTATATAATAAATGCGAAAATATCTGTGTGTCATACTTTTGCAATTAAAGGGTGTGTCCATTTAATTGTAATATTTTAAATATATCATCTTGTATAAAAATAAATGCGAATGTCAGTGTGTCACACATTTTCAACTTTACTCCGAGAGGCCATAGCCCAACATATCATACCATTTTGGAATAAGGCCAACTCCATGAGCAAATTGAAAACATTTTGGGCTGAATCTGGACCTGCAATCCTGAAATTGTGGATTCCAAAGTTTTCATTACTGCGATTTTTTCAGGGATTTTTTACATGAATTTTTGCGACAAATCTTTTTGTACGTTAACAATTTTTATAACATGGAAATAAATTTAGGAATAATCAAAATTAATTGTGAAATCCAGCGAAAGTTACCCATGAAATAAAAGTAATGGTTTGTACGGAATGTAAGGACCTACGTACATCAAATTGTCTTTAAATTAAAATGACGGCAGAAGAATTATCGTTGAACTTTTAAAAGCTTAAATATTAATGTAATACTTAAATGCAGCGATCAATTTTCAGTTCTTCTGTAGTGTATTGTTGCCTATCGTATACAGCAGCAGTATGGCTCGCAAAAAGAAATCTCTGCCAACAGAAGACCAGATTGTAATCAAAATAGCTAAGGCTGCAACGAGGAAAAGAAAGTCCCATGCAAATGAAAACCCAGAGCAAACGGCAGCCAGAAGAGCTTCCAATACTAAGAACATACAAAGACTTAGGAACTCTCAAACTCCTGAGCAAGTCGAAAGCCCGATCAAGAGTCCTCCGCAGAAGCTAACTTAAATGCCGCCCAATGGAGTGGCTTTTAAACTCGTCATAATAATAAACATCTCTAATAATCTAGTATAGTAAGCTTAAAATATTTACAAAGAGGCTAAAATATTGAAATAGAGAATTTTTTTAATCTTCATTTTCGTCAAATAATGTAAATCAGTTCTGTCGCTTTTTATATATTAAATTGATCGCTCTGTATTCAATAAAAATGAATGTCCTTGATTAAAAACAAAGTCAAACTGCTTATACTGTGAATAAGTTCTGAATGCATGTTTTGCAAAACGTCATAATACAAACCCTTAGAAGAGTTTAAAGTGTGATCGAATTGGGGCAGGATTGCTGAGGATCCATTTAGCCTCAACCATTGCTCATCGAATGATTTATCAGTTCTCATTTCATGTTCCGTAAGACCTGTATAGCCGCAGATCATCTCATTTTCAAAGTTGCAGGAAATATGGCGCACTACCAATAACAAAAAAATAATACATATAACAACGCAGTGAGTATTATATGTTAATTTACGAATTTTACTCTCATTTTTTTAAAATTCTGAAGTATATCTTTAGTGACATTAGAATAGAGATAAAAAAAATGTGGCTAATGATAGATAATATAGAAAAGATATTTTTCAATCTTAGAAAATTAAGTTATTATTTAAAATTACAGTATCAAAAGCGTAGGACTGGTAACCGATAAGTGAAGATAAGAGTTAAATACACAGCAGTTAACACGCTATTTAGGATGTAGTTACTTAATATCATTAATTTTACCAAGCAAAGACTATTTGTAATAATAATAACAATAATAATAATAATAATAATCATTATTATTATCATTATTATTATTGTTAAAGTATTATGGCCGAAAGGTTAGATGCTTTTATAATCTTGTGTTAGTAATGATTGATAAGAACACGAGACTAAATTTTTCATGCGTAAAATAATTGTTTATTCACTTCTACATTCCGTTAAATTAACGTCAGCCGAATCAAGGGTATCAAGTCCCGGGTTTTCTTCAAACATTCAATCTTCTTCTTCTTTACTCTTGTTGGTTCAATCCGTGCTTTGAGCAAAATATTTGTAAATACTAAAATCTGAAAAGGGGGCCATTTGTGTTTTACTATATTAGAACTAAGATAATAATTAAATGTTATTGAATGAAAGGTAAAGTTAACTAACTCAACTACAAAACTGGTAAGTTATTCTGATTTATCTCGCATGAAATAATAATCGTAAAAATAGGCTTCTATTAAGGAAGCCTGAAGGAAAGTTTCAGTATCAAATAATCAAAGAATAATTCATTGTATTGTTACAAATGTAAATCTATAAGCATTCAGAAAAACACTTTCTATTCGCATAAAAGTATGTAAAGACAACACAGAAAATTTACCTGGACATTTGCCATAAGATAGATTGACATCATCAATTGCAATATCACTTAAAGGACCGTTTCCATGGATACCAATGAAGGAAACATTCACCGTTTTGTTGGAGGGCAGATCAACACAACCATAGTACCATAGAGGAGACTTGTTACCTTCTTGAATCCAACTAATTTTTCCTGATTTGCCAACAGTTACGTACAATGCACCAATATCCCGTCCGCTCATATAATAAGAAAATCTGATACTGGTATTTATAGTAGTCTGTATATTTGTGAATGTTACAATGGCCTTGTCACCGGCACGGCCCACTGAGCCTTCGGTATAAAGATAATGACCTGAAAAAGATTAAGAAGAATTACTAATACGATGGAAATCAGTTAGTTTAACCATGAACATATGTACGAATATTTCTGGTAAAAAATAAAATAAACAACAGCAACAAAAAGGCATAAAACGTTGTTTATTTCCTACTAATATCTTCAACTTAAATAGAAATAAGAGTAGAGACTTTTGCCTATGATACGGTTCACATTCCTTCCCAGTCATTTGAACAGGAGTAGAGGTTTATCCCTTGTTTCCTTTTTAGAATTGGGTTTCTGGTTCTTTCTAAAAATCTACTTCAACTCTACTTACTTCTAATGCCTCCACCTAAACTCTCAAATTTTATTTATTATTTTCTCTTCAATAGGAGTGGAAAACTTCGCCTATCGTCTGGCTCACGCTTCTCCGCGATCTTTTGGACAGGAGTAGAGGGTTATGCCTTGTTCCCTGTTTAGGATTGGGCTTCCGGCCCTCTGAAGATTTTCTCATTCTCTTTAACTCCCAGTAGCCCCTTGAATCTTAGATGCATTATAAAATTATTATTTCACTTCCTTTGAGGTATATCTGTTTTATATACTTGTTATTTTCTACTTGTTATTTTTGTCAGAGTTTTAGTTTTAAAATTTCAGCAACTGAAATAAATCTTATATACCTAAATACACACACACACTCATACACATGCGCGCACACACGCACGCACATACACAAACATATATACACACACGCACACACACATATATATATGCAAAGGTTAGACGAGATATCGAAAAAAAAACAGATTTATTAAAAATTTCATCAGAAGTAAAAAAGGAGTAAAAATCTTATACTAAGAAAACCATGAAACGTAATCATATATACCAATGGTGTTGTTGAATGTGTGATCCCTCAAAGGTCCTGTAGTAGATGTCGGCGTTGAACCGGAGATCCGCTTCCATTTATACTGTGTGTTGAATGGACATTCAATTTCGTAACCACATAGATTTGGCTCATCAAAATTACACGCATTATATTCCAAACCAACTGAAAATAAATTTGGCTTGCGTTTATTTGATGCAAACTTCATAACTGCAGTTTTCGAACGTGGTAAAGGATTCCAAGATGAACATTAGTGTAGCTAATAAATTTGTTAAGATCTCTTATTTCAGTGCCAATAAAACTGATAATATTTTTATAACTTGTTTAGAGTCAAAATTATCTGTTTAATATAATCAATAAAAAATTACAATAAATAGCATAAAAATCAAGTTATTTAATGCAAGGCATCGTTGATACGTTTCAGGTAATTTTTCAACTTTCTTAGAGATTGTATTAAATACAATTCCTGATATAATATTAAAATAATTTTAAATTGCATTTGTGTTTGAAGAACTATCCGTATATTTTATATTATTATCTCTGAAAACTGAAAACTTTAAAAATGTTGTTTAGTAAGAAGTCATTTATACAAAATATTTATAGCTTGAATGTAAATCTGTACATATCGATTACATTTTTTTAAATAGAAATTATTTTGTCATGAAAAACATTACATCTTAAAAGATCTTTATTATATATCCAGAAGCTAAACACGGTTTTAATCATAAAGGTTATGTGATGAGTTAATATGCTTAAAATATATCATGTAAATCGCGTATGAATATAACAAATTATCTATACAACATTTTACATTTTTTAAATTATTGACTCTTACTTTGGCATTGTTTCATATTGACATTCACCCAATCAAGAGCCACTTCACCACCTTCCTGATCTATTTTACGGCTAACGATGTCAATAGAGATTTCATTGGCTATCGGCATATTGATGCAAGCAGTCAGCCAGTCCATACGTTTATTAGTGTTTTGAATTAGGTAATTCGCTTGAGAGTTGATATTTTCTGTCATGCTTGGCATTGTCTGCACTCCAGTCATCATTCCTTCAGTAGTCCATAACTTCAAAAGGAAACCAATAATTATTTCTAAATGGAATTATCAATTTTATGATATAAAATGATCTCATGGTTTACATTTCAACAATTGTAGTTTTTCTACGTCATTACTTTCATCGTTAATAATTATCTTCAATTTAAAATACTGATTTAAATATTTTAAATGTAGTAAAAAGATTTTCTATATAATTTGGGATCTAGAATATTGAATATTATAAGGAGCATACACTGAAAAATTATAATCAATGATTTGAAGACAATTAAGAATGAGTCTTTACGAATTAACAAGAAAACATTTTAATTAATAATCTATCTACTGTTAAATGGCAAAATTAATTAAAATCTTTAAATACTAGAGGTTGTTCAAAATCTTTTAAACTTAAACAATTACTTATTTCACCAAAGAAAATAACAACATTAAGCGATTCATATCAGTGATGGATAAAATTCCTTCCTAAATATGAGAATTATTTATATCAAAAAACAAATTTAATTACAGTAAAATTTACTGAATAAAATCGTCATGATATTGGTTATCACCAAACTTTCTTTCTTTCTAGAATGATTCAAAGTTATTTCCAAAGGAGAAATAAAACTGAAAATTAAATACAACAGAATATAACCTTGTTTTTTTTTATTTGAATTCCGTTCATATATTCTCTGATCCAAATAGATAAAATTGATGTGCCTTGAATGGCATAACGGATACTTATACTTGAGTTGCGTAATGGAGTGAATTTTGGAGACAAGAGCTTTGAATTTGAACCTTCTGCACCTTTACCGCTGGCAATAAGGTAATGACCTGAAACACAGAGAAATGTTTAAAATATTTAGAGATTAAATGCATAAGGTTGATCAAATTAATACAACAAAAAGATAGAACAAGAAGCATTGATGCCTTCTTTTTAGTAAGGACTCAATTTAGAAACGTTTTACTTTTGAGAGTTAGCATAGTTAATCATTTTCTAAACTTATGCTGTGGTTCTCCCACTAAAAAATTCAGAATATAGCCTTTTGAAACTATATTTCATACTGAGACACAAGAGAAAATTTGGACAAATCGTATCATGGTGCCGCTTGCAGTCATTTTGAGTAAAGGAGGGAGCCTTATTGGGGCTTCTGGGCAGTGCTTTGTTATCCTCGCTATGTAGCAACATTGGCTTTTTTATAAGTATATTTTTATATGTTACAAATTAAAGTAAGCACACCTGATTATTAAAGGATTAAATATTTTCGCGGATTTTGACGTTATTTTGTTTTTTGTTCAAATACGTGAATTTATTTTGCTCATACTACATCTCGAAAACACTATATAAAATTGACTATTTTATCCATAATGTTGAATGCGTTAAGATTATTCAACATTTTACAAGAAAAATCTCAAGTTGATGTTAAAAATTATTTAAGATGAAATGATCTATTATGACATGTCTCTAATTTGTATTTAGATACATTGTATTTATTTTCAATTTTTCTAGTTGAATTATTCACCGATATTTCATATGATCCATTACTGGACATAATTTGATTACAACAAAATTGCTATTTTGTATGAATAATACAGAGATTCGGTGTGGTGCGGCATGAGACACTTACACCGGCCCCGTCTATCCTAATCAACCACTGGCCTCCTAACTTTCTACGTATATACAGACGCATCACATTAGCTCTAAGATGGACCGCATCATATTGCACTATCATTTTCCTGGCATCCTTGTCAAATTTATTCTTAGTCACCCTGCCTCCCACAATTAATGCACTGTACTGACCATTGTTACAGCTGTGGTTGATATACGATTATTATCATTGTTGTTGTTGTTGTTGTCGCTACAGTTATATAAGGCTGGGGTTATGATGTTTTAATTTTTTCTGCAAAATTTAGATTATTTTCAGTTTATTGTTTGCAGTATTTTCGCTTTCTAAGCTTTCAGACTACAACTACACATCAAATATATTAAAAATAAATTAATGGTTAGGTTAACTAATTCTTTTTACTTTCATCTTGAAACGATACAATTTGTTTGCAATTTCGTATAATTATGCCCATCCTTCCAGTTTTATAACTGCGTTTCCTCTGTTGTATTATTCGGTCTTACATAGATATATATTTCATTAGGTAAAGATAACCCCCAACCTTGTATAAATCTCAGTGTCAAAGATTCCGGTAATCTAGCTCTATTCATCTCCACAGAAAAAAAAAGAGAAAAGATGAACTATATCTAAAGTATACAATAAGTCCAACAATTACATCATTCAAATTTATAGTGAGGATATCATATGCTGGTAGAAAATCGCATTTTAAAAAAAAAACATTATTTTGTTCATTTTACCAAAATGTTATTTTCTCCAATAAACTCATTGCATTTTTTTAATCATGTAAGTCCATGAGTGTAGCAGTTAACTGAAACCGTTTTTTTTTCCTTGTTAGGTATTGCGAAACATAAAATTGAAGAGTTCAATGCTGATCAAAACTATTGACTATAAGAAAAAATCTGATTTACTCAGGGATAAACATATTCTAATAATCTATACCAAAAAGTGAATTTTATTTTTATAAGACATCAATCTTTTGTAAAGCAAAGTGCCTGTCCGAGAGAATCAAAATACAAAAAAAAAAAAAAATCACATATTTTTCAGACTGCTTTTTCTTTTGACCATCTAAGCTCCACAGCTATGTGAAAATCAACCTTTAAACACCGTAAATTGTAATGATCACCAATAATTATCTCTGGTTTGGTTGAATTTACTATTGGCTACAAAGTTCAAAGTGGATTTAGCAACATCGGGAAACCATTACTACGAACGAGATTGGGTTAGTAAATACATAGTGAAACAGTTAATAAACTGGAAAGTTTATATTTAAATTGGAAATTTTTATTCAGAACATAGGTGATCATGGCACTTAACAAGTTCCCGTCTTTTGTAGCTCTTAATATTTTTTTCTTTTCTTTATTTCCACTAAACCACGTTCCACCATTGCATTTACTCAAGATTATTAAGTATGTTGTGCGTTGTTTTTCTCTGTCTCACTTGCCCCCAATCTGTCCTGTGGGTATCAGATTTTCCAAACCCTCTTTTCTCATTATGTGCCCCAGAAATTTCAACTTCTTCTTCTTGGTGTTATATATAAGTTTCCTTTTTGTTTCCATTTTTTCTAAAACCTCATCATTGTTCATATGTTCGGTCCATGGTATCCTCAGCATCCTTCTGTAGAACTCCATTTCTGTTGCTTCAAGTCTCTCAATTATTTTTGAGGAGATTGCCCAGCATTCACTGTCATATAAGATATCACGTAACAGTTCAGTATTATTTTCTTTGTTTCTAACGAAGTTTTTCTGTCTCTTAATATTTTGCTTAGTTTTTGGAATGCATCTTTCGCTATCTCAATGCGTCTTTGGATTTCAGTGTCGCGCTTCGCGTCTTCTGTTAGAACGCTTCTCAGATATTTAAATTTTTGTACTTGTTTGATTTTGGTAATCTCCGATTTGTAATTTGCATTTCGAATTCATCCTTTTGCAACCATCCATGCATTCTGTCTCCATGCATTTTGTCTCAATGCAGTATATTTTTAGTCTTTTCTTCTCGCTTCCCTTTACTACCTTCTGTAGGAGATTTGTAGTTTTCTTACCGTGTCTGCTATCAACACTGTGTCATATTTTATATTGTTAAGATTGTGGCCGCCAAATGCCTCGCTGTATAGGTTGACTAAGTCCGATGAGAAAACATATCCTTGTCTTACACCCCTTTCTATTTTTTATAGCTGCTGAACTATTTTTTTGTCCGCATATAGGCGGCTTTCTGCCAATATAGGTTCTTGATTATTTTAATAACCTTCCTAAATATGTCAAGGTTGCTGAGCAATTCTAACAGATCTTTGTGGCATGCATTAACGGACGCCTTTGCATAAATTATACAACAGGTACACGTCCTTCTGCATTTGTATTGCTCTTTCTAATAAAATTATGAGCATATATATCGCGTTCCTGGCTCTGTTTTTGTCCTATATCTGGTGGGATTCTGCTGCACGCTGTATTCATCAGAATTCGGCTGATCAGTTTTGTTTTCTGACTCATTAAGCTGATTGTCCAATGGAGTTCACAGTCATTTGCATCAGGTTTCTTAGGCAGAAATAAGATCTACTTAGATCTTCCAGTATATTGCCACTAATATTTTATTCGAAAAATCGTTGAAAAATCGAAACAATTCTTATTGAGTAAAACTTGTTTTCTTCAAATTATTTAAAATTGATGAAAAATTTTAATTGTTGCAAAAAACATCGCTCTTAAAGTGTAATTGTAAATAAACAATTTTATATTTGCTTAATTCCCAATTATCGTAGATATTATTATTATTATTATTTTTATTTTCTTTGATTTCTGGCGTTTACACATTTCTTTCCGGGTCCCGCCCAGGGACCTAAGATTAGAAATGGCATCATGACACTTTCCACTGACAAAAAAAAAAAAAATTACATAGATAAAACCATTCGTAAAGTGTGGGCTGTACTTGTCAGAACAATTTTTTGTATCTCCTTGAGGCATGGACTTCCAGGAATCCCTTCAATTAGTCTACTGCAATCTTTTCCAACCAGTCCTAGGGCTCCAACTACAACAGGGATTGTTGATGTTCCCATATGCCACATTTTCGAAATTTCTATTTCAAGGTCCTTGTACTTTGACAACTTTTTGAATATCTTCAAAGATACATTGCAGTCAGCAGGGACTGCCATATCAATAAGGAGGCACCGTTTTTGTTTGTGGTCTTTAATAACAATATCTGGCCGGTTGGCCTTGATTGTTCTGTCAGTGTGTATTGTGTAATCCCATAGAATTGTTAGGGTTAGGTCCTATCTCCGTAGCCGGGCCTGGGTGGTGTTCATACCAGTTTCTTTCAGTTTCCTTCTCGTAGAAGTTGCAGATTTTCCAGTGCAGATATTGGCCCACTCTGTCATGTCGGGTTTTATATTCAGTGGGTGCCAATATCGTGCAACTTGATACAAGATGATCAATCGTTTCTGGATATTTATCACAGAATCTGCATTTTGGGCTGACACAATATTTTAGTATATGTGCTTAATAATTCCTAGTTAGCAAGCATTGGTCCTGTGCAGCAAGGATAAAATCTTCAGTTTTAGCTTTCAACCCTGCACTACATAGCCACTGATGGGTACGGGTTTTGTCTACGTCAGCTTGTTTGGTACGGGCAGAGTATTGGCCATGAAGCGGTTTATCTTGCCATCGCTTCTGTATCTGGTCGGTTGCATTCGTCTTTGCTGTCTTTTTTAAGTATTTTGCAGTTTCAGCCGGTGTATTGTGCTGTAGTTGCATCTCTACACCCATTTGAAACTCCATTTTGAATTTGTTAGCTTCTTTTATTACGGAGTAAAGACGCTTACTACTTTCATGTTCCTTGACGCATACCATCATCTAGTCTTCTGTAGTTTCCAATTTTCTTTGGAGGCCAATTGTTGTAGTTTTGTAGGACAGTTCTAGTTGAACTATCCTCTGCCTCCTTCGGATCTGGGCACATACATACGATCAACATCAGCTTTGGGATGATGCATACGATAGCAAGTGAGAAACCTTCTCATTTTGGCGTCCATTCGCTTAATTTCAGCTATGGTCCAGTTAAGGACATTAAAGCTGTATTGCACCACAGGGACAGCCAATGTGTTTATGGCCGATATTCTGTTTTTTGAGTTTAGCTCAGTATTTATTACCAGATGTACACGCCTGTAGTACTCTTTTCTTATTTTTGCCTTCATTTGGGTGGGGGTTGTATGCCATCTCCTTCGCTAATTCCTAGGTACTTATAAGCTTCATCATGCTCCAGTTCCCTAATCTTTATTATTATTATTATTATTATTATTATTATTATTATTATTGGTAGCGGTAATAACAAAATAACTTAAAAACATACAAAGATAACTAGAAAGTGCAATGCTAGGAATAAAGCTAAGAAATAGAAAGTGGTCAGCATGAAAGAAAGCAAGTAAAAGATATTCTGTACACACAAATAAAAAGAAAGAAAGAAAGAAAGAAAGAAAGAAGACCCTTTAAGTCATTGTAACGCCTCCATCTGTAATCTTTGCCTGTGATATTGAAGTTACAGTAGATTCCGCTTTCAAACTGACAGGTGGAAAATCCTATATAAAAATGAGAAAGAAAGGAATAATCAGCAATGAAATTTGATAAAAGATTATTATGTATTAATATGTATTTATGAAAGTTATTGACACATAAAATTTCTAAAAATTTATTTACACGTGTTTTTAGTGTAATTAATATTTTAAACAGATTTTAATGTTTGTCTCAGAGCACATTCTAACTTTTAATGTTGCTTTTCAACCGGCAATGTTGCTTCGAATTACATAAAGGCGTATGGAAATAATGCACGTGTTCACATGTGTGTATATGCATTAGTGCGTGTGTGTGTGTGTAACTGTGTGTGTGTGTTTGCGCGCGAGCGAAAGTAACTCTGAAAAATTGAATTTGTTAATGTTATAATGTAACTTGTTTAATTATTACTTTTAAATAAATTAATTAAAATTGCAAGGCCTACCGTTACACATCGTCTCCGGGCCGATGGCTACATCATCTACCGCAATATAACCAGGAATAACGTCGCCACGTACGGCAACAAATTCGGCGATTCCAACAAAATCTTTGGGTACAAGCACACAGATTCTTTCCCAACCTTGGGTAATGGTACGTCTTTGGTATGTTATATTAGAAATCGAGTTGGATAGTAAACTCAATTGCATTTCCCCAACACGTGTGCCAGATATGTATAGTCGGAAGTTTAACGCCATTGATTTGGAAGTCCTTATTAACGGAGTGCGAAAGATCGCTTTATCGCCTGTGTTACCAGATTTTGAATCAGCGATCAAAAATGCGCCTGAAATTAACATGAAATGCAATCTGGTTAATTTAGGATAAAACAGAATTACGTGAATTTAGGAAGACTTTATAAAATTAGAATTTCCGTTAGTGTTTCGACAAAGAAAAACCTTTCTATAATTATCATTTATCTTTGTTTCTAAACATAAAGAGAGAAACATACGTATAAAAATGTTATTTGGGAGCAATTTTACTTTGATAAAACTCACATATTTAAATGCATTCAATATGTAAATTAATTATTTTGTCGGAGCCCCAATACAAAAATTTAAAACCAAAAAATTTAAAACTTCTATTTGTCATCTTATATGTCGATGTAACTTTTCTTTTTCTGGTTTTTGCTACCCAATTACATATATCCAAAAGTATATTTCTAAACTTAGAGGGCGTACACCATACACTCAGATAGTGGCCTTTTTCCACTTAAAAAAGTAAAAAAGAAAAAGTAAAAAAAGAAAAACTTGCTAACTATCCCGCTATGTTTACTACTTCGGTATATATACCACATCACATATTTACAAGAAATAACTTTTTTTTTTTACCAACATTTATGCCTGCATTGCTGTCTCCTGACAATCAGGTTTTTCATTTTTATCTTCCAACAAAATTTAGTTTTCATGTTATGATAAAGTACTTTTATTTTAATACTTGCTGAGTCCCTTATAACGTCTTGATAAAAAAAATATCGCTCCGATGCGATGAAGTGGAACCAGGATACTTTACCATTTGGCAGCATTCGTTTATTGAATGTGGTTTTGTACTATAGTGACCTTTAATATGTTAACTAGTATGCAAATCAAGTGAAGATCATTATCCTTTTATTGTCTAATTTTACTAACATTCGAAATTGAACGTGATATTTCTTTGTAAACAGTCAAGTAACGCACGAACTGATCTATCATACGAGGGCTCAAAATAATTCTTAAAAAATATTCAGAAACTCACCGTACTGCATTCCTTGAGTAAAGTCTATTTTAGGTGCCGACAACTTGCTTATCATAACATTTCCCCGAACACGTCTCCAAGTATATAAATTAGAATTTGTTTTATTTTCAAAATTTGGCTTGATATGACCACAATTACTGTCTTCATAAGTACATGAAACACCTGTAAATACAAACATAAAAGAAATAGGTGGAACAATATGTGATACATCACTGTCTTTCTACGTGTATATATATTAAAAACCTAAACTAGGCACATTTGGTCTGATATTTTTAAATAGGGTTTACAAACGTTTAAACAAAACAAAAAAATATTGATCTGCTAGTAAATTTAGCACGTGTAAAATTAAGGATTATTTAGCATTTTCAAATTGAAGATTTACAATAAAATAGCGTCTACATTATATCAGATGTTATTATGCAAGTCATTCACAATGAAATTTATATTGACCAATTGATGTTAACATTTTCAGGCATATTTCAGTTTATAATATCTGTTTTTATTTTAAATATTTACAATAACTTTCGAGATTTAAGATTTTATCATGCAACTTGAGGCTTGTTAGTCATATCATAGTCATGAATATATATATATATATATATATATATATATATATATATATATATATATAGTCATTGATATTTATTTTTTTAATTTCATATATATATGTAGACATTGTCATATATTATGTAACTTCAAAAGAGAAACAAGATATTGTAAAGTCATTGATTTATGGGAATTTTGAAATTGTTAAAAAGTTGAATAGAGAAAATAAAACAATCAAAAAAGATTGACAAGGAAAAAAAAATGAAAATACCGTAAAAAGAAATGTGAGAAAAATTAAAAGTGAAGTTGACTGACCAAAAAAATATATTTGAAAAAGTTGATGTTCCGAATGTGAACAAGGAGAAAATATGAAGAATATTAAAAACGTTGGCTAAAGATATGAAAGAAATCAATCTACTGCCTTTAAGTAAACATAAACATTAAGTAAACGTCTAAGTTGGGCGAAGAAACACATGAAAAACAGCTATTTTAGTGATGAATGTAGAGCAACATTGGATGGATCTGATGGTTGGTCTAGAGGTTGAGTTCTTCATAGAAATAGTCAACCAACAGGATTTAGTAGGGTGTGACTAATATTGTAGACAATAAAATTATATGTCCCTCCAAAGTCGTTGATGGTACCAAGATAAAGATTTTTTCTAAGTTCTTTAACAAAACATTTTTGAGTGCTATACATCAAGCCAAGAAACTTTAAGCTAAATTGTATAGTCATGCAAGAAGTCAATCCTTCTTCACAAACCGACTGCTGTACACTTTGCCAAAGATATTTTCAAATACACCAAATTAATGACATAAACCTCAACCACTCCAGATATAAATCCAAGAGAAAAATTGTGGTCCATCATTAAAAGTGATCAATATAAGAATGGAAACGATAAAAAGCAATAAAAACTACTGCAAATAATGCTAAAGTCGAAACAGTAAAAAACATAACAAAATCAATGTTTGATTGACTGATGAAGGTTATGAAATATCAAGGAACTCATATTAAAATGTAAAATAATAAATTAATAATTTATTCAAGTATATGAGATATGTTAATCAAATATATACATTTCTCATCATTTTAGAAAATTTATAAATAAATAAAATGATGTACACTTAGTTTGTCGGTAGAATAAAATATGATGGCTCTTTAACAAGTTATTATTAATATTTTTAATAAAGGCATATAGTATAGAGCAGGTATGTCAAACTCAGGGCATATGTAGGGCCACATCAGCCATAGCTGCGACCTCGAGAGACGCACCTGCTTAGAGTCTTACATTAATCACAGCTAGTGGTAACTAAACTTTAAATTAAAAATGCTTACAATACAAGGTAGTACAATTTAATCATTTTTATGTTATCCTGATGATTGACATCCCTTTATTCAAATTATTCTCGACATAACAGTTTGGAATGTCTGTGCAGATCTCACTTTGATCAAAGATGGCAAATGTTCATCAGTTAATCTGGTTTTGTGAAACGTTTTTTGTGGTCTTCATAAACGAAAATAAATGCTCAGATATATATGGAACCAAACATCGCCATAATCTTTGTGGCAAAATTTCTGAAGTTCTTAAATGTCTGAGGAAGGTAAGAAAAAAATCCTGGTTCCCCTACTTCTAGGTACTTTACCTTGAGTGTTGAGTCAGTCTGCATTTCCAGTAGTTCCATCTTTCACTTTTGAAACACGCATATCGCCTTCATATTTATCATAAGATCGATGGTTTGTTTCATAATGTCTTTTCACAATATATTTAGGCGTTGCAATGCAGTGGTTGCAAATCAAACAGTTTATCTTTCCATTAACAGTGGCACAAAAGTAGTGTAATTCCCACTTTTCTTGAAACACACGTCCTTCTTCAGATAATTTTCTCTTTTTACAAGATGGAGTAGAATTCGACATTTTAAAGGCAAAACATTACAAATTTACGAAGTTTTTCACTTTACATTTGTTCTTATTTAGTTGTCAAGGATGATCACATGATCAACCGGAAGTTAAAAATAGTCGCTGACATTCGAAAACAAAAATCCATTGAGAATCTAATCATACCAATTGAAAAAAATATCACTGTTTTTAATAATTTGCATTACCAACATAGACAAAATTCTCGATATACCACGGCTACAGAAACCTTTGTGAGGGCCGTCAAGATGCATATAAAGGTATAGATGCGCATCGCGGGCCGCCAGTTTGATACACCTGGTATAGACTGAAGATAGCACGATATATTTTTCGTATAAATATACTCGGGAAATGGTATCAATATCGTTTGATAATTACTAGTGTTATTTCGAAACAAGGGCTTACAAAATAAATGACAGTGTATAAGAACAAATTAAAGAAGCCGTATATTTGCTATAAAATCAATAGATTTTTCACATACTCTGTCACTCAAAGTGTATCACATTAAATTGATCTTTAAAATATTAACAAATACGTGTAAACAGTGAATCATTAATAAACATTTCACTTTTAAGTTGGCGAAAAATTTTGGATTTTCAAGGAAAAGTAATATGGTTGGGAAATTTTACTTCTACAAACAAAATGTTTAATATCCTTGGTACTTTTTTGGTTAATTTCCTCATTGTTATTATTTTTTTTTAATCAAAACTATTCGTCTGATATCTTCCCTTTTGTGTCTTGGAACTGGCCTCTCTTTGAAGACTATAGGTGGTGAAATGGAAAAAAGTTCCAAGGACTCCTAAGGTAAGACAAAAAAAATGAAGGAAAAATATGACGGAAGGAAATTAGTCCGATATACAACGATTACTTGAAAAATGAAACAAAAGTTATATTCCAAGAGTTGTTCGGACAAGTGAATTTATCCTTTTGTTCCTTTTGTTGCTACTACAATGTTTCAATCGACTTCAGTACTTCAGATGTACTATCTGTATGGAAAGAACTTACAAATTGCATGGTGAAAACCGGATTTTTTTTATTAGACCTACTTAAGTCTGTCACTTAAACATAAATGTTTTTATAGCAGGTGACTTACTCATACAGCTGTCAGTAGAGTATTTGATGTCGTCAATAGCGATGTCACTGGTATAGTTGAGACCACGATAAGCAACAAATTCAACGCTTAATTTCGTTTCTTTCGGCATCTCAATGCAGGCTTTCAGCCACATGTTACCATGGTTGCCACTTTCTCTCCATTTTAGAATCCTGAAACACATGGAAAATATTTAAATACCACTATTATTCGACTTGGATTTATTGTTGATTTTATCATAACATTCTAAATGGAATACACACTATTTTTTAGTAATTTCTCATTTTATTTTCTTTTAAATTCATTAGGTTCTGATTCAGTTTCCTATACTTTTTATTAAATTTAAATTTAGACATAGCAAAAACGTCGTTGCACTGATTCCATTCAGTGTTACAAAAATAAAAGCCATTGTAGAATCAGATTCCTATATTTTTTAAATCTTAAATTTTGTGCAAGTTAAACACATAGAGGCTCCCAACCAAATATAACAACTGATGTATTTTGATTGGTTGTAAAATATTAATTAGATGTCGTCAACTACGTCCGAAGGTACCGACCCAAATTTTGACCTCTAGTTGACGCCATAAAATGTAAACATGTTCACGAGCCTCCCCACGTGACCAAGAGAACTAATAAAAATGAAACTTCGACGCGATTTGGTCAGTGGACACTTAAAATATTAAACCAATTGACTTGACTTCATTGGAAATCAACACAGCAAAGGATACGAACTTTATCTTCAATACAACAACAAACCTTGTCAACCATTTCCAGGCTTAACGCTCACTCCCACAAAATATTCTATTCCACAAGAAGAATCTCTGGTTAACGAGCGATAACTCTATAACAATCAGTGAGTCAAGAACAATATTTTTTCTATTTAATACAAAAAACAACTGTTTAATTTTCCTATAAAAACAAATATAGCTAACTAAACCTTGTCATTTTCATACATACAGTACAGTAACTCAAATTCTTTCAGTAACACACACACCAAAGAACTCTATTGTGTTTATTAACTTTTGCACTATATATTATGTATTTGTTGTGTTTATAAAAAATATTTATTGTTGAACAAATTCAGAATTTCTTCTACTTGATTATTTCTCTTGTTGTTGTCTTTGTTACATTTGATATTGTAAAAATTGTAGAAGGTCAGTTTTTATTTCTATTTATAACCAATACAAATTGGCTGGCCCACTATACCATTACTATAAGAGAGTAATACAAGAACTGTTTCGTAAATAACAAGTAAATGCTAAAGTCTTAGGGTAAGGTTTGATAAGCGGGGACGCTGACGGTTTTTAGAAGAACCTAAAGAAGGAGTAAACTGATTTTAAGTACGAATAAATCTCAGCATACAGTAATGAATATAAAAACTAATGATGGCTACAAAAATTGTTTTCCCATTTTGTATAGACCAAGGTACACCTGTATAAATATGAATATATACAACGCGTAAATGAATGCCTAGTTACACGGCAAAGGTGGTTTCGCTCATGAATTACGCCATTTCAAATTTCTTAAGACAGTTTAATGAAACTAAACTTCACTGATTTTTTTTACTTGAAAACAAAAACAATGTTGCTCAGATCAGAACAGAGGAGTATAGTAAACAAACCTCTGTTTTGAAAAAAGAGTTTGCAAGGAGGTTTATTGATTCAGATCTCTGAAAGATAAAAATGAATTTACTAACTTTAATATTTACAATAAATGTAAAAATAACAGTAAATATTCTTCAGGGGAAGTTGTTAGACATCCAAAGTGACAACACATTGAAGGAGTATTTCCAAAAATTCAAACTATATGAATTTTATTCAGTAGTTGCAGTAATTCTAGCAATCTTTTGCCAACAACTGTTCACTTTTTCGTTTAACAACTGTCAGTAGATATTTTTATCTATGAACATTAAGAAAATCGACTCCAGCTAACAACTTTGAATATGTAATCCTCCTTCTTCTTTGCACATATCAACGAGAAAACTGGATTCTGGTTAGGAAAAACTGCACAAATCTCATTAATAGTAATAAATGTATTAAATATTAAACTAATTCCTCATACATTTGTACAGTCAGTTTACAAAATGTGTTCAATAAGCAAATGTACAACTGACATGTGCATGTTTGATTGTTATTTATATTGTTGTTGTCATGTGTGCGACTCACTTTACATAGAGTCTAAAATGATGGGGCCCCTCCCATGAAAATGTTTGCCCACTCCTCGTATATTGGACAGATATATTTTCTTACATCAGACCTAAATAGTTGGCAAGGGATTATTACAAAAGTGTTCACAACTAACTAAAATTTATTGATATTAATGATTACTTCCTTCACTACAAATATTAAAAAAAAAACAATTGTGTCTAGTACTTATTAAAATACTCTCAAACCTAAAACATTTAATTGTGCCATGAACAAGACCAATAGGTACTATGAAAATGCCAATATAAGATTAAATGGCAAAATATAATGATGTATCTTATAAAGAAAATGACAAAAACAATAATGAAAAATGAGTTTGTATTATTGTAAAAAAGTGTATGTAATCTGATATGTGTCAATATATATATCCACAAATATATGTTTATTTTGATGTCTACATATGTACATGCACACACATGTCAGAAGGACACATTGACATAATAAATGTCAAACAATGTAGGTAATTTCAACCAGATCTGGAACAAGGCTTTTTTTTAATGCAAGACGAATATATAACTGTGTATTCGGAGGTTGATAACTCTTTTGAAGTCATGCACACACGCGTAAATTAATCTAAAAACAGTTTTCCTATTTAAAAAAAAAAAAAAGAATGTGTTGTAACAAGTTTTAATGAATGGGTAGTTTAAATAGAAACATTGAATTATTCAGTTGATCTGTTATTCAAGCAAATTTAAAAGCAACTGATTTTTTATACGCATTGCTTACCTTTGTAAACCTTTCAGTGTGAGAATGTTGAAGTAAACCACCAAAGAACCCATGTGGGCTCCATTCATATGATAATAGAAGGTGAAACTGTGGCTTCTGTTGTCTGTAGCCACTGGGATACTTTTCAATGTCGCATTGTCATTATATTTGCCGTAGGAAGATTCCGTGAAAAGGAAATGCCCTGAAACGCAATAACAACAAATAATGATCTTATGCACATAGAATATGCGCATAGAATATGCGTCGATAAGCTGAATTCACTATTTATCATCACAATTTCTAAATGACAACATTAACATAAATGATTTAATGCAAATAGAAATTATTACAATTCAATGGTATAAACATTGTTATATATATATTTATATTTTTATAAAAATAAAAGCTATATGTAGAGCAATTTTGATGTAAATTCGAAGTGTGATAATTTAATTCCAGGAATGACCGTGTGAAAGCAACGTTTGCTTATCTTGTTATTATTTGCTGTTATCACATTCAAAGTAATTGCTTTGTGAAGCTATCCCCCACATAACAATCGAAAAAGGCCCGTCTTGAAGTCTTTAGAATTTGATGCTAACAACTGTACTTGTAGGCGTCCAAAACGTAAGGGTTATATGCGGTATACATTCACTTATGATAACAAATATAAACATACGAATTCATTTTGATGAAAAATAAGCATTTCATTCCATAAAGTGATGTTGTTCATTTTTGTAAACATGCATTGTGTATTTAAATTAAACTGAAATAACGGCCACATCACGTCGAAGCACCGATTCCCGTACGATCACGGGAGTTAAGTAACGTCGAACCTGATCAATATCTAGATGGGTGCCTGCTTGGGAATATCAGGTGTTGTAAGCTTAGATGTGCGAGTGGTGTAATGGATAATGATTAGTAATTGATAATAGGAGAGCCAAGTTCTAATTCCAGTTGGGTTCGTTATATTCATTTACGCGCAAAGACCTTTGGGAAAAATATGAATCTACCTCTTCTATCCCCAGCTACTGGTTAATTAGTAATACATATATCACAAAATTAATATTATCTCCAAAATATTCTTACAATCAAAAAATATTTTCTGGCTTTGAATAACCTGCAAATGTTGATAACCCGTAGAAAACGAAACAATAAACGGAAATAGTAGTTTTTTTTTTAATTATTGTTTTATATTCCTATTCCGTAATTTCTTAAAACCAGTGAAATGATTTTACCCTTTGGACTCATATAGGTGTGATCCAAATCCGGTCCTGTGTTATTGCTACTAGTCGATCCACGTTTCACACTCCAGTTGTAGACTCCGGGAGATGCTTCGTAGTTACACAATTCTTTTGTATTACTCTCAAAATTGCAGTCCAGATCTGCACATTAAACAAACGTAAAACACAATATTTAAGAAACAGTCGGTATAAACACAAATAATGAACATGTTAAAAAAAAAAGAAAAAAAAACAAATTCCATTCGGTATACGCACAGACGATTTTACTGGCTGATGTCAGATGCATAATTTATTTATTCACTTCTAATAATCTCATCTGTGTATTTTTTATTTTTTGAGAATTGGAATAATAAAAAACTGTGCAATATAAAAAATTATATCTTTTAATATTAATTAATTGAAACAATATGAATTATTCCGAAGTTCCTTAAACGAGGAGTATATACTTTTTACATTATACGAGCTTCAGTTAATAGGTTGAAAATACTGATGTCATTATTGATAGTCCTGTAGTTACATGTGAAAATATCTACTAAAGATGATGTGTGTAAGTAATTCCGTAGATTGATACTCGTGCTTATTTATCTTATGTATTCTAGGCAGGTAGTGAAGGTCAAACTTATAACAATAGCAAATTTGTTGGCGAGACAGGATTTTTAATCATTGTGGTACAGTAGACGCGGATAGAAAAAGTCTATTGTAGTTAGAAGAGGACATTTTAAAATGAATGACGTTTAAAGTTTTTTATTTTGAAATCATTTACTGATCAAAATCCACCATCAACTTTTAATGTTGCCTTTTATCAGGAATTTTAAGTCTTAAAACAAAGCCCGTATTATTATGTTACTTTTTTAGGTATCTCCACTTTTTCGGCATAAATTTTCGATACCTAAGGTTTAAAATTATTTTTTTAAAAATGAAAAAGCATCCTTGAAGATTTAATTTTAGCTTTATTGAAAGCTAAAGGATTAAATTTATTATTTCCAGTAAGTAAAATATTGTATGGTATATTTCAGATTAAAATTATATAGACTGGAATGTCAAATTTAATTTACATTTCTTAAATTTTTCTTAAAAGCGGCCTTTTTCTTAATTTTTAGAAATTTGTAAACAAAACAAATTTATCGATTTTAAAAACTTGTCGGAGTTACCTCCTCCTTCTGTCCTTGAACCAGCAGAGGAACAGGTCTTTTCGACCTTGACCTCTCATTCATACTCCTCACACACTGTTAACACGTCAGAGGGACTAGCAAATCCCCTTTTTTAGTTAGGCTATATTACAAACCTAGGTGTAATATACATCTAGTCATTTTTAGACCATAGTTATCTTTAGCTAACCTTGTAGTATTTTTTTTATAGAGACTTTTCGGTTAGCTTAGCCAATTTCTCTTGCTGGTCTCCCTCGACACAAGACAGTGATTTCTCCCTAGATTCGGGGAGGCTGTCGGCGGCCGCAATGGTCGTCTACACAGGCCCTTTGGCCTTCATTGGCCAAGGGCGCCGATCTACGGGCTGTGTATTAAGTTACGCTCCCATTTCTTTTTGTCTGCCAACTTGACGATAGTTGGGAACTTTCTTTCTTTCTCTCTCTCTCTCCTCCTTCCCAACACGTCAAGTTGGCATCCAGGCAATGACAAACAACGTTGGCAACACGAACTGCTGCAACAAGTTGGCACCCCGGCAACGACTCAGCTTCAACAACCAACAAAGATCATCCTAGCATCACTCAACATCAACAACCACCAAGCGATCATCCTGGCAACAACCCACATCAGCTTCAACCCCCAACAACGATGATCCTAGCAACTGCCAACCTCGACCATCAATGCCTGCACTAAAACTCCTGCAGTATCCAGCACTCCTGCAGCATCCGGCTCACTCCTGCAGTATCCAGCACTCCTGCAGTATCCAGAATCCCGGCTCACTCTTACAGCTTCCAGCACCTCCACCGTTTCTGACCATCTTCATTTCCTTTTCCTTTCAGAATAAACCTGTATATCATATATATCCTCGTTCTGTCGTCCATATTGTTTCACGGTCAGATTTAACGTCTGCAAAAATGTTAGCGGGCCTCTTGTGACCTCGTTCACCCCTTTCCGTGATACGGGGCCACCGGACCGCCCGCTACAAACTCTTCCAAAAATATTTCTGACATATTATTTGAGTAAAATTAAAAAAAAATTAAAGTTAAATTATTAATCTGATTTGAAATGAATATTACTTACTTATAGCTTAAAAAAGTAATATACAACAATTTGTTAATGGTTGGTCCTATTATATGAACAAATTAAGTAAAAAAAAATATTTTAAAAATAGAATAGTGTAACTAGGTTTATTAATTTTTGCAATTTTGGATTCGTAAATTTTGTTTCCACTTAATTACTATATCACATCCAGGAAATAGCCCAATACAGAACTTTACACCATTTTAAACTATTATAAATTATTAAAATTAAAAAAAAAATAAAAACAAATTCTTGTAAAAATTCATTATTTATCGGAAAAAATGTATTTCTTCAGACAATAGTACCCTTAATATAACTTATTTACAAAAGCAATTAAAAACTTTTCTAATTAAATAATGTCATAGTTTTATTGCATTCATTATTTCCGCGAAAAGGTGGAGGTACCTAAAATTTATCACGTGAACAACAAATGACAAAGTACAGTGAAAATCGTATTCAATCTTTGATTGCATTATTCAACAATAAAACGATTAAAAAAAGGATATCACAAAAGTTAAATAGGTTAACGAGCTAGTTTGGCTGATGATTTTGATACCTATTGAATGCTTAATACTTGTGATCTTGTGCCAAGTGAATCTGAGTAAATAACAACAAAATGACTAACAATGACGAAACCAACTGGATTTAATTTGTCTATGAAGATGTAAATTTAATTTTAGATTATTTTTACAAATTCCAATACATCCTTTCAAGTGTTATAACAATTTTGGTTCTAGTATAATATATATTATTTAAATTCATGACGGTAAATTCTCCGAATATTTTTTCCTAAGAAGCACCAATAAAATTTCATATTTAAATTATTGCATATGTTCAGTTTTTACATTAACCAAACGCAAGAAATTTAACTTGGCCACAATTTTTTTTATTATACTATTTTAATGAAAAAATATGAAATTAATCAATGTTAAACTGTTTAACTCGTTGTTTAACTCAATATTTGATGACCATTGTCAAAGAATGACCATTCTTAAAGAATGTTTAAGTTAACTTAAACATTCTTTAAGAATGGTCATCAAATATTGTACAAAATGCTATTGTACACGTATCGAATTTGAATTTCCTATTGCTTACTCGACTTGGAAATTATAACTGATTTTATTTAATCTGTATTGATTTCATAATAACAAAGTAATTTAGTGGCACTTTAAAATAAATTTGCTAATCCAACTTCCCTTTACTATTCACAATTTATGTTCATATGAACATAGTCGATGCTATTTTTGCATTGTCTTTTTTTGGTTTGGTTTGATTTTTTGTGGGTTTTTTATTTGCAAAAATTTAATAGTTTAATTTTAGTTTAATTTTGAATATCTCTTAATTTTCAATTTGCTCACCATTCCCAGTTGATTTAGGTTTTGAATTTGGTGGTTTTGTTGTATTTCTACCACATCGGACATCGTCTTCATCGCTAGCGTCTAAACAGTCCACATGGTTATCACAAAACCATTCATGCCGGATGCACTGGCCATTTTCACAGCTGGTCAGTCGTGGGTTACAATCATCTGAAAATTAGAAAATACCAGAATGAAAAATTCTTTCAAACTTGGAATAGTCCCAACATATATTGCATCAAATAGTCAGATAATTCTTAAATTTAACAAGGAGGGGGTGTCTACCCAACACCGTCTTTGTGAAAATGAGAAAATCAAATTATCTGATCGATAGACTCTCATATATACTGCTTTCTCACACACAATGCTAATCTAACTAATCTGAATCTCACCTTAGAGTGAGTAAATGTCTATCCGTCTCCTTACAGATATGATTTGCCATGCCGTATTTTTCCGCTACCCTCTTATTTACAGCTTATGTTCTTCCAGTTTGAATTTAAAGGGTGGCTGGCCCCTCACCATTATATACCTTACCACAGATTTTGAAGCAAAATGAAGCAGGAAGGACTCATCACTATTACTCAAGTTGAATTGAAAATGGGGTACAAATAATTTCATAAAACTATAGAATAGCATGAGTTTTCGCCTTTGAATAAGTGCCTTTAATTCCAAAAGCTAGGCAGAGCATTACAAGACAGGAAGATTTCGTTGGTAACAAAGAAAAGAGTACTGAACTGATATCTGTCCTCCTTTACGGCAGCGAATGTTGGACGGTCTCCTCAAAGAAGAAGACTCGAGGCAACAGACGTATGGTTCTACAGAAGGATTCTAAGGGTAACATGAACCGAACATGTGAGCAACGTTTTGGAGAGGATGCAAACAAAGAGGAAACTTATACTTATCAGGAAGAGGCAGCTGAAATGTCTGGGACACGTAATGAGAAAGTAAGTTTTGGAAAATCTGATACTCACAGGACGGATAGAAGGAAACAGGGACAAGAGAAAGCAATGCGTGACATACTTAGCAGTCTTAAGCAAAGTGGATGGCAGAACAGGGTCTGGGAGAAGTTACAGAAATACTTATTGAGAACTACAAAAGATAGGACAGCCATGATCGCCTACGTCCTGAATGGACACGGCACGTAAAAGAAGAAGATTACTTGTAAAATCTAGTTTTTAAAATAAAACCAGCTTTTCTAGCAAATAATTTAAAACAACAACGTATTTATGTCTATAATATTTAATAAAGGATTGCACTTTCCATCAAAAGACATATTGTTTGTCATCTTGAAATCATTATGCCTACCTTTCCCCTTTATAGATGTCGTAGTCGTCATAAATGGTTTTATAGTGGTTCTTGTGTACATCATTCCTGATTCAGATGTCTGGTTTTTAATTGGTGTAATGCTTGTCGAAAAAGGAACAGTGACTACTGTATAATTGCGCGAGAATGTTACTGATGCCTTAGTGCTGCCTGGTGTGAAATTTACTTTCTCTTTATACGTGCTATTTTGTGCACTTGTGAAATGATCAGTAATATCTTGTGTCGGTAATTCTGTAGCAAGTTTAGAGTATGCTTGGGTGACAGTAGTAATGTCTTGTATTAGAGTTGTTTTCCCCAACGTCGGAACATTAGATACAGTTGTAACGGGTGTAAAGGTTGTCTGTGAAGCAGGTGCATTTGTATTGGAAGGTGCAGTAGTAAATTGCTTTGGTGGTTTAGTGCTTTCAGGTGATAGTTCTTGTGTAGAAGTGGATTTCTCGGTTGGAAGCTGTGGCTCGATAGAGGTTAGCTTCTTGCTCGTTTCAGGCTTACTTGGTTCTGTCTGCGGTAGAATGGGGATTTCCGTTCTTGGACGCATACTTTCAGTCACCATTTCCCTAATCGTCGTAGATGTCGGCGAAGGTAGACGAGTTTTTGTTGTGTCCGGGCGCTGGCTGGTCATTGGTGTGGTTCTTATTGGAGTTGTTGTTGGTCTAGCAGTGGTGGTAATTTCTGAAATAAAAAAGCCACATATATAATTGTTATTTTATTCAGTTTTTCAAGTAAAAAATAATTATCATTGTTTTGTTTTTTAGTTTTTTTTTGTTTTGTTTTTTTTTTGTTTAATTGATTCGAGGTAATTTCATGAATGGAATGTGCAATCAAATAAGATATTATTAAATCACCGATAAATCTATAACTGTTTCAAATTACATGTATATACCGGTATAAAAAGTTATGTTTAGCAATTTACAATATCTCCAGGCTTCCTGGAAAAGTTTCATTTCATATTTTAGTGTATTTGCAATGAAAATTTACAAAACTGTTGTGTGACGTTATTTCGTAAGCAAAACTAGTTTCTATATTTTGATTAAAAGTGGAAAACATGATTGGACTGAATTAAATATTTTAAGTTCATAGGACACATCTGATGTTATCTTAAATGAAATTCTACGCATTCGTATTGTCTTATTTTAAATGAATTTAAAGAAAATACAGAAATATTTAACAATTTGCTTCAACAATACAAACATGGATAAAATATTAAAATAAGCTTGGGTTAACACAAAATAATACAAGAAACTAAAATTTCTATTGAGAAATCAATTTTTGAAACTTAAAATGAATAAAAAATAATATTAACTATATCAGAAAAAATAATACCCAAAAACATTCTCACAGTGCATTTAATACTTTTTCGTAAATAATGTGCTAAAAAGGATAAATAAAATTATAGTCACTAATATTAATACTAAAACTACTCTCAAAATAGTTACTAATAATTTTAATGTAACACAAATTTCCATCATTAGACTCTCAAAAATCGGCCGTTTACTCTGAGATAACGAAGTTATTAATATCTGATGCCCATTGATAAGTGATATTTAGTAAAAAAAAATCATTATTAATATTATTTCTCATATAACAAATTATATATTATATGACCAAAATAATTTGCACGTCCTTCCTAATAAAAGAGAAATAATGAAAATAATGTTGAAAATATAAACGCGGAAATTTGAGTGTATTGAATGTCTTTAATCTTGGTGAGAAATGATGAGAAAATTCGAACACTAAGGAAAGTAATGATATTCTCAGTTAATATCAGTCTTGATATTTGAGTACCTTGATATTCGAAACCTTATTGGCATAGAACACAAGATATTTTAGAAAAGTAGACAATGCTTTTCTATTTACATTTCCGTTATGACCTTCGATTGTTAGCCCTTGCAATAGAAAATTTGTCATGTGATTATTATAAATATGGACAAAACCTTTGTTTCATTCAAGTCGTAGTAAATTGGCTTATAACATTCAATACCTCAAAAATAAAACCAGTAACGTGCCATCATCACTGAGATGAACATGAATTTTCCTCTAAAGTGATGAACTGATGCTCTCTCAAGGAGGCTCCTTGTCTTGAAAATCTATTGAGACTCAGGTTCACCCAGACTTCGTTCCCTGTACCGCTCTAGTAAGAACTTGGCTCCTCCTGATATACTTTACCTTTGCAAGAGCCTAGATCAAATCGAACTGCTACCATATTTGAGCTGGAGCTGTTCAGTCTTTATTTTTCAGTCTTGATAGAGTTCAAAAGCGTCTATACGACTTTTGTGAATTGTTTCCCATCCTACAGCCTCCTTCCTACAGAAAAAAAAAAACGTTCTAACGAGTTACATTCCTTAGTTTCACCAGTTCTAACCTTCACAGCTAAAATCCGTCATGCCACGTACAGTGGACCACATCATCCCCATGCCCTTTGTATTCCATTAGTAAGGAGGAAATTTCACTCCGACAACTTCTTTCCAAGAGCCGCTACTTTGTGGAGCAGACACCCGAGGGGGAATGTTTTCACGGCCACTAACAGCTTAAATGTCTTCAACTAAGTTTAACCGTTATTTGTCCCACATATTATCACAAACTACACTTCTTGTCTACAACATCCTTCAGTAATCTTCTATCTTAAATGACTTTTGGGCTTTGTATTGAGTGAACATTAAAAAAATGTAGTAGTTTTCCATTTGCAACTTTAATTTAGCCTTACCTGTTATTTGAATGCTGCCATTTTTAGCTATATCCACATTCAAGATAACTGCATTTTCCTTTATGATCTCTTTTAAAGTTTGCAAAATTATAATACTGGGATCAGGTAATCGTGTCGTCGTCGTCGTCGTCTTCTGTGTATTATTATCTATTGAAGGAGAACTGGTCACATTTCTAGCAGCTGGAGTCGGTGAAGGAGGTATAATAACTATAATTATTATAAAATTGACCTTAATACTTCCTTGGCTGTAAAAATAAAGGATCCATTTATTTATGAACTGACAAAATTCAGGGATGCTTCATATAAAATGAAAAAATATTTGTTAAGCATCATAATTGTTTAATACAAAGAAAAGCACTGTTGTATCTGTTGCATTTAAATTTCATTTTACTTTTGTTTCCGTATTGATATTCTTATATTTCCAACCTACGACTGTATATCTAGGTATTTGTTATAAATTTGGTCTAGTCATCATTTAATGTATGATTATGACATTAATTTGAAAGTTGATTTATTCCAACTATTATATCATCTTTATTGTACTTAAAACCATTATTGAAAGCAAATGTATTTATATCATGACAATGTACGTACGTGTCTCCATCTGGGACTGCATATGCAAGCGTGCGTATGTGAGCGTTAGAGTGTACATGCACACCTATAAATTTTTATGCACGTATTTACTCTATGACGTGTACGCGTCTCTCATAGAAGTTTTATTATATAAGACCTGCTAAGAGGGAAAATGCATGGAGACCAAACAAAATAAATTATAAATAAATAAATTCCAAAAGGAATTAACGTATTTCTATAAATGCTTTTGTGATGGGCAATATCTTTACATCTGTAAAATGCAAATAAAAAACGAACTCGCGGAACTAATACTACAAATGTGCATATTTGGAGTTCGAAAGAGAAGCTCTTAAAATATCTATTTTATTATTATTATTTTGAGAATCAAACTTGTAACAACAGTGCAATATTAAGACAATTGGTATGCAAATGTGTAAATGAATACGGAATACACGAAACAAAACAATAGTTTTTTTTTTATCTAAAATCTAAAATAGTGGCAAATATGTTTTCGCGATTTTATTTTTAAATGTGAACTAAATTTTACTTCTATTTTCCATGAAAAATACAATGCATAATAAAACCAAATATATATTTTTATAAAATACTGGGTTGGAATAAAGGTTTGCAGAATTTTCAATAGATGTCTTTTGAATCCGTGATTTCGTTTTAACCAATGACTGAAATTTATGACGTATATACACATTTTGAAAGGTGACATTTCTATACGATTCTTGTGTGGATAGTGAATTTTAAATGTTTTTACGTTAAAAGCGAAAATGGAGAAAAATGAGATACGTTTTGTTTTTCATCATTTGATTTTTTTTTTTTATTTCCGGAAAGTAAAAAAACACTGTACAATAAAGCAAAAAAGATATATTCTGATTATCACCTGACCATGAACTTTCGGAATACCACTTATTTGGATCCAAAATTCTCTTATTGGGAAGAAGTTTAAATTCTTTGAAGCCTGAAAAACCACTTAGACCAGTACATCACCCAGAAAGAAGACAATTTCTGAGAGGTTAGAATCATGAGGCTCCCCCAGAGAACAAAATAGATTACATGTGGTCGAATAAATCTATGTACGAATATCTAATATTTTAAATAATATCTAAATATTTTGTTTAAAATTCCTTTAAAAGCGCCACAAACTTTTGTTGTTAGAACTATATCGCTATCACTTCAAGTCTCTTCTTCATCTGTCATTTTCCAGCATTTACTGCCATATAGGAGAATAAATATTACATAGTAATCCAGTACTCTTTTTTTCTTTCTTAGAGCATATTCCTATCGCTTAATATTTGGTTTAGTCTTGGAAGGCTTCTTTCGCCATTCCTATGCACCTTCAGATTTCTGTGTTACATTTTCCGTCGTCTGTTACTATACTAACCAAATAATAAAATTTTATTTTTAACGTATCCAATCTTGGGCTCACATTTTGGGCTCTTTTTTATGAAAATCACGCATTCTGTCTTCTTATTTAATAGTTTACCTTTTCTTCTCGCTTTCCTTCACTACCTTATCTTTCAGGTTACCTTAGGAGTTTTTTATCCATACAGTATCATCTACAATACATATATTATGTTGTTAAGATTATGTTTGACAATAATAAACCTGCTAAGACTTCTAATTCCTAGAATCATCTTACTGTATAGAAATCTGGTGAAAAAACTGTATCCTTGTCTTATTCCTGTTTCATATACTTTAAACATATATTATAACCTATTATAACCTTCAAATAAGCAAAAGGACCATTGATGAATGTGTTGGTGAACAGCGTAGCATTTTGTGTATAATGCGTAAATTCGGTTAGCAATAAAAGCTAATTGTACAGAACATGCAAGCAACTGACCTTAACTTTCTGTGAAAAAGAAAAAAAGCGTACAAAAATTTATGAAAGAATATAAACCAATTTATGAAAAAATAATGCAAAATGAAAACAAAATGTGAAGTAAATAAATTAAAAAACAAAGTGAAAACATTCAGAAAGAATCAGAGAATAATATTCTGTATAATAAAATCTGATTTATTTCTGAACTGATATTTTACATAAGTAAATTTTTAATAACAATAACATGAACAGAAATGAAGCTACGCACGCAGGAATATTTGAACATAAAATGATGTTTTAAACAAAAATATATACCTAGGTTTGTTGTAATATTTTAAAATTAATTTTCTCTTTTGCTTTCCTATTTTTATCTTCCCCTCTCTATTTCCTGATTTCTCTCTTTTATTTTTCCACACACGCACACATTTTTCATATTATGTCCGTGTTGTATCGAGCAAGCTATCTCGTGATGTCATGTTTTTTAATCCTTGTTAATTTTTCTTTGTATTTTCCATCAACACATGCGCTATCTATCTATCTATCTCTTGCACTCTCATACTCGTTCGCTTTCTGTTGTGTTCTTGTCTCAACTACCACCAAATACTCACAGGTATGCTAGCGTTTACCAAGCTAATAGTAATTCAAAAAGTCATTAATCATAGAAGATGAGATAGTAAACATGATGATTTTGCAATATTGACTACATCGATAAAATGGTATTATTGAAAAAGATAGTACTTACCTGAATCCCAGTACTTTAGTTTCTTTGTAGCTTCCAGCGAGGGAACTGTTCTTATAAATGCTGTCCATCTGTAAGTATATAATTAAGTGATATTCGCTTTAATTCTCGATGAATTTGTGTATTTTATTTAAATTAGACTAGAAATTTAAAGAATACTATTTTTAAGAGGTCAATAATGTTGGAAAATCTTATTTATTATAAAACCCAGTTTGTGTGTGTGTGTGTGTGTGTACGTTTATATATTGGATCGGATTTCCTACATTTTTCAAATGTATCTCTGGAAATGTTCTTATTAAAAGATCTATTTTTACAGATTTTAAATTTGAAAACTTATTACAATCTGTGAAACGTTTGTATTTTTTCAATAATTTTTTAATATGCCAAAAAATGTATTAAAAACGTTTCCGGCAAAACTACAGAGGCACAATTCAGAAATAATGTCACGTGTTTTAAGAGTTGTTTCTCCTGGTAGAATTGTGTTGATTTCATGTCAAATTTTCTGACTGACCGGCCATCATTGTTGCATTTTCAAATTTTTTTTTTTTTTTTTTTTACATATTTTACTAAATATTTTTACATTTTTTTAAAAATATAATCATTTTTTTCTTTTTTAGTGAGAGACATACTGAATTATTAATTTTATTTTCTTTTTTAGATTCAATTTTAGGGACGGAAACAGTGCAGGCTTTGGACATATCTTCATTATAAATCAATAAAATATTAGATTTTTGAAAGTATTTGTTTTTTAAGAAATACTTTATAGTTAAATGAGTTGGTTCATTTAAAATTCGAAAATACTGTCACTTCTGCCTTGCCATCTGATAAATTGCCCTCGATAGTTGTCGATACGTTGACGTAAACGTCAATTCTCACCTCCAAAACCAATCACCACGGTTAGATATGCTTCTCTTATTTACAAATAATTTTTCTGCTAAAAATGAAGTAATGTTTGTTTATACATTAAGTATACTTTAAATGTTCTAACATTCCTAAAATAAAATAACTTTTGAAAAATGTATAATTGAATTTTACAAGATTTTTAAACGGAGAATTTCACTTTTGTTTACAAAGTCGTCAAAATGGCTGACATGAACGATTTTATGTAAATTTTGTTGACTCAAAAAAACAGATTTTTAAATAAAATTTCGGACGTGATAGAAAGAATTAAAAAAAATTTAAGAATATTAATTAAATTTAAGAAGACATTTGTTTCTCGGTATATGACATATAATAAATCCCATAATGAGACAAGTGTTCCTTCTCGTGCTTCAGCCAGCAATACTGACCATATATCTAGCACCTAAAATTATGCCGATCAGCAATATTACTGGTTCTGATCTGGCTTATCGGCTTCAATCACTTTCCCATTATCGTAATGTAGCTTCCTTGTGCTTTTTCTATCAATTCTTCCGTGGTAATTGTTCTCATGAATCTATACTTTATGAATTTAAGCGCTGTACTAGATTGACAACAAGGTCTCGTCATTTTACAGTTGAATTGGTTAGATGTAGCCGTAAGTTCTATATTAACAGTTTCTTTTCTTGCACTTCTCGCTTATGGGATTGTTTCCTGGCAAACTATTTTTCAGCCAACTTTGATCTTCAAAAATGTAAATACAATGTTAATCGTTACCTACTGTCTTCTTGATTACTCATCTCAGTTGTTATGTAGTACCTATACAGAATTATTTTGCTAATCTTTTTTCGACATAATCCCACTAGGAGAAAAGGGGGAAATTACTATTGTTAGTGTTGTGTCATCTTGCAAATTTCATAAATATATTTTTGTCATACACTTTAAAATACAATCATTTATATTTGACAATCATTTGTATTTGACAATTTAGCGGTTGTTATGGGTTCAAAGCAAGTGTCTATCATGAAGAATTATAGTTTGATACACTTGCCGTTAAACATAAAGCGTATGAAGTTTCTTAGAATACGAATAATTTAAAGTAATAATTCTGATTTGTATGTTTGTGTTTGTGTTAAGTATATGCCTTGCGAGAGAATTCAGTTTGCTTTAGTTGCTTGCAGATTACATATAAATAACTAGATGATTAAAAAGGGACACGACACGTCGTAAGTTCATGTAACTAAATAAAGGCATGTCTTTTTTTGCTGCTGTGGATTTTTCCAGGAAACGCATAAGCCATCGGTTAAATATTCGCTGTAGATTTCACATTCAAGTCCTTCTTTCCAGTATTTTTCTGTTGATGGAAACGGTTAAACAAGGGTGGAAGGTTTATAAGTAAAATAGTGAACTGGATTATTTTTTACTTCTTTTTTTAAGCTGAAATTTATTGAACATATAATCCGGGTATATCGATGGCAAGAGGAGCAGGCAACTTGCGGTAATTGATGACAGAACAGGTGGGGTGGGAGGCTTAGCAAAGGAACAAACGTTGTTATGTGTTACAACGGATAGGAGATTGTAGAGAACTATTGTTGCCCACGTCCTGAAAGGGACGACACGTAGATCTTGGAGAAATATAACCGTATATTTAACATTTTTATTCCATGTTACTTTATCACCTTTTCATTTTGACTTTGAAAACTACATTTATCCTGACAATTCCTTTAAAATAATGTTTTAAAATATTTAAAAATCTATACCCACATATTTCAACACATGTATATAATTATGTATATACACTTGCACATAAGTATTTGCATATTTGTGTGGTTGCGAAATGGAAAATTGAAAATGACATTTATTGTACTTGTAAAATATTTGTCTGCTTACCATTTTTTGAAAAGATTGCGCTTTCTCTTTAAATTCTTTGGAAGATGAATCATTCAACGCTGGAGTATAGTTTCCTTCTGTCGTCACTGACACTAAAAACTGTTTCAGAACTGGATAAATACAAGAAAAAAGTGTTAGTTTTTAAATTGGCGCTTTAAATAAATTCATGGAAATTTGGTGTAATACAGAAATCAATGTTATCACGAGGAAATTATGCAAATTAAGGAAAAGGAAGGATTTAAAATAATTCTGTTACTTGGTCATAATATCACATAATAAAATGCAACATTATCAATTAACTCAAGATGCGTGAATGAATAAATTGACGATCGTTCAATCATTAGCGGATAGCAGATATTCTTTGCACAAAGAATTTTTCATCCTTTACTTACACTTAAACATTTAATATTATAATCAAAATTTACATAGTTACAAAGAGTTTAAAATATTTTCATATGATCTAACTAGAGGAAAAAAATTTATCGAGCTGTCACCTGGGGCAATACTACTGAATGAGTCATATACCTGTTGCGCTTAAATAATTAGGAAAAAATACTTTTTAAATTATGCTTATGAGTAGGTACCTCCAAATAAAGCGATATCTAAGGCTTCAAATGCATTTTAGAAATGAAAAATCTTCCCTAAAGCTTTTATTTTAGCTTTAATTCGAAGCTAATAGATTATATTTAATATTTCTAATAAGCAAAATTCTTTGCTGTATTTCATATCGAATTTAAATTGATTGGATTTATTATTTTTTTTTTTTTTGATTATCAGTAAAATCGCTAAAATCATCGATGTTGACAAATCTGTCAAAACTCCATAATTCTTTTTATTTAAAAATCTTTCAAAAATAAAACATTTCTGAAACGTTATTTCTTTAATTAATCTGAATTAAAACAAATTACTTTCAGTTTAAAATATCGAAGAAAAGCATTTTTAGATCATTTTTAACTATACAGTAACCTTAAAATTTTAAATATTTAATTTTAGGTATTTTGGCTTTTTTAGAGTCTTACGAAAATGCTTGTTTAGGAAATGTTAGAAAATTATCAATAAATTTTAAATTTACTATCGTTATCGCTCTTATTTTTTCGTAATGTCGTATATGGACGTCCGTATTTACAAAATTCATCACGTTACATGCAAAAAAAAAAAAAAAGATTCAAAATACTGGTGTCAGTATATTAAGCTTTTTCCTTTATTATTAGTAAATATAATTTTATTTAATAATATCACTTGACCGATAAAAATTAATACATAATTTTAAAATTTAAAACTTTTATAAATGAGACCAATTTTTGAAAAAATTCATTATTCATAATTTTTTTTTCCTGAAGACAATAGTGTCCATAATAAATTTTAGTCATAAAAGCAATTAGAGGCATTTCTAATTAAATGATGCTGTAGTTTTATTACATGTTTTTATTTTACTATTCTGAACAGATTTTGTGTAAATGTGGGTCCAGCGTTACAAAGTTGATAATTTATATTCTCCTAGGACTTGTCTTTATAACTAATATAAACATTAAGTGCTACAAAAAAGAATATCTCGAAATTTCATAAAATTAAATAAATGTTGGGTAACAAATGTAAAAACAAAATATTTTTACCAAGATTTCCGAAAAAAGATATTCAAAAATAATTTTATTCATTTGTGAATACATCCTGAAAGTTTCATTAAAATCCGAGAATTATTTGATTTTTGCAACAATTTCAAATTCAATGTATTTTTCATCTCAAAAAGATACTTAAATTTCCCCATTGGTCACACGTTGACGCCAGAGAAACAAGATTTTAACCAAAATTTCGAAAGTGTAAAAGATAAAAAAATCATTTTTGCATCAAAAACTTCTTTCGTCTTTCCTCTTCATAATAATGCAAAGATTTTAATGATAAAACTGTGTTTTTATTTCGCTTTGGGCATTTTTTCATCATGTATACTAGCTTTTAGCGAATCTCTGGAGGTACATACTTATAAGTAATTTAAAATAATAATAATAATAATAATAATATTCAATCACCTACTCTACATGGATGATCTCAAACTCTTTGCCAAAGACGACAATGAGTTGAAAGGCCTCCTCAATATTGTAAAATACTTCAGTGACGACATAGGTATGGACTTCGGATTAGATAAATGTGCAAAAGTAACTTTCAAGAAAGGTAGAATTACAGAAACACCCTTAATAGATTTAGATTTTGTCACAAAGATTAGGGAACTGGTGCATGGTGAAGCTTATAAGCACCTAGGAATTAGCGAAGGAGATGGCATACAACACCCCAATGAAGGAAAAATAAGAAAAGAGTACTACAGGCGTGTACGTCTGGTACTAAATACTGAGCTAAACTCAAAAAAGGAGGATATCGGCCATAAAACACATTGGCTGTCCCTGTGGTGCAATACAGCTTTAATGTCCTTAACTGGACCATAGCTGAAATTAAGCGAATGGATGCCAAAACGAGAAAGCTACTGACTTGCTATCGTATGCATCATCCCAAAGCTGATGTCGATCGTCTGTATGTGCCCAGATCCGAAGGAGGCAGAGGATTAGTTCAACTAGAACTGTCCTACAAAACTACAACAATTGGCCTCCAAAGATATTTGGAAACTACAGAAGACTGGATGATGGTATGCGTCAAGGAACATGAAAGTAGTAAGCGTCTCTACTCCGTAATGAAAGAAGCCAACAAATTCAAAATGGAGTTTCAAATGGGTGTAGAGATGCAACTACAGCACAATACACCGACTGAAACTGCAAAATACCTAAAAAAGGCAGCAAAGACGAATGCAACCGACCAGTTACAGAAGTGATGGCAAGATAAACCGCTTCATGGCCAATAATCTGCCCGTACCAAACAAGCTGACGTAGACAAAACCCGTACCCATCAGTGGCTACGTAGTGCAGGGTTGAAAGCGGAAACTGAAGGTTTTATCCTTGTTGCAGGGACCAATGCTTGCTAACTAGGAATTATCAAGCACATATACTAAAATATTGTGTCAGCCCAAAATGCAGATTCTGTGATAAATATCCAGAAACGATTGATCATCTTGTATCAGGTTGTACGGTGTTGGCACCCACTGAATATAAAACCCGACATGACAGAGTGGGCCAATATCTGCACTGGAAAATCTGCAACTTCTACGGGAAGAAAACTGAAAGAAACTGGTATGAACACCACCCAGGCCCGGCTACGGAGATAGGACCTAACCCTAACAATTCTATGGGATTACACAATACACACTGACAGAACAATCAAGGCCAACCGGCCAGATATTGTTATTAAAGACCACAAACAAAAACGGTGCCTCCTTATTGATATGGCAGTCCCTGCTGACTGCAATGTATCTTTGAAGATATTCAAAAAGTTGTCAAAGTACAAGGACCTTGAAATAGAAATCGCGAAAATGTGGCATATGGGAACATCAACAATCCCTGTTGTAGTTGGAGCCCTAGGACTGGTTGGAAAAGATTCCAGTAGACTAATTGAAGGGATTCCTGGAAGTCCATGCCTCAAGGAGATACAAAAAATTATTCTGACAAGTACAGCCCACACCTTACGAAGGGCTTTGTCTATGTAATTTTCTTTTGTCAGTGGAAAGTGTCATGACGCCATTTCTAACCTTAGGTCCCTGGGCGGGACCCGGAAAGAAATGTGTAAACGCCAGAAATCAAAGAAAATAAAAATAATAATAATAATAATAATAATAATACCTACCTTCCTGTGGAACTGGTATTGCTGAAAATAAACAAAGCAACATTTAAAGTTTCAAAAGATTTAAAATTTGTAATTCCTGATTATGTAAGTTAACCACTTCTCAATACTTAAAACAATGCAGTATCAACATTTTAAGTTCAGAAGCCTAGGAGATACTAGGAGATGAGTTGTCTGTGGTCATTTAACAGACAGTTTAGCTTATGATTTTGATACGTAAAGCCTTCAACAACAACAACAAAAAATTTCTTCCTTGCTAAATGGAATCACTTACAGGAAGAATTTTGTTAGAACATTTAGTAAAATATGAGGATGGGCTAAAAAAAATTCATAGGGTGACGATGAATAAGAAGAGTTGAAATTAATGCATGCAGTATTTCACAGCTCTAGCATTATTCCTTCATAGTCAGCCTATGAACTTTCAGCCGACTCTCGTATACTAAGTGCAACTACAGTTGTATATATATATATATATATATATATATATATATATATATATATATATATATATATATATATATATATTGAAAAAACTTGAATCTATCTATTCTCATCCGAGGTAAGAGTTAATAACAGACCATACTGTGCTCTTTAGTTTTGGTTGGCCATCAGTTTAGAAAAAAGACAATATTGAATCCAAAAACTGATCGTATGCGAGGCTAACAACTCCATAAAAATCTTCTTGCTACGGAAATAACAGCAGCAAAACATAGTGAGGCTATGACAGTATACGTAGGGGAGTCTACACAGTGTTAACATGCATAACATAAATATATGAGAGAAAGAAAGAGGAGAGAAAGAGACACTTATTGGACATTGCTTTATTTACTTTGCTTGTGCCTTTTTAGAACTTAATTTTATATTTTGATTGCTAACATCAAGTAATTAAACCAAGGATCATTTTACAATAATGGCCTTTCAATGACATTATTCAAAATATCTGTTCGTCTTAACTATTATAATCTGTTGGCAAATTAATGTAAAAGAAAATTCTAGTAATATAGTTCATAGAATAATCTTTCACGTTTCCTTATCCTTTCGAATTTTCTTCTACTTTCCTTCTTCTTTCACTCTTTTTACAATAAATGACTTCAATGTTTGAAAATTGTTTTATGTTCTGAGTGATAATTATTCATTTGTCATTATCAAAATACTATAGGCTAATATTAATAATCTTATATTTCCATCTACGGTTTTTTCTCATTTTTCAAAGATAAGGATTCCATAGCAATTTTCAATTTATTTTCTATTTTAAAGAAAGTTTATGATTAATGAAACAAGAGATAAATTTTCCTTTTTGTAAAATTTTTAGTAATTTTTAGCGCAACGGTTTTTGGCTTTCACGGGGAAGATGCTAGTTTTACGAAATGAGGCTAAGAAATATTTTTGATCCCGAAGAAACATTTCAAGAAGTGGTGGTACTTACTCGGTGTGGGTGTCATAGACGTCCCTGAAAAAGAGAATGATATTATAATTAAATATTTTCAAGAATGATGTCAGTTGTTGAAAAAGTAGATTGTTAAATTAGCCGATTAATGAGATTGTTCATAACATTTTAAATGATGACCCAAGTTCGACGATCCAACCGAGATTACTTTTAGAACGAAACACTGAAAATAAAACAGGACTGACATAATGATTTGAACTTTTTACGTTACTTTAATTTTCACCTAAACTGAAAAAATCATACAAGATAAAAACTGTACAATATGCACTAATTATAGTATTTCAAATTCATAATCAATGTTAAAGAAGTTAAAAATATGCGTAAAATCTGTTTAAAAATATTGTGAAAAAAGAGGGGCCTGGCAAAGACGCCAACAATTTATAAACCGTGAACATACGTTCAAGGATTAAAAATTTACAAATCACGTGATTCTAGGCGCGTACATGGTAGTAGACACAGCAAGTGTTTCCAAAAAAACACTTTCTGAACTAATCAGAAAATGAGATAAAAATATTTACCGCAAAATTTTTATCTTCCAAAACACTAATCACTTGGTGTCAAACGTTCAACCTACTACAAATTCCGGCTATCGCACAGACGCACATACACAATTATCAATGAACAATTCTCATCCTATATTCCACAAATACTCGGAAGTTGTCGAAAACTGATTTGTAAAAAAAATGTAAATTAGTTTTACTTTTATGTTTATTTAACATAGGTATTTTCTCTCTTTCATTGCAATTTTATTTCTCTTTTTTTCTGTTGATGAATCGCAACATGATATTTTATAGCAGTTTCATTTTATGTAGGTACCTACAAAAAAGCGATACCTATGGTTTAAAATGCATTTTAAAAATGAAAAGTCTGTCTTGAGGCTTTTATTTTAATTTTAATTCCAAGTTAATAGATTAAATTTAATATTTCCAGTAAGCAAAATACTTTGTCGTATGTTAAACCGAATTTAAATTGATTGGAATGATTTTTCTTATTATCAGTAAACACGCTAAAATCGTCTATATTGACAAATCTGACGACACAATATAATTCTCTTTATTAAAAAGATATTTCAGAAATGTAGTCTAAATTAAAACAACTATTACTTACTTTAGTTTAAAATATCGCAGAAAACCATTTTCTTAACACAGAGGTGGGTGTTTTTAGATATTGACCCATCTATCGATAATCTGATGTTTGTCAGATTTACATAAAGGGGAAATAATTGTAGTAAATTTAATGACGAATACAACGTAAACGCCCTTTTTTAGATAATTTTTAACTATCCAGTAATCTTAATAATTTAAAACATTTTAAGCATTCTAATATTTTACTGAATTTTAGGTACTTTGGCTTTATAGTCTTATGAAAACGCTTGTTGAAGGAATATTAGAAAATTACCAATGAATTTTAAATTTACTATAAATACCGCTGTTATTTTCTGATAATGTCGTGTATGGACATCCTTATTTACAAAAATCAGCATTTTTATACACACAAAATGATTTTTTTAAAATATTACGTGTCGCTGTAAGCTTTTCTTTACGAAATATCTATCTATCTATCTATCTATCTATATATATATATATATATATATATATTATTGAAAATCAGCAGCAGGAATTCAGTGTGCGAAAGCTAAGAATTAAGAATATATGTGCTAAGAATTAAGAATATATTTAACATTCACTATTTACGATGAAATAATTAATTCATGTTGGAATCTAATTAAATTTTTAGACTGTTTTGATCTGTACTTTTTTATTTCCACTGCCGTATTGAAGAACATTTTGAATTAAACAATTGAAGTACCTCAAGCCATTGTTGCTAAAGAGCAACAAATCTTCAAATTGATTTGTAACTGCAATAAATCATGATATACACAGTTCTTCTTAATTTCTATTTGATAATATCGAGTTTAAGGAACACTTCCAATATCTCCAAAGAGATCACTGATTTTATCTGTTTAAAATTAAATTTAAAATTTTCCAAAAGAATATGCATAACTGCTTTGAAATTGAATATTATAAATCTTTCCATCTGGATCGTTCGTCTTTTCATATATTTTTTATTCTTTAAAATGAAGTTAACAATAAGATTACTGCTATATACGGTAATTATTGCCAATTTACAACCGTTTGAATATATGCTTTTCAACTCACAGGGAAAATGAATTCCGCTTCATTTGTGCTTTGAACCATTGCAAGCAATTAAATTAAAGTCGGATTTGAGTCGGGCGCAAACTAGCATTTGAAAGTGATATTATGTACACCTCTTGAATCAATCCCTTGAATATTGTCACTTTTGCCTGGAAAGTTTCAAGTAATATTAGCTCAAGTCCCAAGGGGGATAGTACCTCTCCTTCAGGAGAGGGCTAGGGTTTGTTTGTTTTTTGTTTTTTTTTTGTTTTTTACTGAGGCGTTACCAAAAGGAGAACAATTTTCCCACGCTATTACCATTAATCCCAATTTAAACTGACCTTGTGTCACATTTGTAGGCGCACTGAAAAATACAAATAATTAAGGTAAACATCTTTGTTTACTTACCTGGAACTACTTGATCTTGCACATATGCATCACCTATGCAAAAGAAAACATATTTAAACATTATTAAACAAAGACACAAATAAAAATTTACTATTAAGTTTGTTAGAAGTCTATTATTGATCATTGTCTAAACCTATTAATACCCACTGTATATGCAAGTGGTGTAATTCTGATCAAGACTTCACTCCAATTATTCATGTAGAACCAATATTCACACTTTTTGAATATCCTCTATAGTTTGCAATCATCTTATAACTATCGAGTAATCGACATCAAGTTTTTCAACCAATTCCATTGCTGATTATGTAAGAGTCACCATCCAAAAGATTTTACAAGTCATCACTTCCAAATTCCTATGGATTGCCACACTGCAGTTTCTACTCCAAGTCAAATTCACGTTTCTTTAACTTCACAAATTATTCCAACCAAACCATCTTCATAGTGTTCATCAATTACAATGTTTTTTTTTGTTTTTTCTTTACTTTTTTTGTTGCCTTGACCAACTTGAAAAGGAAAAAACCGTGTAGCTTTTCCACCATCATCTTTTCCGACAACATTTTTTTCAGTACAGCATAAATGAACACTGAATGGAAAACAGTCAAAATTAGCTTTCAATTTGGTAACGTTGAGTCAGTTGTCTATACTTATTTAATGCGAAGTAGTCTTTGTCCTTATTTAAGATCTTCCTCTCAGTTCTTAGGGTAGGATCCTTTTTCACCTTGCTATAGCTGCCATCCCCAAATAGGCTTACCAATTTTTCGGAGTATTCCAAATTGTTCATCATCACGCTACTGCATGTGTTTGGTCTCCCCAAGATTCACAAAGTTAATATTCCATTGGGGCCTATAGTCAGCTGCAGATTGGACACTTCGACGTGGTGTAATGCTTAGCAAGCTTGTCTCGTTAGATCAGTTACGACTGATTACTGAGTTCGATTCTCAATGAGTATCCGATACTTTCGGCCTTGTGCCATAACTACGCTTAGAAAATCACTATAGTCAGCTGCAGATTCTTAGTGGGTATAATCAACCCACTGACAAGAAAGTCCTCATCCTATGTTAGAAACTCAGAATACTTCCTGAAATTGATCCAAAGAGCTCCCATCCATAGCAATCGGATGGTAAACTTGGATGTGGCAAGCCTGTTCATCAAAGTTCCTACAGATAAGAAGCTAACAGGGGTTTGAAACCGATTGGAATCAGACCCCTCCCTAGGGCAGCGTACTAACATTCCAATAGATAATCTGATGGAAATGTTGACGTTCTGTGTATAGACAATGTTCTTCCAACTAGAGTCTGATATATACCAATAGGAGGAAGATTTTGCTATGAGTTCACCGTTGTTACCATTGATGGTGAACATATATATAGGATTACTTCGAGAAAATGGCATTAGGAACGGCATCACTAAAGCCAACTATATGGCTGACATGACACCTTCAATAGAAGACACTAATAAGCTGGTCTTCCTGGATGCGTGGAGAATGGATTCAAAACATTCGTATATCACAAGACAACCTTCAACGAACAATACAACTTCAATTCCCATTATCCATACAATGTGAAGTAAGCATCTGATGCCTACAATATTCAGCAAAAATCGTAAGTAGTGACCCAGACACATACCAACAAGAAATGATCAGCATCAAGCATACCCTTCAGAATAACAACTAGCCTGCAGACATAACATCAGTATTTGCAGATGGAGATTGAAGAGTCAAGAAGGAAGACAAGAAAATTGCCACTGCGATACAACATCGGAATAATGTTCAGAAGCAGCTCCACTCTACGGAGAAATCTCTGCCGAGTAATGCCAAAACATGGGGTAGAACATGACCAAGAACTACGTGTACTCCATTCCTTGCTGTTGTTGCAAAGAATATAAAGGTGAAGCAAATCGTGCCCCTAAAAGTAAATCTGGAGGAACATTGAAAAACTGTAGTGAGGGATGAGACAATGAATTAGGGCATGTCTGATCATTTATGAAAGGAAAGTCATCAGCCACTGTGGAATGAAGTGAAAACACTGAACAAGAAAGAACACTAGAGAGTTAAACGTCTGAAAGAATCAGCGCATATGCTAGGCTACGAGGACCTTCTTAGTATGCCCAGCGAATAAATAAATACATATGAAAGCCGCTAATAATAAAAAAAGAAAAACGAATTACAGCAATTCGTTAACAGCAGCAGCAGCAGCAACAGTCAAACATGACAGGCATTAGCAGCACTAATCAATAGACAGGTTTGGTTTAAAGCTCCAAGTTTACCATAGCCTAGTAGAATAAAGCGTTGGTTCGTGAATTTGGTAATATACTAATTGCGAGTTCAATCCCTTGGTCAGTGGAAACGGGCGAGCAGTAACTGAGCATTACAAAAATAAGAACTAGACAAGATATACCTAGACATGAACAGTGGAACGAAAACCCATGTAAATCAAATAAAGCGTTCAGTTCAGAAAACTTTGTAGGTTACCCACATTGATTTACACCTGATACAACAGCCGAACCGTTGTGATAACAATAACAAATATGAAAACAACGGAAAAATTTCATAAAGAAATAATTTTATTTTCATAATAAAAATATATTCCTACCTTATTGTTTATGGAAAGTTAAAATTGATTATTTGTAAACTTAAACGAACCCAGTATCTCTATTTTAGAAGTTTTGGGCTTTTGTATTTAAATTTGAGACCGTATGTTTGTTTGTTTGTTTTTTTTTTTTTTTTTTTTTTTTTTTTTTTTGTTTTCTTTTGTAAAAGTAGGGTAACTTGTAATGTTTGATCTAAGAATTTGTTGACAATTTAAATATAACTTGCTGTGTTCAAAGCAGTTTTTGCTGCAGTAAGCAATATTTTTACAAAATTCTGTTAAATACTCCATAATTTTACTAATTTTCTTTAAAACTAATATCTAGGATAAATATTTGATTTAATTTTCTGTCAGTATTTTTCAATTAAAATGACGAATCGATAATAAATTGACTGTTAGAGGGTTTTAAAAATGTCTGTAAAATGCGTAAAATTATCTTTCTTCTTTTTTAGCTTTAGGCTATTCTTTTTCAAACAGCATCACAATGTTACTAAAAAATGAGATATTTAAATTATTTTAAATGCGTTTTAAAGGTTTTTAAGAGAAAGATTTTATAAATTTCAGCCGACAATAACGCTAACTGTTCAGTTAATGAATGCTGAATTCATCCGTATAAGGAAGCAGCTTAAATTTTTATAGAATTTTATCATTTTTAGGCGTGGCAACGTTAGTTACGATCATATTTCCTACAACGTTCGTAATAGTCCTTGTTGTCTGACATTTCACATTTTAAAAAATTAAATGAGCTGAACTAAAAAAAGTTAATAATAATAATAATAATATTGGAAAATTATTCAAATGTTTATCTCATGGTCCACTATACGCTGCCACGTCTAGAGTAGAAAATTCAAGTAAAGTTAGCATCTTAGTGAAAATGTTGTTTATACCAAAATTTTAGTGTTAAAGCGAACTGCTTACAACTGTCCGTGAGACGGCTATTCGGCTAGTACTTACGCTGACTGAAGTAGATGGCGACTACAATACCAGCAATGATTCCACACATTAACAAAATAATACCGAAGATGATGAAGCATCTTTTGCAATTGATACTTGAACTGCTATTGTCCTCTCCTGGCATGCTACTCCAAGAATCGTACAAAGGGCTCTGAGACACGTAAATCTGCTTTTGTCCATTTGGCCAATCACGGTGCAGACGACTGGCCAATTCCTCTCGGTAGCCATAGTTGTCATACGAAGGACCTCTACCCTGTTCTGCACCGGCATACTAAAAAATAAAAATAAACAGTAATTATTACTCGTTAGTATATACTTAAAAATGATCTGATTGTTATTCTTCGATGAAGAATTTCCAATACTGTGCATACTCTTGTGTGTGCTTGAAAATAGAAAATGATGTAACTTGCTTATCATAGCTTTTATGAGTGCAAGAATGAAACTGAGGAAAGAACCCCCACCACCACCTATTCACCGGTTTTAAAAATAAGCCCTGTACTTGAAATAAATTACAAGATATAAGGTAGAAAACTTGAGAATATAGACAAATATATCTTCAATTTTGTTGAGGGGTTCTCCCCTTTTTACACAAATGAACTCACCCAGGGTATACATATACTACTCCCAGTGAATACCCGAGGAGAACGAACGAACGTAGCGAGCAAGAGTCACAGTGAGCGAGCACGTAGACTCAGTAAGAAGTCATACAGCGATACGTCGATACCAAAGACTATATATATATATATATATATATATATATATATATATATATATATATATATATATATATATATATATAATTGACTCTCCTGTCGCGTTCGACGTATGAGGGTCAGGCCGATAAGTCCCCAGGAAACCGACATCCTGACACCGGCACATGGGATTTGATTATAGTGGTGCAAGCCTCGTGCAGGACCAGCCACACTTTATATATATATATATCTACTAACCCGCATTCCTGGAACTACTAACCTGCATTACCAGTTGCATTATTACGTTAATACATTTATTTTCCTATATTCATTCTTGGCGTTGTTATTTATTGGTACCGGATTTCATCCCGGAATCCACAACAAGTTTACTTTTTTACTTTAATAATAATAATAATTATATATATATATATATATATATATATATATATATATATATATATATATATATATATATATATAAACAAATACAACGCCAAAAATACCCAATAACTCCGATCAAAGCCGTTACTATGAGTTTCATGGTAAGATGATCATTATATACATAATATATAAGTATGTGTGTGTGCGAGCGCGCGTTAATATGTATGGTTGTAGTTATCGTACGTTCATAGCAAATTTACAAAACAATAGTATAATAGAAAAGTAAATGCAGACTGACGCACCACAATCACGAAGAATTTTAGATTATTTATAAAACGAATCTTGTATTTTAAAATAATATATTAAAAATCTCATACACGGGGCGGCAATGGACTTGTCAGACCGAGTTCACATTCAGTTCGATATTGTTGAGTTCATATCGCGCTTGAGGAAGGCATAATTTTCTATCCTTTGTAGAGGGAAGAAAGTTCTCATCTTTGGTGGTAAACCTTTGTTGAAAAAGATTTTCTTTTCTTGGCTAGTTGGCGCGTGGATGCATTATGTTCTTCTTCGCGTCGGACTGCTCATTTTCGTTTCCCTTTTAAGGAACAGTCGCTCCAGCACTTGCCCTTATTGTGGGAGTGTGAATGATATTAGGCCTTGTTCTTGGTTTTGTTGTTGCTATTTGGGATTATATTATCCGTCCATAACATGTTAAATTAATATTCATGCACAATATTTCATGTATCGTAGCGCCTCGCTACTCCGTTCATGTTATCATGGCGGACAGAATATATTTCGTGATCTTTCCCTTCCGCCGTAGCGTCATCGACCTTTTTTTCTATGCGACATAAACGAGTTTATTTAGATTTAATGATCAACTACACGGTAGAGTAATGGTTAGCGGCTCGCATTGAGGAATCGGAGAGCCGAGTTCAAATTCCAGTTGAATCCATTACATTCACTTTCTGCTAATACCCTTGGGAAAGGTATGAATCCACTTCTTCTCCTTCCAGCTATGGGTAAATAGCAGGACGGACCGGGTTCTGTAGCCTTGGATGGCAACTGGTCTACCGCAGAAAGAAATGGCAACCTATTGCGGGGAAAAATCTGCCTCGTCAGTCATGTATCGAAAGATACATGATCGCCTAAGCGTGTATCACGCATGGCACATAGCTGACTGACATTTTTTCTTAGATGTTTGATTATTGGGGCATAATCTAAATACTCCTTTTGAATAATACATAACATTCTAGCAACTCAATATTTAATTATTAGCTAAATAAAAATTATGCAACTTCGCGTATGTTGCAAGAAAACTCTTACGATAAAATCTGTGACTTTTCACCTTTCCAAGGAGGAAAACGAGAAAAACAGGGAGGATAGTCTATACTGTGACCAGGATACTTGAACATAGTGTCTGTATTAAGTTACAGCCTACATTTTTTTATCTGCCAACTTGACGTTAGTTGGAAACTTTTGTGCGAGGGCGAGTGTCATATCCTGATACTAAGGTTTTTGGAACACTTTAACCGTGTCTACTCAGACTAAAAATAACCAATGGCCACAGAGACCTCTACTTCCGCATGGTCTTGTGCATTAGACTCGTTCCGATGCTCCTATTTCAAAACTTATCGAATGCCATATTTCGTAGGAAGCCATCTTCTGCTGTTCATTGGTTAGTTCTTGCGGTCAGCTATTTGTCTTGATGGCAACCATCTCCTGTCATAACATTGGTTAATTCTTGTGGCCAGATATTCTTCCTGACGTCAAACAACTTGTACCGTGACATTAGTTAATTTCTACGGACAGTTTTCCATCCTGACATCAGCCGAGCCCATTTCAACAGTTAATCAACGCCTTCGACGAATTTCCGCCAGTTTTATTTCAAAGTGGACTTAGGTAATATCTGGTTATTTAATGACCAGCAACCACACAACATCAAACTAACAACGTCAACAGTTTTCCCTTTCGAATATTGTTTTATTTCCAGCCAACCCCTGATTTGTCAGAGGATTCTACTGACTTTAATTCAAATATCGACTGCTCTCATCGAATTAGTTGCATATCACCTAACTCATCAAAATCGGTCAGTATCCTTCATTTCTACATCAATCTTTGGTTTATTTTTCTGTGTTAGCAATACAGATTTGGTGTTTTATACCATCTATTTTGTACTCTTCCGTACACTAACTTTATCTACTACCAATTTGATACATGTACTCTTTTGTCAACGCTCAATTCTGAATTTGTACTGTTCCATACATAAACTTTTATTACTGTCATTTAACACATGAACGGTTCCGAACATGGGCTTTACTTTCCATGTATCATCACGTACATGATACATGTCACTCTTTCATTGATTCTAAAGATTTATGTTATGTTCATAAGTGTATAAATCTTATTGTGAAATTTCTTTCAGGAACCTTATTTCACGTAATTATTTGTTACATGAATTTTGAGTTAACCTTGTTCCGTTGTTCATTTATTTTATTTTATTTTATTTATTTATTTATTTATTTTTTTTTTTGAGTTGCCATTTTTGATTCCGTTTGATTCAATCGGAACATTAACAACATCCTGCATTCAATTTAAGTGATTAAATTGTATTTCATTATAAATAAATGATTTTTTACAATATTAATATAAACTCCTCGTTGTCCTTGTTTATTGACCTGTCAGATCCACGCTTTATTTTTACTTTAAAATGTCTGGATGCAACAAGATCTAACATTTATTAAATGATTGATTTTTGATTAAATTGCTTACATATTATTGACTCATATTATTCACAGAATATATATTTATATGTATTAATGCAAAGAAAGAAAGGGTTTTTGGCTTATTTGTATGAAAATATATCTTTATTGTAGGCTCATTTAAGAAAACACGTCTTTATGATCCAATTGTTGGCGGTTAGATAGAGAGACTTTGCATTTTCCCACCAAAAACTGTTTTCCTAGTGCATTATGGGAATTCTACTTCTCTTCCTTTTACAAAACAGGAAAGTTATACGGAAACCGATGTCCTCGATCAGATTTCATCTTACTCTCTAATGTATAATATAAACAAATTTGTTGAAGCTACTCAGCAATTTATGACTAAAATGAGATTGACAATTTCTATAACCCATTTTCAAAATGTATTTGTATTACTTGTAACCTGTCCGAATAAACAATATTTACATAAGATTAGCGTAAGTTTCATTAAATAGCGATTTCAAAATTTAAAAAAAATCATTCAAGTCTTTTTGAAGAAATGAATTCAGACAAGATACGTAGATATTCTATGATAGATATTACCTATGAGTAAGAACTTCACCCTGCTTTATTTCTAAGCACATAAATATATGCAAGTGTGGAAAACCTTCGTGGAGGGAGTAAATCCGCATAGGAAGTCCCTGTAATAATATATTCCCGGATTGATTCGGTCGCTTCGACTTTGTCTCTGAACACTATGCCCCCGTTTAGACTTAAAAGTCCTCACAAATCAGCTGACGAAGTTAAGGGCTGGGATATGCGTGTGGTGCAGGATTCCTATATACAAACACACTGAAGTGAGGTCCCTTCCAAATAAAAGAAAAGAAAAAAGAATTTCGGGCGATTTAAGTTGGTTATATTCTTTTTTTTATACGTACAGTAAAATTCAATTTTACAAATACGACATTGCTCAACAACGAGAATTGTTCTTTATGCCATATAAAAGTTACTTGAAACAAGAATTAAACTTTGGATTACGTAACAACTTCTTTCGGTGATAAACTGAATACAAGTTATGTAACGTTGATTAATTTTTTCATGTTTTCAAATAACCTGATTTTATTACATTTTCGTTTTACGAACACTATTTGAGACTATTTCTGTTTCAGAAATAACTTTTCGTGTTTTTATTCATTTTCTCTATACATTTGTCTCCACAACAATAGCTTAATAGTCCGGTAAAGAATAAATGTTAGGATTTTTTACATTCATGCAACTTACATGAGGAGGAAACTAAAGACATTCACAATATTTGTTGCCAAAATGAATTGCTAAAATACAATACTGATTCGTACAAAAGTGGATAAACTGATAAAACATATAGGTTTTATTTTTTAAGTAAAATTTAAGATAACAAATCTTGCAAATAGGTAAACTACTGCCATTGTTGATTGATGATATTGAAATGTTTGTTTTTTTTTAATTTGTAGAAGAAATATAGCGGATAAAATTTATTCTTTACTCGTGGTATAATAATAATTGTCAGAATATTTTTAAATGATTGGAGATTCCCACATAAAAAAAAACTTTCTACAGATCCACAGGGTTTTATATAAAAGTGAGAAGTTAAAGAAAAATAATTATAAGAGGGAAAATGGCTAAGGGTTTTTCTTAAATGTGTCAAGTGTATCAGTTTGTGTTATAAGATACAAAAACGAAATATTTCCATAAAAGTGTGTGCTTGTTTATGTATTTGTCTCTAAAAAAGCATTTGGAAAATATATCAAATAATATTCCATATATTTTTTTTGTATAAATCTGAAAATAAATATCATATAAGAAAAATGTAAAAAAAAATTCACTTATAAAATTATTTACATTTTAAGATTTATCAAACGGGTTCATTAATTTAAGATCGAATTCTTAAGTTTGTTATTGGGATATTTTTAGATCAAGATGTACAGTTCATAGGGTTCAACTTTATACTCGCATTTTAGGAATACATTTTAACTATAGTATTTTATACTTACCCGTCTTTCATCCATGTTCGCGAAATATTCCAGGTGCAAAGATTTTTAAAACATTGTATGTACAAAAGAGTTTGTTTCAGTAGCGCTGGATCCGTGTTCTTTAAAATATTACCGTCCTAACAGGTAAAATATGTATTCTGCCTGTTATTGAGTCTACTGATCTATCCTTTAAAGTTTACGTATTTCCAAAATTAACAATACATCCGGTTTGGTTATGCACAATAAAATAATGTATGTAATAAGTATACGTACGAATGTTTATACACACACACACATATAGATATATATATATAAATATGTATATATATTACACATTTCACCAAAGTTTGATTTAGCGTGTTTATGTGTGCATATGAGTGTCCGCTCCTCCCTAAACGATGAAATATTTTCTGTTTCTTCAGTAAAGCACGACCAGCTACTTGACAACACACCTTGTATTTTGTATGACGTCACAGTTTTGTCACACCTGAGTGCTTCTCAGGTAACCTGAATTCTCTGTCCATGTTTACTGATTTGTCACGATTTTTTTGTCCTCACTTAACATTTCGAATGAATTCAGGGTAGGGTAGAAGGCTGACAAAATTTCCCGAAGAAAATGATTCATATCAGAAGAATGTCACCCAATTCATATCACACAAGTTAAAAATATATTGACCTTTTTTTTATATTTTATTTTATTTTTTTTTTTGAGTAGAAAGATTGATAATGTACTTAAAAAATTAAGTTATGTTAATTATATTAACAGTTATACAGATTTAAATATTAAATTTTCATTTAAAGAACACTCTGTTGTAACCGCTGATGTACTAATATAATATGGCTTATTGTAATATTTTAGGAAGTACGAGAACTTCTAGTGATCCTCTACAACAATATATAATGTAAACAAACTGGCGCTATATTTGTTATCAGCAAGGTGATTTGAGCGTGCCAAATTATTAGAAAGGTTTAGTAAAATTCCCAGAATTGAGCAAACAAAACGTTTATTAATGTTGTACGTGAATGTTTATGAAGAAAAGAAGCAAAAGAAGCTAATAAATAAGATAATCAAACAAATAATAACAGATACAAACAAAGGCACAGTTTTAAACAAATTGATAGGGAATGTGCTTTCCCTGTTTTGAAATTACTTGAAGAAGTCGACGATCCATAGGACCATAGAATTTGTTAATTGTAGGATGTCATCTGCTGTAATGCCGCGAGATATGTCAAGAATTGCTTCCCACAACTCAGCGTTGCTCCTGAATTGTCGTCCGTTGGCGTACAGTCTTCGCTTCATGATGCTCCAAAGGTTTTCGATTGGGTTCAGATCCGGATAATTTGCTGGCCACTTCATTTTTCGAGGTCCATCGAAGCCTAACTGTTTCAAATATTCGGTAGTCTTGTGAGCAGTGTGTGAGGGAGCATTATCTTGCATAAAAACAATGGCTCTTCTGAAGGCAACTCTTTGCCTTTTCATCCACGGTTCAAGATGCTCCTTCATAAACGCTATGTATGCATCAGCAGTCATTTTGATGCCATCTGGCACTCTCCATGGACCCACTAATGTTTTTCCAATAATACCACCCCAGATCATTATGCCTTCACCGCCTTGTTGGCGTCTCAAACGCTGATGGCGATTCTGTCCGTTCATTACCCAGCCTTTGCACCATCTATCTGGCCCATCAAATGTTGCTTGAGTTTCGTCTGTGAACAAAACTTTAGAGAAGTCAATCTTCATATTGTCCACGGCCCATTTCAATCAATTTTGAATGTGATTTCTCGTCAAAGGAAACTTCTATACAGGTTTGACTGTTGTTGCTATTTCCCTCAGATACCGACACCGAGTACTTTTAGACACAGTAGGATCCCCAATGCGACTGAAAAGCTCTTGACTGGTAAGTCTAGGGTTCTTCGTGGCCTCTTGTTTAAGTCATGACATGAGATGACGTGAAATAACCCTCGGCTTGCTTTCATCTGCCCTTTTGCGTACTTGTGTAGGGTCGGCAGTGAACTTTTTCACTGTTTGATGACACCTCCCTATCATTTTAGAAATTTCTAGGGTAGATTTAACTTTTGAGAGTTCTAAGGAGATAGTTTTCTTTTCAGCATCACTTAAACTGCTTTTACGGCACATCTATTCACTAAATTCTTACACTTTTCTAATAATTTGGCATGCTCAAATCACCGCACTGATAACAAATATGGTGCCAGTTTGTTTGCATTGCGCAGATCAGTACGAAAATTTCAGTGATTGCGCAGGTCAGTGTTGCCAACATTGTGTGAAAATGTTGTGTGAATTGATTGGACGGTTTTTGAAATATTTGAAAAAAGATAATAATTTGGCACGCAGTATATATATATATATATATATATATATATATATATATATATATATATATATATATAGAGAGAGAGAGAGAGAGAGAGAGAGAGAGGAAGTTAAAATATTATGCACCCTGTCTAAAAACTGGAAGCATGAAGAAGAAAATACACACCTATCAATAATATATTGACACAGACATATCTAGACACATCATACTAAGTCCTAACAACTGATTCTTTTATTTTATTCTATTTATTTATTAGCATAACCTATCTTGTTAATATAAATTGTTACGAGGACTTTTAAGTGATAATTGGAAAAAAAACTGAGAACATATCCCCATGGAAGGATGAAGCACATTTCCAATTTTTAAAGTTTTCTGAAGTTTCATAGCCGGGCGTGACCGAACACATATACAAATTTTCCAGTCGATCTTTTCTAATACACACTGGTACATGTTGGACAATTCTCATCTCGTGGAATTGATTAGTCGTTTCTATGTAGTCATCTTCACACTGACACTTAAATTTGTAAAATACGAAACTTTTTTGAAAGACAGGTAGGAGAGAACGTAATACGTGAGTTAGACGAAAAATAACATTACTTGACGCTGGTAGAGACTTGCTAAACAAATTTCATAGTAATCTAATGTTTTCTTTAATAACATACGCACAGATACACACACATATATGTGTGTGTGTGTATGTGTGCCTTGACCTTAATATCCACTTTTATATTTAAATCCACTCTACCCACCCCCATATTGAGCACTTTAACCTATAAATATCGCATACCTTAAAACTATATATATATATATATATAGAGAGAGAGAGAGACAGACAGATAGATAGATAGATAGATAGATAGATAGATAGATAGATAGATAGATAGATAGATAGATAGAGAGCGAGTGAGAGAGAGAAAAAATTAAAACAAAAAAACAAATGATTGCTAAGCTGTGACTGAAGTAATTTTTTTTATGCGTGTATGTTAAATGGATTCTGAGTATACGACTACAGAGTTTTGTTATTTAGGGAGTTTCTGATGATTGGCAATAAAGTCAAACTAATTACAGGCGAAAAGACCTTACTGACACTATTAGCCAGTATCCGTTTAAAAAAAAATTAATAAAATAAGAATTCTCTTGAAAGGACAGAAAAAAAATCCGAAACTCTATATTCAAAAGAAGACAGGTCCTATGTAAAACTATCTTAAATACCACCCTATCAGGCGGCATTTAAGCTAGCTCCTGCGGTGTGAGGGTGACTCTTTATTGGTCTTTCGGCTTGTTCAAGAGTTTGAGATCCTCTAAGTTTTTGCATATTCTTAGCACTGGAAGCTCTCTTGGCTGTCATTTGATCTAGGTTTTCATTTGCACGGGAATTTCTTTTTCTCTCTGTATCCTTGGCTGTTTTGATTGCAATCTGATCCTCTGTTGTCGGAGATTTCTTTTTGTGGGGTGTAGGCGATAGGCAACAATAAACTGCAGAACTCAAAATTCATCGCTGCACTTAAGTATTTCATTAATATTTAAGATTACCTTTTAAAAGTTCAGCGATAATTCTTCTGCTGCCACTTAATTTAAAGAAAATTTGATTTACGTAGGTCCTTACTTTCCGTACAAACAATTATTATTATTGCATGGCTGACTTTCGCTTGATTTTGCAATTAATCTAAATTATTCTCAAATTAATTTACAAGTTATAAAAATTGTTATCGTATAAAAAATTTGTCGCAAAAACTCACGTAAAAATCGCCAAAAACAATCTCAGAATTCTGGATACGGCCTGGTATGTTTTTTTTTCTTTAATTTGCCTGCAGAGTCGACTTAATTCCAAAATGGTATGATATTTTGGGCTACGGCCTCTAGGCGTAAAGTTGAAAAGATGTGACACACTGATATTCGTATTTATTTATATAGAAGGGAAGATATGTGTGTATTTTTTCCCTAGAGATATGTGTGTATTTTTCTGTATGGGAGATCTAGATTTGTCTCATTTGTTGGTGAAATCATGTTCTTCACAATCGATGCTTCAACAGTTCAAACTGCCTTGGTCTTCCATTGACTCCTCATCACTCATTCCCTGTTGGTTTATAGGGTCCGAGTTGGACTCGCTTCCTGGCTCAATTTCCATTTCCCTTTCTTATTCTTGAGTGGATCTTAATTGATTCTCATGATCAAGAACATCGTTGCCCTTTTTAACTATTAATACTGCATTGTGTCCCTTCTGCATTATAAAATTCACCCTTCCTTTATTTTTTTTATTAATAGAGTATGACATGTTTAATGTGATCTAATCTGTCTCCCCCTTAATGCAAACGGATCATGTGGTATAGTTCTATAACTAAATAATAGTCTTGGTAAGAAAATACCAATCTCTTCTCGTTGAGGAGAAAATGCCCAGAATCCCATTTTTATAGTCTCTACCATTCTTTCTGCAATTCCATTTGATTGCGGATGATATGATGGGATAAATCCAATTTTCCGTAATCACGAACACAGACTTTCGTCACAAAATTCTGAGGCATTATCTGATACTAATGTTTTCGGCACTCTATTCCTAGCAATATTTACCTTATTGTACTAGTTTTCTTATCGTGAACGCAAGTAACTTCAGGCCAACTAGAAAAATAAAAATAAAATAATAAAACACAACCCCACACTGTTAACATGTGCATGGTCCATATGAAAGCGAGGCTCACGTTCTGTCTCCCTAGGCCATGTGTATACTTTATTCTGGTGAAAAACCTTTATTTCAGCACATTTGTGCACATGATTTTCAACACTGCGTTCATATCCAAGCAACCATGCTACTAATTTCAAACGTTTCTGTGTGTCTCTAATTCCACAATGCACATCGTCATGAACAATTTTTATCATATCTTTTCTACATTTTCAGGTGGTACTATTAAATCTGCATCACATACAACATCACTTTCTTCAGTTATCTTATCTGCATTTCAGATTTTGAACAATTACTCAATTTATTATTTTTTTTGTTCTAGATACAATTTTACTTAATATTGGATTTTGTAATGTTTCTTGTTCATCTCTGTTTATCGGTATAACGTCAATTTCTACACAGTGCAAAAATTCATCTACCATACTTTCTAATATTCTGTGTTTTTTTCTCTTTTTAAATTATTATTTTGTATAATGCATCTACATGGCGAATAGGATTTCCTTTTATATATTCATTATAAAAAATGACGCCATTATTTTTATGCCTCATCTTAATATACTGGAAAATGTAACTTTCAATAATTCCTTCCTAGAGTTAAAAATTAATTCTTGGGGCTAATGATCAAACTTCAACAATAAAAATTGACGACTTCTACTAGTACTCTAAACTATAGCTAGAGCCTCTTTTCTATATTTGAGTAATTGGATTCGGCCGACGTTAATGCTCTAGAAAGATACATAACTTGGTCTCCTTCCTGGGCTAAGATTGTCGATATGGAATTTTTACTAGCATTCGTAATTAATGTAACATCATTTGGGAGTAAAAAAATTTTGATAATGGAGTCTTTTTTTGTAAGAGTATTTTTCAAATTATCAAATACTGTTTGTTGTAGTATTAGTTCACTTAAATTAATTGTTCATTTTATACAAATTGCTTTTATGTTTCAATTAGTTCTGAATATTTGGGTAAGTATTTGCTATAAAAATTCACTAAACCCCAAAAGGATTTTAATTTATTGATAGGAAAAAAACACCCCTAATATTTTCTGTGCCAAATTTGGGTTTGGTGAAAATTCGTATTTTGAAATTTCGTACCCAAGATATAATTTTCTTTTTTAATTTACACACAAATTGAACATGGGTTTGCATATCTCTCCTCATACCGGACATTTTTTTATTTGGTTCAGGCTCACAGACAAAATATTTACATTTTAGTTTTGTTTTCTTTATCATGTATTTCGGGCTGATTTTTTCCTTATTGAATTTTTCAATCGACTCTTCCTGTTGCATAAATTTGATACATGCCTCTAACGACATTTGTTTTAATTGCAACCATTCTAACATTTTAAATCTATGCAAAGTATTGTACATAACTTCTATCAGTCTTAGCTAAATTAATTCCACTTTAATAGCCATTTCTTCTTGTCTATAACATTGAAATTCACAATATCTGATGGCGTCTCGTAGCCGAAGCAGAAATTTTATAATAGTTTCTTCACATTCTTGTTTTAATTGTTTGGTTCGTTCGGCAATGATCAAACTTTTCATTGGTCAAATATTCCTTAGAATAAACTCTTTGATTAAGTTAAATTCCAATTCTTCCACTTCTGTTGGATAACTCATCAATGAAATCTATCTAATAGCTTCACAACTGGATGTTACCAGAAATAAATGTATGATTTCGTTTTCACTTCTATTTATTTTGTTGTCCCTTATTTTATTTGCTCTAGCAACTGCTGCGAAACACCTTATCCAAGTTTCAACAAAGTTTCGGTTTTCTACATGCGATAAAGATACTATCGGCGACACAATATTGTTATGATATTCCAAAAAGGATCGCAGTTGTATACAATCAGTATTGGTTCTACTGTTCAAGTACTATAGTATTTAGACGTGTGCCCATGTCGCAAAGAAATGTGACACAAGGTCGAGTTTAATGTGGATTCATCGGCAGTACTGTAGTACTCAAGTCTCTTTGGCACTTCCCTAGGTTGGGGACGCCTCAGGCACCGAGTAATAGTCTCAACCACCGCCTAAAGGAAAGGTACTACCTGGGGGATATATTTATAGAAATTTAGAATATTATTATTGTTAAGTACAATTCTGCTTCTTTGGGCGTCACCTTTGTTTTAGAGGCAGGCATAAATCGATACTGAGTTCTCAGCATCGTTCTATATGTAGACCTACACACATGTACTTTTAATTTTCTTTAAGTTTCTTGATAACATCGGCTGGGGACCCAAAATATTCTCTAGCCCAGTACCGTCCCCCAGATGCTTTAATTCGGTGTTTCTCTCTACTAATCACATAGGGGCTTTCATAACAAAAATCTGAGTGTATATAAGTTTCTACTCAAATTACATGTAAATTGTGCATATAAATCTCTTGTTTATTTTATTTCTTTTCCTGCATCTCTTACTTCACAAGTCGCTTATCATCATTTTTTGCCATTACGCGGAAGATGAAAGCTGAGAAGACTCCACACTTAAGTTTAAGTCAAGTATAGACCAACTGATGTTGTATAGTGAACAATAATATGTTAATAAATTAAATAAATATTATTTACCGATTTCATCTATACGTATCATGTAGAGTAGATTTTTAATTGTAATATAATTTTATTTAGAATTTCATTGGATCGGATTTTATTAGATATAAAACCGAAATAAGATTTCCATTACAAATGTTGGAAATGAGAAAGACAAAGTATTAGAAAATAATTATGTGAATTAAAATATTAATTTACGTACAAAAATAACAAATTAAAACAGGTTTTGACCGATGAAATAATTTGAGGATGTAATATTTAGTGTTTGAAATTAATTTATGTGCAAATAAAATGTTCTGTAGAAAAAAAAATGAAAAATTGGCTATAAACATTTTAACTGTTTTATCACAATAAACTTGGTTATCACAGAGTCCTAATAATAACTAATTTGCAGAGACATTCTGACTAACATAAAACATTTTGGTTAAATGCTAAATATGGCTATTTTTATAACAATATTAGTGAAATAGTCGGCTAGGATTTGAACCTAGTTGCAGTTTTTAAGACCAGCATAAACAAATATTACTATTAATCTACGGTTGGAGTTGGTAACCTGTAATATTTCTGCCACTTGGCTGGCTTTTATTGCTTGTAATAAAATTTGAAGTTGAATAAGCGAGACGACGATTGTTTGTTTGTAATAAACATAAATCAGGATATATATATATATATATATATATATATATATATATATATATATATATATATATATATATATATGCCACAATAATATATATATATATATATATATATATATATATATATATATATATATATATATATATATAGTTTATTGTTGCAATATTTTCTTTTATTAAAACCTGTTAATATTCATAAAAGCTAGTCTGGCTCAGTTTGTAGGCCTGAATTTATCCAAGTAGTTAAACGGTTGAGCAAAACGTGAAAGTATCCAAACTTCATTTGCTTCTTATATTTAACCAGTAACAATAATTTTGAATTTTAAAACTCATAAGTGTGTATGTATATGTGTTTGTGTGTGTGGGTTCGAATCACAGATAATATTAAGTCACTGGATTAGGCAATAGATTTCAAGTAGTCCATCTTTAATTCAGAATATATAATAGAAGTAAACCAACTGCATATGGATAGAAATGAATTCAGTAAATACACAAAGATAGAAAGGAGCCTAAGATAAGTATGTGTCTTCTCATCAGACTTATTCAACCTTTACAGTGAAGTAATCCTGAATGAATTAGAAGTTCTACCAAGATTCACAATGTTAACATCATTAGATATTCAGTGTTGATAACAGAAACAGGAAGGAAATACAGAAACGTCTACAGAAGGTAGTAAAGTAAAGCGAGAAGAAAAACACTAAATATCAATTGTAAGAAGACAGAATATATAGTTGTTAGCAAAAGGAACAGTCCAACATACGAATTACAAATTGGAAACGCCTAAATCAAACAAGTACAAAAATTGAAATGCCTAGGAAATATTTTAAAAGAGGATGGAAAATGCCACACTGAAATCTGATGGCACATTGAAACAGACAAACTTAAGTAAAGTATTAAGAAACATGAAATTTTCAGTAGAAACAAAGAATATTATGTATATCGGTTCTCCTATATGGCAGAGAATATTGGATAATCTCATCACATATGAAGAAGAGACTTGAGGCAACAGAAATCTGATACTACAGTAGGATCATGTTGTTATACTTTGCTTCAAATTAGACCTCTTTCTCATCCATTCCACATCAAAAACTGTTTGACGGATGTGAAAGCTAAGAAAGCAAATTTACAAATAAAAATCTCGTTCTCTGCGCTGGGGCTCCAAGCATCACACCCGGCTCAGAAAAAAATCCCTTCTCCTCTAAAAAAAATAAACAGAATTTAAAAGGAATCAATGACGGAAGTTACCGCCAAAGCAAAATCATGACAAAAACGCTGAGTCGTGTATCCACCCTGACTGCTTAAAAGAACGCTGCTCGTAATACTCAGATCAGTCACAGGGTAGGCAGGTAGATAGTCATAGAACCAACATTGACCTCGGTCAACCGATTCGACACAAGTTTCAATGCTAGACGCTACCGACTCTTCCTTCCTTTTCCTTCAGGTCGCTCTTCTCGCACATAGAGACATTCTGCCTTGATGTTAGCAATACAAAGAATTTTATTTTAACATTTCCGGTCTTATTTTCCTTCTGCCTCATAGTTTATAATACTAAGAATACCATAGACTGAACATGTAAATTCACGTCGCACTTGAGACATTACAAGTGAACGTAAATTCTCAAAATACACTACTAAATTATGAGAAAATTTAATATTCAAATACGGTTGTTTTAAAGATTGTTCATCAGAAATCATTTTAAAGATCTAGAAATACAATGAAATATAGCAAATGAGAGTGAATCGTGACGAACGTGAAAAGAAATCGTATATAATAAAATCGAGTCGTTAGTAATATACAAAAGGTATGAAAGAAAGGTGCTTTCTTCAATTTCAAAATTCATTGGTACAGATATGTATGAATTGTTTGCGAAAGTTGTACAACAGACGGCAGGATAAATGTTAAGAAATCGGGACACTCTTAACTGACTGCACTATAGCTGTCGTGTTATGTTAACTGTGGCAATCACAAATGGAGCAGGACTTAAAAAAAGAATGACGAGTTATGAATGCTACAGAACCAGTCGTAATATGCTCCCACTATGTTGCAACTAACCAGGCCGCGATCTATGCTACAATAGGTATTGTATTTATCTGTCAAAATGAATATCTGACCTGACGTAACATTTACATTTCTGCACATAACAGTATATTATGTACATTTAAGATACAATTCAGTCTTTTTTTCTTTGCTAGTCTCTACACAACGACGCCTTTTCTCTCAGCAAGCCTATAACGGTCAGCCTAACAATCAGTGGTGGAACGTGTGGGCGATGGTGGGAGTGACACTTTATTTTGCGAGTGAAAAATATTGAAGACGCGATTATTCCTTTTTATGTTATGCCATATGTGTTTCAAAAAAGATATCTAATATATTTTTTAATTCAATTTTTTTCACATTCATTCTTTTTTGTTTGAAATATCAGAAACACATGACATCCCCCGCCCCCTGTTGGCGACCTCAGCTTTTAATAAGCTCGGGCGACTGTCTGAGATGCCGATACTTTAATCTGGCCCTGCTCAAGATCACACCGGGACATTCCAAGAGATATCCCCTTATTATTCAGAGAGAGGTGGTCCAACTAAAAAAAAAAAAAAAACATGATTTGGTTTCCTCAAAGCCTTGTGCTTTTAACTAATATCTTACTTATTATAAAACGCAGATTGTGTGTGTGTGTGTGTGTGTGTGTGTGTGTGTGTGTGTGTGTGTGTGTGTGTGTGTGTGTGTGTGTGTAACGTTTATAGATTGGATCGGATTTCCTACATTTTTCAACCGATTTCAACAAAACTTCACAGGACTACATAAAATTACATTGTGGTGGTTCTAACAGCGCCAAAAATGGGAAAAATATAATTGTTTTTGCACAAAATCAATTTGAAAACACGATTAAGAGACATCGGGAAAATGGAAGGGGGACAACTCACATCGGGTTGTTTGTGTGTGTGGGTTCCTTTAAATATGGGAGCGGATTTCCTACATTTTTCAGCCGATAAAACAAAACTTCACTTTTTTTTTTTTTTTTTTGCAGGTAGTGTTTCTTATTCTCTTGCACACTTTTTTTTTTATTTTAACATTCAGAATGCTTTAAAAATTCCATTTACAAGACAATAATTTATAATAAAATTCTATTCAATCGGGAGACTCATAACGATTGAAAACAATGTTTTTGTTTGAGTTTGACCAATTCGTAAAAAATAAAAAAAAAATAAAAACTAATTAAGACATGCGTGTCCGTCAACCTTAAACAATAATCTAACGATCTCTACTGATTGTACGAATACAAACATCGGAATAAATTCTTTATCTTCAGGGAAAGATAATGAAATCTAAACATACACAAGTCCTAACTAAAAATAATAACCGGAACGGGAAACTACTTTAAATACGCATGGTGTCCAGTTTTTTTACTGTATTCAATAAGTAAAAATCATAAATTGTAAAAGATTATTATTACAGAAAGGCTACCAAATGAATAAGATTTGTTAGCTCATAATTAATAAACCCAAATAAAGTTAATATTTTTTGTATTAGAAACAACGAATTGAAAATATATTCAAATCAGAATTCTAATTATGAATCACCACAAGCAAAATATGCAATTTTTTACTGTATTCAATAAGTAAAAATCATGAATTGTAAAACTAAAAGATTACAGAAAGGCTACCTACATTTTTCAACCGATTTCAACAAAACTTCACTTTTTTTTTCTTTTTTTTTTGGCATGTAGTGTTTCTTATTGTCTTGCACACTTTTTTCTTTATTTTTACATTCAGAATGCTTTTAAAATTCCATTTACAAGACAATTGTATATAAAATTATTCTATTCAATCGGGAGACTCATAACGATTGAAAACAATGTTTTTGTTTGAGTTTGGGTTTGAGCAATTCGTAAAAAAAAAAAAAAAAACTAATTAAGACATGCGTGTCCGTCAACCTTAAACAATAATCTTTGTCAATTTTATTTTTCAGTCTTCATGATGGTGGATACTTGATCTATCTCTTACTGTTATATCCCCGGGCAACGCCGGGCTCTACTGCTAGTAATCACTAATCCGCCCAAAATTGAAATTATAGAGTTTTCGTACAATTAGTTATGGGGGGGGGATAATACATATGAAAAAATATATTTTTGCCATGACTTTAAAAAAGGAAAACATTTATAATAAGTTCCATCATTTGTGAATAGTTTCTGAAAGTTTCATTAAAATCCGACAATTATTTTTATTTTTGCAAGATTTTCAAAATTACTGTCTATCATACAGAAAAAA